TGAAAGCACAGCCGCCGGAATGCGGAGAAACGCCGCGACTGTCGCAGAGAAGGACAGTGAGCGGGGCTGCCCAGCGGCGAAGGTGCCTGAGCTATGGAGCTCGGTGTGTCACCGTGGCCACGGCCCCCGTCATAGAGAGGTGGACCGTCTGCACCATTGGTACTAAACGGAAAGGCATGCAGGACAATGGTGTACTTCGCGTTTGGGTGGTGGTTTTTTCTTTTTTTTAAGATTTTTTATGTATTTGACAGAGACAGCGAGAGCGGGAACACAAGCAGGGGGAGTGGGAGAGGGAGAAGCAGGCTTTCCGCCGAGGAGGGAGCCCAATGCGGGACTCGATCCCAGGACCCTGGGATCATGACCTGAGCCCAAATCAAGAGTTGGATACTTAACTGACGGAGCCACCCAGGCGCCCCCACTCCCCCTGCTTGTGTTCCCCCTCTTGCTGTGTCTCTGTCAAATAAATAAATAAAATCTTTAAAAAAAAAAAAAAGAATGTATTTCTAAAGAGATGGATGAGAATGATGAATTCAAGATAGTGTTTACCTCTAAGGGAAGGTTTTCTTGGGAAGAAGTTTTAACTGTTTTATATTTTATTTTTTAAGCTGGTTGGAGGAGTCACAGGAGTTTCTAAAAATACTTCTTTGCTGGGCAGCCCTCTCAGGTCCCCTCTCTCTTCGGGAGCTTTGTACCATCGCTCCATAAACTTGGTTTTGCTGCCCACCAAAAACCAAAAAACCTTCTGTGCATGTTTGAACCGTTTAATAATTTTTTTAAAGGATCAAATGGCATCTAGTAGGTGCTCAGTAAGTATTTGTATCAATGGTTGGTTCTTGGTTTCTTTGTTGGGATATGTTCTTTGCTTCTTCCTAAGCGTTTAAAAACCAAAAGGATAGACCTGTATGGCTTTGGCGGCCCAAATCTGACGTCAGAGTCTGAGCTGACCCTGGAACATTGAGATCAGGATTCTGTTCTTCATATTAACCCCGTCTGCCTTCTGCCGGTTAAGTGCCGACAGACAGCCCCCCCCCGCCCCCCATCACAGTACTGCTGGAGGCATGACGGCCTCCTTCTCCTGCCAGTGACCCAGGCATCCCTGCGTCTCTGTCCAGGCCCCTGTCCTTCGCATGGTGGAAGGCGACACCATCTATGATTATTGTTGGTATTCTCTGATGTCTTCAACCGAGCCAGACACCTCCTAGTAAGTGATGTCCTTTGCCTGCCCCCGCCTTCCCTTCCCATCCCGTCCCCCCACCTCTGTTTCAAGGGGACCCTCTACTGAGAGGGAGCTAGGGGTGCCAGGGGTTTCTGGGGGAGGACAGCCTGGTGTACCCTTCAGATGCAAGCAGAGAGGGCCGGTCAGTTGGCTTCCTCCCCTTCCTTTGACAGCACCGGGATCTCAGTGTCCGTGTCTCTCTCAGCGTGGCCAGCAGCAGCCGGGAGAACCCCATTCACATCTGGGATGCATTCACCGGAGAGCTCCGGGCTTCCTTTCGGGCCTACAACCACCTGGTAGGGACCTCCCCGTCCAGGCCCAGGGCTCCTCCTGGCCCCGCTCTCCCTCCTTGGGGACCGCTAAGGCTTTGCCGGGCCTGTTTGCAGTGCTTTCCTGCCCTTAGGACGAGCTGACGGCAGCCCACTCGCTCTGTTTCTCCCCGGATGGCTCCCGGCTCTTCTGTGGATTCAACAGGACCGTGCGCGTCTTTTCCACGGCCCGACCTGGCCGGGACTGTGAGGTCCGAGCCACGTTTGGTAAGCATCTGTGCCCCCCAGGGGAGGAGGAAGGAAAAGGGCACCGCCCTGTGCAGAGGGCCTTGTGCGAGCCAGGGGACCGGGCGTGGCCCATCATCTCCAGGACAGCTCAGGGAGGCAGGTTGTACTCAGTAGGCAGAGGAGAAAACAGGTTTAGGGAGGGGGTGAAACTGTCCCAGGGTCAAGCTGCACGGTAAGGAGCTGCTTCACTCCTGAGCGCAGGCCCTGTCGGCGGTGTCCCTTTCGCTCTCCAAAATCTTGGTATCTCTGGGAAATTGGCGGTGAAGCGGTTTCATTTTCCTGTAAGCCTTCAGCTTTCCATCCCTCCAAGATGGCACAGGTGTGAGAAGGAAGAAATAAGTCTTGAGCACTTCGGTCCTTTGTGGGGATGGAAGGATCTGGGGGGCCTCAGAGGTCTTTATCCTGCTGTGACAAACGGGGCAGGGGAGGCGTTCATTCCCGGCTCATGGGACAGGAGACAGAGATGCAGCTCTGATTAGCCCGCTACCGTCAGGTGTCCTTGCCCTCTGCGCAACTTTGTTCCTTCCCTGTCTAGCCAAAAAGCAGGGCCAGAGTGGGATCATATCTTGCATAGCCTTCAGCCCAGCCCAGCCCCTCTACGCCTGTGGCTCCTACGGCCGGTCCCTGGGTCTCTATGCCTGTGATGGTGGCTCCCCTCTTGCCTTGCTGGGAGGACACCAAGGAGGTGTCACTCACCTCTGCTTCCACCCCGATGGCAACCGCTTCTTCTCAGGAGCCCGCAAGGTAGGGGTCACGTCCCGAGATTCCAAAGAGGGTGCACCGAAGGCAGGAATGGGGACGTAGTCCGTGCTGTGTTGGGGGACAGACGTGGGAAAAAATTAACCCAAGCTAAGGGAGCGTCTGTAAACCTTGAGGGAAGCAGGGATGTCTTGGGGGGTGGAGGGGGTGGGCAGGGGAGGGATGGACTCCAGGCCCCCCCCGCTCTGTGTCTCCAGGATGCCGAGCTGCTGTGCTGGGACCTCCGGCAGCCTGGTCACCCACTGTGGTCCCTGAGTCGAGAGGTGACCACCAACCAGCGCATCTACTTCGATCTGGATCCGTGAGTGACCGGGTCCTTGCGGCCCGGGGTACCCATGCCCCAGGGCTGCCGGAGCCCAGCTGTAGGTCCCAGCCCCGGGGGTGAGGACTCCGTGTCACTGGGCGTCTCTCTCCCCCAGGACTGGGCAGTTCTTAGTGAGTGGCAGCTCTAACGGGGCTGTGTCTGTGTGGGACTCCAGCGGGGCTGCACAGGAGGGGAAGCCGGAGCCCGTGCTGAGTTTTCTGCCCCAGAAGGACTGCACCAATGGAGTGAGGTGATCCCGGGCCGCCCGGCTCTGGGGGCTCAGGCTGGGGGGCGGGGGGCGCTGAGGTGCTGACGCGCCGTGCGCGCCTCTCTCCCCGCAGCCTGCACCCTAGCCTGCCTTTGCTGGCTACGGCCTCGGGTCAGCGCGTGTTTCCGGAGCCCGCGGACAGTGAGGACGACGGGGAGCAGGGCGCAGACCTTCCCCTGCTTTCCATGCGCCACGTGCACCTTGAATGTCAGCTTCAGCTCTGGTGGTGTGGGGGGGGCCCCGACGCCAGGGCGGCTGATGCCCGCCAGGGCAAGAAGGGGCCGGGGGAGACTGAGGAAGGCGGGGGCGAGTTTGTATAAAAAGGTTCTGTGTGGTACCGGAGGCTTTGTGTCTGTTTTGGGGAGGCGCGTGATGGAGGTGGGGCCGGGAGGGGTACCCGCGGGCTCCCTTGTCCAGCAGCGGTAGGGCTTGGCATATTGTTCCCCAAACCCGGGTGAGAGGTGGGACTAGGCGCGAGCCAATGGGGCTGCGGAGCTCGGTGTGAAGTCAAGCGAGTGGGGGTGGGGCTCCATGCCATTGACTGGCGGGTTGCTAGGCAACTCGGTAAACTGAAGGGGGAACCTGTTTGAAATCTCACTCCCAAGGTGGGGGCGGCAGGGTCAGGGTGAGCGCGGCTGAGCAGCGGTGGCAGGCGCCGTGTGTCAGACTGCTGGGTGTGACTGCGTGAGACCGTGCAGACAGTGACAGACAGGACGCCCGCTCACTCGCGCGGCACGCTGGTTACCACCACCCGGCAGCAGAGGGACCGTTACTCAGCCCGGGGGGGAGGGGAGCCGCAGGGCCCCCCGCCCGCCTCCCCTGGGCTCCCCCAGGAGGCAGGGACTGAGTAGCCCGAGTCAGGGACACACACGAGAGGGCAGAGGTGCCGAGAAGCACAGACGTCCCGTTCTAGGTGCGGGACCGGGGCGGGAGCGGCGCAGGCGGCAGCTGTCACCGGGCCTGTGTCTCCGTTCATCTGCTCGCTTTGGGGGTGGGGGGCGGCTGTGTGGTCGCAAGCAGGGGCTGCTCCCCACCCCCAACCTCGCCAAACACCGAGAAGGGGGCCCCTAAGAGCCCTCGGGCAGGGGATCTGACGTGGGACCTCGCCATTCTGCAGAGCCAGGGGCCTGGAGGCCTGCGACGGCTGAGCGGGGCGAGGAATGTCACCTCTGCCCAGAGGTGCTGAAAGCGAGGGTTCTTACACCCGAAAAGGCAAATCCTCCTCCCTTCCCCCAGGATAATTGGAAACAGCCCTTCCGGCTGATGTGGGTTTGGGGCTGTAGGTACTCCCTTTCCTCTCCCCCGGCCCCGGTTCTCCCCGCCGCCAGGCAGCGAGGGCCCCGGTTTACCCCCCGAACTCTTACCTCGCACCCAGCCCCAGGCAACGGGGAGAGGGCCCAGGAGGAGGAGGAGTGCGGCGACCCGGGCCGGGCGTCCGCCTGTGCCGCCCGCTCCCCGTGTGACCTTGGGCCCGTCTCGGCACCCCCCCCCAGGCCCGAGCCTCAGTTTCTTCATCCCCACAATGGGGGCCCGGTGGCTCTGCCCCTCCCACTCCACACAGGTAGTCGTGACGACCAACTCAGCCCACTTTGTAAAGTGCGGAGCCTTCAAGGTTATTACTATGCTCTCCAGACCTGCCGGGAGCCGCGGCGGCGTTTCGGGCCGGGGGGGGGGGGGGGGGAGGCTGCGGGAGCGAGAGGGGCTGGGCTCCTCCGGGCGGCGAGGGCGAGCGCCTTTCTGGATCTGGGCGCGGAAGGTTCCAGCCGCTCGGGCGGCCCGCGGGCCGGAGGGCAGACGCGCCGGGGCGGCGGCGGGGTGGGGGGGTGGGGTGGGGCGGGGACAAAGGGGGCGCGGGGGGCGGTGGCGGGGCGCGCGGGAGGGGCGCGAGGTGAGGGAGGTGCGGGGGGCGTGGGCTGCGGGCTCCGCCGCCCGCTCCGACGCCGGCTCCAGCTCCGGCTTTTCCCTCCGCCATCCTCTCCCCCTCCCCGCCACTCCTTTAACTCCCCCCTCCCGGGCTCGGCACTGGTTTCCTCCCCGAGCCCGCTGCCCTCAATCCCGGCGAGGCTGGGGCTCCGGCTCGCGGCCCTCCCTCGCTCCCTCGGCCGGCGCCCATGCCGCCCCCGCCCGGCCCCCGGCTGCCCCAGTCCCCCACTTAGGCCGGCCCTGCGATCCCCGGGTGCCCGAGCGCGGGCCGGGGGCGTAGGGCGCCCGCAGGCGGCCCCTGGAAGGGCTCTAGCGGGCTGAGCGCTCCGCGGCAGGGGCGCGGGCAGAGCAGGAAGCGGGTCCGCGTGGGAGCGGGGGGCGGCCGCCGCCGGGGTGGTCGGGGCCGAGCAGCCCGGGCCGCCGAGGCAGTCACCGCAGGGGGCGAGCGACTTTGGGGGAGTTGGTGCCCCGCCCCCCAGGCCTTGGCGGGGTCATGGGGGCCCCCCGTTCTGGGCCGGGGGGCGTGCGAGTCGGGGCCCTGCTGCTGCTCGGCGTTTTGGGGCTGGTGTCTGGGCTCAGCCTGGAGCCTGTCTACTGGAATTCGGCGAATAAGAGGTGAGTGGCCCCGGGCTGGGGAGACCCCACACCCTCCGGGCAGGCAGTAGGGGCGCTTTGGGGATTTGGGGGGCTGGTTCTCGGAGCTGGGAGGAGGCCGGAGGGAGGGGTGCTAGTGCTCTGATGCGAGCTGACGGGTAACGACACAGAGGTGATCTTGGGAGCCAGACTCCTGGGTCGCAGACAGACAGAGCTGGATGTGGGTGGCGACAACCATGTGTCGGGAGTTGGAAGGACCCCACAGGGGCAAGGATCCGAGAAAGTTCCTGGGTAGCCGCCGGGAGGGTGGTGGAGTGGTTATTTGGGTTTGTGAGGGACCTGTGTCCTGTCGGGGGCTGGGCTTGGAGGGAGCCTGGTTAATGTCAGCTCTCGGGAGAGCCGCTGAGTAGGTGCCGCTGAGCGCAGAGGGGAAGGGCAGGGTGCCTCCCTCCCCAGAAGGGACTTTGTGTAGACGAGGGGAGGGAAGGGGGCTCCGCGTGGGGGCTCTGGGGACATCTCACCCAAGGCTTCTGGACTCTCCACACCGTCCGTCCCCTAATTCTTGCCCACAGCCAGAGGGTCAGTGAGCCCTTGGTGGATGGAGTTCCCAAGCAGAAGATACCCCTGCCTTCCTGGCGGGGAGACTTTTTTTTTTTTTTTTTCTGGAAGAAACCTGGAGCCCCTTTCTCTCTTGCATCTAGAGTCCCGAGGACTCCCTTGCCCCCTCCCCCATCTTTGCTGCAAACTCTTCCATCAGACCCTCTGTTCCCTCCCTGGCATGCTTGCTTTGCTCTGAAAAAAGGCCAGGGCTCACATGAAACTTCAAGTCACACTGGGTAGGACGGAACCCTTGGGAGGTCATCCAGGTCCCTGGCCTCCATGCAGAGCCCTCTCCCCGCTAGCAAAAGAGTTCTGTGTTTTGCAAACTTCCCACTTCCCTGGGAGAGGCTGTGTGAGGCCACGGGAAGGGGTAGGGGGTGGGCTTTGGAGTCCACCACATCCAAGATCTTAGTCCTAGCTCCGCTGCTTTCAGCTGTGTGGCCTTGGGCACGTCACTTAACCTTTCTGAGTTTGTATCCTCAGTCCTCACACCTTTCATGAGGATTAGAGAGGTAAGGTGTTTGAACATATTACATGCTCGTTAAAGGAGAACTGGGATTATTGTTTGTCTTCTCTTGACTTCCCAGCTTCCCTCCCTACTATGTCTCTTTGGGTGTAATCTCAAATATCTTTTCTCAGTCTGCTACCCACCAACTCCCAGCTGCGGTTTGAGTATCAGGTGCAGCCCGAGGATCTAAGTTAGGCTTATTATAGGGTTGAGCAGAGGGAGGTAGGGTGCTGGGGGCTCTTTGGGATGTGGGGTGGGAGGGAGTGGGTCATTTGGGAGTCTGGGAAGATCCTGAGCAGCCGTCTCCCCTCCCCCCCCGGGGACCCAGCTCTGGGACCCCATCCCCATTCGTGCACAGGGAGGGGCTGCAGTCAAAGGCAGAGGGAGGCGTGGGCTTGTGGAGGCTGTGGTTAGGAAAGTCAGTTCCAGAGCAATAGGGCCCTTTCCCTAGGAAGTCTGAGCCCCAGGGCAGGAGGGGTACTGAGCAGGGAGATGTCTGGGGCAGCTGACCCCCAGACCCTGCTTCCCATTGGCCTCATTGAGGGCCATTGCCAGACCAGGCATTTAACTCCTGTCACATTGCCTGGCTAACTTGGGACACTGGTCCGGATTACCCTCCACACTCGGCACCCCCCCCTCCAACCCCCACCCCTCCTTTGCCCTGAGATCCCTCAAATTCAGTGGTGGCCTGGGGGAAGGGGAGGCTCTGCCCCCATGGTTGACTGCCGTGGAATAGTGAAATCACCTGGGATGGGTGGGCTGTGTGGTTCCAGAGAGGCCAGCTCCTTGGTAACTGGCATCCCGTTGCCATGGCAACGGGGCTAGTGATGGAGCGAGAGATGGCAGTGTGCGTGTGGCGAGGGCGGGCTGGAGAGTGCATTTGGGCACACCAAGGGGCTGGAGACCTCTGAGCCTGGCTTCCTGCTGCTGCTGAGTCCTCAGGGCCTGCCCTGTCGAAGGCTGGCCTGCAGGGCTGTGCGGCGAGGGAGGCGAAGCTCTGGGGGGCCAGACCGCTGACACCTCTCCTCGTCCACCTGGCCCTCCTCTTGACAGGTTCCAGGCGGAGGGTGGCTACGTGCTGTACCCGCAGATCGGGGACCGGCTCGACCTGCTCTGCCCCCGGGCCCGGCCTCCCGGCCCCCACTCCTCTCCCAATTACGAGTTCTACAAGCTGTACTTGGTCGGGGGTGCCCAGGGCCGGCGCTGTGAAGCACCCCCTGCCCCAAACCTGCTCCTCACTTGTGACCGGCCGGACCTGGATCTCCGCTTCACCATCAAGTTCCAGGAGTATAGCCCTAACCTCTGGGGCCATGAGTTCCGCTCGCACCACGATTACTACATAATTGGTACTGCCGGGCAGAGGGCAGGGTCCGGGGGAGGTGCCCCCGAGACTGAGGGCAGAGGAGGAGCCCAGAGAGACCCCTGATTCCCACCACCGCCCCCCTCCCCGGGGAGGTGTCAGGGCCCGGGAACGGGGACGGAGTAGGGGCTCGGCTCTGGACTGCCAGCCTCTCCCTCTGGCTCTTCTCTCCCAGCCACGTCGGATGGGACCCGGGAAGGCCTGGAGAGTTTGAAGGGAGGCGTGTGCCTCACCAGAGGCATGAAGGTGCTTCTCCGAGTGGGACAAAGTGAGTGGGGGCTGGGGCACACCTCCCGGGAGCTGAGGGAGGTTCGGGTAGTCCCGTATTGGTCAGGGGGCTGCCGTCTCAGCCCCTCTCTCTTGGGTCTTCCCCATCTCCAGGTCCCCGAGGAGGGGCCGCCCCCAGAAAGCCTGTGTCTGAAATCCCCATGGAGAGAGACCGGGGGGCAGCCCACAGCCTGGAGCCTGGGAAGGAGAACATGCCAGGTAGGAGCCAGGGGTCCAGCCTCCTGCCTTCCCCCCGCCTCCTCTGTTCTCGGACCCCAGCTGCCCAGCCTTCACCCTCTTCCTCCGCCTTCAGTTTTGGGGGGGATGATGATACAGGAAAGAGAAGAGAGGTTGGGAGGGTGGGAGGGGAGTGGAAACCAAATGAGGAAAAGACTCAATTAGAACTAATTAGCCAATTCAATCAGAGCTGTCAGAGAAGTAGGGAAGACTATTTGGCACCGAGCTGAAGGGCTGGACACACCTGGATTCTGAGTGGGATTTGGGGGGGGAAGGGAAGGTGGGGTCCCCAGGGGGCTTGGGCCCTGCTGGGGAAGCCCATGGGGACCCCCAAGGCTGGGTGTCCAGATGCCCAGGTGGCTCCTTCAGCCCCTCCCCCTCTTTCCTCCTTCACCCCTTCCCTGCCAGGTGACCCCACCAGCAATGCAACCTCCCGGGGTGCTGAAGGCCCCCTGCCCCCTCCCAGCATGCCCGCGGTGGCCGGGGCAGCGGGGGGGCTGGCGCTGCTCTTGCTGGGCGTGGCAGGGGCTGGGGGTGCCATGTGCTGGCGGAGACGGCGGGCCAAGCCTTCGGAGAGTCGCCACCCTGGTCCTGGCTCCTTCGGGAGGGGAGGGTCTCTGGGCCTGGGAGGCGGAAGTGGGATGGGGCCTCGGGAGGCTGAGCCTGGGGAGCTAGGGATAGCTCTACGAGGTGGTGGGGCTGCAGACCCCCCATTCTGTCCCCACTATGAGAAGGTGAGTGGTGACTATGGGCATCCTGTGTACATCGTGCAGGATGGGCCCCCCCAGAGCCCTCCCAACATCTACTACAAGGTATGAGGGCTTCTCCTACCTGGCTCTCCCGGATCCAGCCCTTCTTGGGGGTGCTCCTCCAGTTTAAGTCATGGTTGGAGGGACACCTCTAGCATCCCCTTGGCCCCCTCGCCCCACCAGCTCCTGTGCCCCTGCTGTTGTGGACCCCTTCCCCATGTTTAGGATTCCTTAAGACTCCTGCCCTCGGTTGGCCGCGTGTGGCCCCCGCAGAGACTCAGCCTCCTCTTCTGACCGTGACCCGGCCGTCCTTGTGCCCCCCACACACCCAGAGCTAGGGGCGGGGACAGTCTGTCTTTTGGTTGGCACCTCTTCCTTTCTGCCTCTCACTGTTTTTCTCTTCTCTCTCTCTCGTATTCTCTCTCTCTCTTTCTCTCCTGTCTCCAGGTCTGTTCCTCTTTCCTAGCACCCCCCTCCCTGCGTCTCCTTTTACCTTTTCAGCTTCCTCTCCTTGGCCTCTCCCATCTCCCGGGTGGGGGGACACAAGCATTCCCCCCCTGAGCTCCCTCTTCTGACCTCTCTCACCAACCGCTCCCCTCAGTCTGCCAAAAATGGGGGCCTTATGGGGCAGGCTCGGGCCCTCCACCCCAGCTCCGGGCACGGGCAGCGGGGCCTCCTTCTCTGCCCTGCCGCAGGCCTATACATTCTTACTCCAGCCCATCTGGGGTGGTTGGGTCGTGACAGCTGCCGTGGAAGAAGTGTCCTGTTTTGTCAGTGGCCACGAGCAAGATGCGACCCGGTCGGGGCACACGTGTGGATTTGGTCTGATGCCGAACGGGCCCGCTTGGGACGGGAAGTGACTTGCTGCAGACAAGAAGTGCCCGGAGGAGGCCTGGACAGAAGTGGCCTGGCCAAGGGGCAGGAGCGGTGCAGCAGGAACGGAAGTGCCTTCATCCAGGACAGGAAGTAGCGCTTCTGAAATAGGAAGTGGTCTGGCTGGAACTCCAAGTGGCTTAGTCTTGGGGGGCGGGGGCGGGGGCGGCAGATGGTTCTTACTCTGTGGAGCAGTGTGTGTGTTGGGGGGGCCGGAAGTACTTCCTGTTTCAGGAGGAAGCCGGAACTGACCGTTAGAAGACAGGGTGGACTGAGGAGGATTCTCCCAGTCTCCAGGGGCACTTCCCGGGACCTCCCTTCCCCACCCCCTGTGCTACTTTGAGGACGGCTAAGGTGACTGCCACCAGGTGTAGCAGGCCCCGTTTGTCTTCTTCTTCCCTCTCCCCACCCCAGTATAATCTCTGTTAATCAACAGGACTATCCCAAGACCCCGTGTGTTGTCCCCAGTAACCCAGAGGGCTGTCTTGTTCATCACATCGTCCAATTCCTCGTCCCTTCAGACTCGACACAGCTCCCTTCTTAGTGACCAAAATGGTGGCCTACTGACCGGTCTAGGGGACGGTGGTACTTAGCCCCTGTCACTGTTTCCATAGCGACCGGCGTGTACCTCTCTCTGCCCCGTAGTGCACAGATTGGGTGTTGCCCTCTTTTGCTCCCGGCTCAGTCTCATTAGATCAGAGCTGCCCTTGGGCACCACGTCGGCCACCTCAATCACCAGCCAGGATGGTTACTTTGTCGACCAGAGGTCCAGTCATCTCTCTGGTGCTGTAGCTCCCAGCTCCTTCCTGATTTTTCTAATCGCTCCTTCCAGAGAACAGGAAGTTGATATTGCCATGGGGGAGGTGGCGGGGTATGGCCGTCACCTCGATAGTTTTACTGTAAAAGGGAAATCTGAACAACAAAAACCAAAAAAATAAAAAACTTCAAAAGTTGACAAGAAGGCTGGAGAATGACTGGGCGGGAGTTGGGACGGAGGACGGGTAGAACGGCTTTCAAGCTGAGAGTTGGATCACATAGAGCCAAGGGGAAGGGTGGGGAGCCGGTTGGGTTGGAGGGGTGAGGGGGTGATACATGGGGAAGGGATACTGGGCTGGATGGTTGGAGGGGTGAAATGGACAGTACAGGGGGACAGGATATCGGGCTGGGTGGTTGGAGGCGTGAGGTGGACAGTACAGGGGGACAGGATACCGGGCTGGGTGGGGTGGAGGGGTGAGGTGGACAGTACAGGGGGACAGGATACCGGGCTGGGTGGGGTGGAGGGGTGAGGTGGACAGTACAGAGGGACAGGATACCGGGCTGGGTGGTTGGAGGGGTGAGGTGGACAATACAGGGGGAAGGGATACTGGGCTGGGTGGTTGGAGGGGTGAAGTGGGCAGTACAGGGGGACAGGATACCGGGCTGGGTGGTTGGAGGGGTGAGGTGGACAGTACAGGGGGACAGGATACCGGGCTGGGTGGTTGGAGGGGTGAGGTGGACAGTACAGGGGGACAGGACACCGGGCTGGGTGGGTTGGAGGGGTGAGGTGGACAGTACAGGGGGACGGGATTCCGGGCTGGGTGGTTGGAGGGGTGAGGTGGACAGTACAGGGGGAAGGGATACCGGGCTTGATGGTTGGAGGGGTGAGGTGGACAGTACAGGGGGACGGGATACTGGGCTGGGTGGTTGGAGGGGTGAGGTGGACAATACAGGGGGAAGGGATACTGGGCTGGGTGGTTGGAGGGGTGAGGTGGACAGTACAGGGGGACAGGATACTGGGCTGGGTGGTTGGAGGGGTGAGGTGGACAGTACAGGGGGACAGGATTCCGGGCTGGATGCGAAGGCCGAGGCAGCTGGCTCCAGGGGAGGGAGAGAGGAACCCAGACCAGAGCATGAGTTGCTAGTACATCCAATGGGGATGCATGTGAGGCCGTGTTCACTCGTGTCTGTTGCTAAACCAAAGCGCCAGAGACAAGGCAAGTCGCAGTCAGAAACAGTGGGAAAAAACATGTTCCCGGGTTCAACTCTGCTCCCTACCACCCCCGCCCAAGGCACCTCTGACTCGGGGAGTTTTGCTGCTGGGGACCAGAGTGGGCAGAAATGGTATGACTCCCCAGAAGACTCAGGGACCCAGGCATCAAGCTGCCTGCCCGGTGGCTCCCTGTGTACCCATAGCGCAGGCTCTTCTTCCCTAAAACCCCCTGGGTGCCCAGCCCCCTAGACTCAGCCCCATTCTCCAACCACAAAAGCAGCCAGCCAGGAGCATCTCTGGAGCTAGTCGGCAGGGGTCACAGCCTCTGCCCTGCCCGCCCCTCCCCTGACTTTAGGTCCCCTCCCGCTGTCTCCCATCTGCCTGGAGGTCAAGGGGTCCTCCTGCCCCACTCTGTCCAAGGGAACCCCTGCCCCTCCTCCTGTCCAAGCAAGACGCCTGGGGCCTGAGAGGTGCGGGCGCTCTGGGAGGGGAGCTGCCAACGGAGGCCAGGTGCTGGACCGTCTGGAATTTACTCCTGTCCTTCGGAGCCCGCACTGGGGCAGCCTGAGGTGGGGAGGCTTGAGGGGGGTGGAAGGGCTGGTCCCTGCCCCTTAGTGGGGGTTGGTTGTCATGGCAACATCCCCTTCTCCACACAATGGGAAGCCCCCCTCAGCCTCCCGCGTGGATGGAGCCGACAGCCCCATCGCTGGCTATCAGCCTCAGGGACTTGGCAACCGTCTCTATGGCAACCCAGAGCCCAGCAACAGGGCCCAGTGAGAAAGGGAGGGGTCCAAGACTGGGGCAGGGCTGTGTGCGTGAGGGGGCAAGGGAGCCGGGGGAGAACCAACCCGCCCTCCCCAACAGACCTCCAGAGGCGCAGGTGGAGGGACGATGAGAGGGAAGAGAAGTGGGGATAAATAGTCTCGGTGACAAACACCTCCCCGAAGCAGCCAAGACATCGTAACACGCTGAGAGACAGGAAGACACCTGGGGACAGATGCACAGCTGGGGACAGGAGCTGCACATTCTGCACAACATCCTGGGACACACCCCCTCGGAACGCTGGCGTCTCTGGACTCTTCCCCCTCCGCACGCGCGCAGGGACAACACATAGAACCACACATGCCATCCTGTTCTCTTTCTGGGTCCAAACACGCCAACATGCCCCCCAGGTAGCGGCTACCTCGAAACGAATAGAGGGGGCAGGAACACATTCATTTTTGTTGTTGTTCGAATATTCGCTCAACATCCTATTGTGTACTTTGTTCCAGGTACTGTTTGGGGCCCTGGGAATATACAGTAAATGCAGCAAAGTCCCTGCTTTCACCAAGCCCATGTCTGGGTGGGGGACAACCTGATAACATTTCTGGCAGTGACAGGTAATATAAACAAACCAGAGTAACAGGATGAAGAGGATGGAGAGTAACAGGGAGGTGCTTTAGGTTAGGAGGTCAGGAAGGTCCCGCTGAAGAGGTGACATTTGACTCCGACCTTGAGTGAGTGATGTGGAGGAAGGCTCTGGGAAGGGCACACCCCACAGAGAGAACAGCAAGTGCAAAGCACAGAGGTGAGATCTTGGCATGTTTGGGAAGAGTGAGAAGGACCTCGCAACCAGCAGACGTCCCAGATGTGTCCTGTCCTTCTGCAGCCTCAGCCTGCAGGGGGGCAAGTCATGTAGGGTCTAGAATCCACATTTAGGAAGTTGGTCTAACTCGGTATTCCTGTTCTCCCCTTAGGGTGTTGTGCGTGAGTTGCGTTTTCCTCAACTACATTTTAAGCTCTGGGAGGGCAAGGAAGATGCTCTGAGCTTTGTGGGGGCCATGGCCCAGCTGCTGGTAGGGGGTCTAGAGTGGGCAGGCGGAGAGGAAGTAGGGGAGCCCAGAGAACCGGGAACCACAGAGGCTAAAGCTGCACATACCCTCCCAACCCCCACCCCCAGTCCCAAACAGCAGAGGCTGTCCTGGGGGCTGAGCTGCACACAGAGGCTCACACTTTGCAGGACATGAATTAGGTGGACGTGTGTGTGTGTATGTGGGGTTATGTTGGGGGGTTTTAAGGAAAGGGGCATAGAGCAAAGGGCTGCTGTGGGAATTTCTGATAGGGAATGGTCGACATCCCAAGTGGAATTTCAGTTAGCACGAAAAATGGAGCTTCCTAAGGGGCTATGTGGGGAATTGCAAACAGGGGGCCCCCCCTTCCTCCAGGGAAAGTTTCAAGATCTGTAGGCAGGCTGGGGGAAATGCCGCAGGGTGGCTTGGAAGCAGGGGGCTGGCTGGGATAGGCTCAGAATTTTGGGGGCAGCATGGAAAGGAATGAATGCAGGGCAGGAGGAGGAGAGATGTCTGAGAGGTAGCAGGGAAGGTGGAGTCCTGAAGGGAGTTCTCAGGGGACTAGGTCCCAGGGCTCCCCCCGATTCCCACGGGGAATTGAAGCATTTGGGTTCCTGCTTCTCCCTCTTCCTCCCCCCCCCCCCCGCCCTTAGAAACTCAGGCACCAGCTCCCTCCGGCTCTGGTGCTTGGAGCTGGTGCTGGTGGTGGTGAGACTGAGCAGCTTCAGCGGGCGGCAGCTGGTGAGTGGGGAGCAATCTGTGTGCTCAGCAAACAGCAGTCTCAGTGCCCGGGGTGGCTGCCTCCTCCCTCATCAATCAGCCCCAGCCAAATGTCCTCGGATTCCCACCACCCCAAGGGGACTGGGGCTGGGCCAGGGTCCCCAGGGGAGTGAGATGGGGATGGGTGGGGGAGGTTGGGGGGAGGGCTTGGCTTCCCATCTCTTCGCCTCTGTTCTTTCTCTTCTCTCCTGGAAGCTCTCAGCTCTTCATGTCATGGAACGGCTCTCTCCTGGCCCCGACCATTGTGAGGGCATCAGCTACAAATCACCTGTGGGGGTCTGCTGGGGGAGAAGGGGGGAAGAGGGATGAGTCAGGGCTCAAGAGGAATCTACTCTGGTTCTCACGGGACCGGCCCAGGGCACAGTCAGCAGGAGGCTGCTGGGACAGAGGCCCTGTTCCCACCTCCCCGCCCCCCACCCCCCCAGCTGGCCTCTCCATCCCTGATGGATGCTCTGGACAACAGGCTGAGACCCTGACTCCGTGAATGTCCTCTCTCCCACCTTCTCCCGGCCCCCATCCCTCACTCCCTTTACTTCCCACCAAGATCCAGAGGTCCAGCCCCCGGCTCACCCCAGATCTGCTGCTCCCCACTGGGGACTGAGGCCTCTAGACCTTCGCCTCTGGCTCACTCTCCCCCTCCTCAGCCCTTGCTCCCCTCAGGGACCCAGGCGTCCTGCCCACTCTCTTCACCATAACAACCATTCTTTGGGGGTTGCTTAAGACTTTAATATCATTTCATTAAGTCAGCTAGTTAGAGAAGGTTGGGGGCACAAAGGGACTGGGGCGGGCAAAAGACGGCCAAGGTAGGGGGGAAGCAAGGGAAGAGTCCCCCTCTCTCCGTGGAGATCGCTCTGAGACATCCAATATTGACAGTGAGAGAACAGAACTTATTAAATCTGGGACAGGGCTGTGAGTGGGGAGCTGTGGGAATGGCCGGATGCCTGGGTTCTGAGGGTAATGAAGGTCTGGGAGGAGGGAAAGGCTCGAGGCTGGGGGATGCAGTAAGGGTAAGGGGCTTACGGGTACACCTCTTCTGTCCCTTCCCTTTGGGGGGTATTGCGTCTTGGTGCCCTGGCTGGCCCCTGGAGCCCCTGGGGACAAGACTCCCACCGCAGCTCTGGTTGGCTCCCCCTCAGCCCTTCCCCCTACCTCCACCTCTGTTGATGAGCTTCAGCAGCGTTTAATCCGATTGAGCAGTAATTAGCAAAGCGAGATGTTTGATTACCTATTTAGCATAATGTAGGGGGCTGGGATCCCTCCGCACAGCCAAGGGTGGGGGGGGCAGTCAGAAGAGAAATGGGGTCTACACAACCTTCCTTTCCTGTGGGAGCCATGAGCCCAGTTTCTAAGGCTCCCCGCCCCATGCCTCCCTTCAAATCTTCACTCCTTTGGGACTTCTCCCTGGGGGATCGGACCAATCATGTCATCTCTCTGCCACCCACCGCCTATTTGGTTAGAGGATCACCCACTTGGCCCCCACTTGCTGTGCAGCTGGTTTGGGGCGTGGCAGGGCCCCTCACAACTCCAACCCTTTTCTTCAGCAGAAGGACTTTGGCCTGGGCAGGAGGCCCCAAATCAAGACCCAGACGTCTACCTTAAGGATAAGGGGGCGGGGGGGGGGGGGCGGGTCAATTCTGGAACTCAGGACAGCTGGGACGGTGAGGTCAGGGTTGGGTGTGGGTGAACCCAAGGGCCCTTCGCGAGTCCCCGAGACAGCAGAGCCTTGTGGTGCATAACGAGGCCCGTCAGGTGTGAACACCAACCGGAAAAAGGGGGAACGGAGGTGCCAACTTCTCCCCCTCCTCATCCAGCAAAGAAAATGTCATCAATGCAGCTCGTCATGGAAATGTAATCAGTGGGCTCGCCGCTGGCTTTGTCTTAATTAGGCACTATTGATGGAAGCAGGGAGGGTGCCTTCCCATCCCCCTGACTCGCTTCCTCGCTCCAGCTCCTCCCGCCACCGCAGAGCCCAGGGCTCCAGGCGCCCCGTCCGCGGCCCCGGGCCCGCAGCGCCCCCTAGCCCCAGCTGAGGTCTGCCCCCCCACCTCTCCCGCCCCCCCAGGACTCAGCCTTTGTTCTCACCGAGAGCCGAGCCCCTCCCCGGCCCGGTCACCTTCCCCAGGGAGTCCCCGCCTCCCGTTCCCCCCAAACGGGCGACGCGTCCCAGAGCCAGCCTCCAGGTTCCCCAAATTCCAGTTCCGTTCTTGCCTGCCCTCCCCCGCCCGCGCGGCCCGGCGCTCCCAGACCCCGGTCCGAGCGCAGGCGAGGCAAACGAGCGGCAGGGCTCGGCTGCTCCAGCCCCGGTTTTTCCCCCGGCCCCGGCCGCAGCCACGGCTGCCTCGAAATCCTGGAGCGCCTTCCTGAGCGCCGACCAGCCCCGCAGGCGGGACGCCGGGCGCCACCTGCCGGACGCGTGCGGGAGCGAGCCCGCAGACCCGGGCGCGGGGTCGCGCGCGGGGGCTCCCCGGCCCTTCCGGGGTCCCGCGGGGGCGGGGGGGCGGCTCGTGCCCTCAGCCCCGGCCCCCCCGGCGCGTCCTCGGACCACACCCGGCCCCCTCCGGCCTGCCGGACTCGGGGGCCCGCCCGCGGGGGGCCGGCCCTTCTGGCCGCGGGTCCCCGCGGGGCGCACGCGGGCCGAGTCGGGCGGCCGGGCGGCGGAGCGCGGCTGCCCCGCGCCCGCGCCTGCGCCGTGGAGGCCGGGCTCGCGGGCTCGCGCCCGGGCCGCTCGCCCCGCCCCCAGGCGCGGGGTTGCCTTGGCGACGCGTGCAGGCGCGGGCGGGAGCGGGGCTCGCGGGGCACTTTCCCGCTGGAGTGGCCGGCCGGCCGGCCCGGGGTGGACAGGGTCGGCGGCGTGAGGTGTGTGGCGGGGGCAGAGCGGAGGAGGGGAGCCGTGGGAAGCTTCGGGGAGAAGGGGCCGGGGTGGAGGGGGCGGAGGGCGGGCGGGGGACAAGAAGGGGCGGTAGGGGTCGAGACGCCGCGGCGCGGGGTGGGGCGGTTGTGACCGTTGTAGGCAAGTTTGCCTCCTGGGAGCCCGCTCGAGGCCAGGCCGGGTCCCCAGGCTGGCAGAGCAGCCCCCCCGGGGCCCGCCGTGGGGAGGGTGCCCCCAGCCTGGCCCGCGAACGCCCCTGGGGCCCCGACCCGGAGGCAGGGGAGCACAGCCCGACGCTTCTCTGGAGACCCGCAGCGCTGCTGCAGTTGGTTTTATCGATGCTTTGGCCCGATGGAACCTTTTTCCTTGGAGCGAAGTACACATCCTTCAAGTCTGCATCTCATCACCTGTGATCAATGCCTGGGGCAGCCCGTGGGGACGCGGGGGGAGAGCCACAGGTGGCTGTCAGGCTTGAGCGGGACGCAGCCCCGCATTGCCCCTGCGACTCCCAAAGCCGGCCGGACATGCTCCTGCTTTCCTGGGCGAGGCCTGGGAAGGCCCGAGACGCAATGCGAAATTCCACCTTGGGTGACTTTCCCACTTTTCTCCTTGCTTCTCCCAGTCTGTTCTCAGGGCATGAGGAGTGGGATGATCTTCATCTTCATTACTCAGTCAACTATACTAAGAGACCTTTATTTTTTTATTTTTTAATTTAATTTATTTTTTTAATTTTATTTATTTTTTAAAGATTTTACTTATTTATTTGAGAGAGAGAGAATGAGAGACAGAGAGCATGAGAGGGAGGAGGGTCAGAGGGAGAAGCAGACTCCCTGCCGAGCAGGGAGCCCGATGCGGGACTCGATCCCGGGACTCCAGGATCATGACCTGAGCCGAAGGCAGTTGCTTAACCGACTGAGCCACCCAGGCGCCCCATGATTTTATTTATTTGAGAGAGAGAGAATGAGAGAGAGCACATGAGAGGGGGGAGGGTCAGAGGGAGAAGCAGGCTCCCCGCCGAGCAGGGAGCCCGATGCGGGACTCGATCCCGGGACTCCAGGATCATGACCTGAGCCGAAGGCAGTCGCTTAACCGACTGAGCCACCCAGGCGCCCCATGATTTTATTTATTTGAGAGAGAGAGAATGAGAGAGAGCACATGAGAGGGGGGAGGGTCAGAGGGAGAAGCAGGCTCCCCGCCGAGCAGGGAGCCCGATGCGGGACTCGATCCCGGGACTCCAGGATCATGACCTGAGCCGAAGGCAGTCGCTTAACCGACTGAGCCACCCAGGCGCCCCATGATTTTATTTATTTGAGAGAGAGAGAATGAGAGAGAGCACATGAGAGGGGGGAGGGTCAGAGGGAGAAGCAGACTCCCTGCCGAGCAGGGAGCCCGATGCGGGACTCGATCCCGGGACTCCAGGGTCATGACCTGAGCCGAAGGCAGACGCTTAACCATCTGAGCCACCCAGGCGCCCTAAGAGACCTTTTCAGTACACACAAAACAGGGTTCCTACCTCCCCGCCCCCCAGACCACCAGCAATGAAAAGCTAGAGAGACATGTCACAAATATGGTTTTTCTTTGCTTAAGGAGGTTGAACATTTTAGTGTGGGTAGGAGGAGAATTTTCCATGCCCCCCCTCCCCTCTTGGGGGGGTTATTAGTAAGCTGGGAGGAAAGGAGCTACATAGGAAAATCATCTTGGGGTGTTTCATTGACTTGACACAGAGACAAGGGTGGGGAACCTGGGGACAGTGTTCCCTTCCCTGGGCCTTCTCTCACTCACCCATGGCCCTGAGGGGTAAGGTGGTTGAGGTGTGTGTAACCACCCCTCAGCTTGGTAGGTTTTTTCCATTCTGACACTTCTGGGCAGAGAGAGGGGTTCCTAAGTCCTCCTTAGCGGGTGTCTGTTAGAGGCTACCCTCTTCAACTTTCGTTCATTCCTAAAGCCTTAAGGGACTGACTTTGATTTTTTGACCCAATACACTGAAGAAAGTGGGATTCCCCAGGGAAGGGAGTGAGCTCTGCAAGGCCCCTTGTGGTTCATGGCGCAGGGTGTGGGTATCCCCAGATGAGAGTATGATACGGAGTGGGGTCTCAGTTCGTGCATTCAGAGGGGACTGAGTATCCTGGGGGGCGGGGTGAGGGTGGCTCTGGTGGTGGATCCCCAGCTGCTCGCATGTCTACAGGTCCTGCCCGCACCATGTCCAGCAAAGCGGAGAAGAGGAGGAAAGTGAGTGTCCGGGGAAGTGCCAGCCGCGGAGGCGCCCGCAGGAGAGCTGGTCAGGCGGAGCTGGCCTCGCAGCCTGCGGAGAACCCCCTGTCCTCTGACGAGCCTGAGCTGGAGCCTGAGCCCCTCAAAGAGGAGCCTGGTGGGTACCTGCTGGGGAGGAGCTTGGAGGCAGAATGTTTGTATTTAAAGAGGGTCTGAGGGCTGTTGCTCCTGGGTTATAAGCTGGGGGTTCGGTGGAATCTAAGGCCTGCTGCGGAGGTCCTTCTTCTGTGTTTTCCTCCTGGCCAGCCTCATACCTGTTCTTTCTGTCTTCCTATCCGCCCCACCCCCCACCCCCCCACCCCCCCACCAATGCACCAAGAGCTTGCTAGCCAGTCCATTATCTTCGCCTCTTTCTCCTGACTTCGAGTGTTCCCAGTTGCTCCTACCACACCGAAGAGGGTTTGATCTCTTCCTTTTTCCCATTTTCACCCTGGGTGGCAAAACAAATAATGTTTTTCTCCCATTAAGCCCATCACCATGGAGACTCAGCCTGCTTTGCCACCCTTTGAATCCTAAGCCTGACGGATGCTTTCTCCCATCTGTTTCAAGCTCTTGTAGTTCTGCCTTCATTTTGGCAGGGGCCTCGGTCGACTCAGGAGGTTCAGGTCCAGGGCCACGAGAAAAGCAGCCTGATGTCTACATCGTGGGGGGGGTGGCGAGGGGAGAAAAGAGTTTAAAGAGTCTGCCTCCCGTGGCTTTGATCGAGGGACTCCGGCCCTGTGGGTTAGAAGGTTTTGGGTGGCTGTCGCTGTCCCTGGGCTGTCCCTTAGAGCACTGGACAGTGCAGATATGACTATGAACTAAGCATAGCCCTCCTCTTTTCCATGGGGCTTCTTTACCCTGCTGGCAGCCTGTCAAGATGGAGAGAAATGGAATCTCCTTTTGATATTAAAAGCGGGGAGATTAAACATGGGTGTGGGAGAAGGGTCCAGGGTACACGGGGTCCCTAGGATCCAGACGTTAGAAATATGCAACATGTTTCCTTCTGAGTTCTCTCGGAAGCATTTCAAGTGGGACTGGCTCCCAGAGGCTGGGTACCGGGAATAGAGGGAGGGAGCAGGAGAGGCGGCGAGGTTCAGTTTGGAGAACCCTCCAGTGTGGGAAGGGAAGGAGATTCTAGGTGAAAGCACTGACCAGCAAATACAAAGAATCTAGGCCTCCCTGAGCTCTAAGCCTTTTTATTGTTTGACGTAGAGACACATAACCCCAACGGAGGCTCAGAGAGGCTCTGGGCCTCCAGAGCAGCCCCGAAACACACGGTAATCCCTGTCACCTTTGGAGTTGGGGAGGGATTGAGGCCTGTCCCGCTGGAGACAGGGGGCCCTGCTATGGTCTGAATGTTTGTGTGCCATCCCCCCCCCCACAACTTGGTGTTGAAATCCTAATGCCCAATGTGATGGGATTAGTAGGTGGGGCCTTTGAGAGGTGCTTAAATCATGAGAGGGCTTAAAACATGTCATGGATGCGATAAGTGCCTTAGGAAAGTGGTTCCAGAGAGATCCCTTGCCCGGTTCTTCCATGTGAGGACACCATGAGAAGTCCGTGACCCAGAAGAAGTGACCAGGTTGGCATCGTGATCTAGGACTTCCAGCCTTCAGAAGCATGAGAAATAAGTTTCTGGTGTTTATAAGCCGCCCAGTCTGTGGTATTTTGTTATAGCAGATGCTGGGTCGAAGAAGGGCCTAAGATGCTTCTTGGTAAAGATGGGTAAAAGGGCAGACACCCTTTGGAGGTCTGTATTAACAACCTTTGCTTCCTTAAGCCTTCCTCAATTCCCATTAAGAAAAGAAGGAAGGACAGGTTTATAATTCCATATTTGTAATTTGAAAACACTTAAAAAAAAAAGATTTTATTTATTAGAGTGAGCGAGCTCGAACACAAGCAGGGGGCAGGGCGGAGTCAGAGGGAGAAGCAGACTCCCCGCTGAGCAGGGAGCCTAACTCGGGCTCGATCCCAGGAACCTGAGTGGAAATCAGGAGTCGGATACTTAACCGAATAAGCCACCTAGGCGCCCCTGGATGACCCTATATCTTTACTTGCATCAGAGCCTAGTTTTTTTTAGCAGCCACACCCCCACAGATCCTGATAACCAACAATCCACTTTCTGTCTCTGTGGATTTGCCGATTCTCGACATTTCTTGTAAATGGATTCATACAGCGTGCGGTCTTTCGTGACTGGTTCCTCCCTGGTGTGGCAAGGTGGCCAACCTCTGTTCCTTTTTATTTTTATTTATTTATTTGACAGAGAGAGAGATAGTGAGAGGATGAACGCAAGCAGGGGGAGTGGGAGAGGGAGAAGCAGGCTTCGCGTGGAGCAGGGAGCCCGATGCGGGGCTCGATCCCAGGACCCTGGGATCATGACCTGAGCCGAAGGCAGACGCTTAACGACTGAGCCACCCAGGCGCTGAATCATATTCCCCTGCAGTTTGTGGATCACGTCATTTGTTGATGGATACTTGAGTTTCCGCCTTTTGGCTGCTGTGAATCGTGCTTCCGTGAACATGGGTGCTCTGAGTGTCTGTTGGAGTCCCCACCTCCAGTTCTCTCGGGGATCCGCCTGGAAGCGGAATATGGTGGGGTCATGTGGTGACTCTGGGTCATAGGGTGACTCTGTGTTTAAGTTTTGAAGGAACGACTTCATCTTGGAATTTTTCTTCTTCCCAGAGCCACCACTGAAGGAACCCGAAGTAGAGAAGGAAGAATTACCGGAGCCCGAGGTGGATGTGGTGAGTTAGGGTTTCCCCGAGACAAACATTCTTCCCCAATAACCGGTGAATCCGAGGGTTAGTTGTACAATGGCGTGCGAGGAATTCTCTTCTATCTACTGGGAGCCTGCTCACCACAAATCCGGTCTCTGTCCCCCACGCCCCCAGGAGACAGCTTTAAGTGAGGGACAGGTCTCGTAGCTGTCGCTTCCTTGTGTCCCCACCTTGAGTCAGGCTGGGACAAGCTGGGTGTGTGATGCCCAGCTGTTTTCCAGAGGAGTGGCACGTTCTGGCCCCACGCTAGCAGCTAGTGCTTTCCAGGCCTGCGTGTGGGCAGCGTAGCAATAAATGCTCCATCTTTGCTATTTTTATTTGTATTTGTTTGATTTCAAGTGAAATTGGACATTTTTTCATATTTTCACTTTCTGATTTCTATGAGGTGACACGCCTGTTCATGTCCCTTTGTGCATTCTTTTCCTGGCGTCGTTGTGTTTTCTTCATAGGCTCATCGACATCTTTGTATGAGAGAGATCTTAGAGCACTGAGTTTTCTTGATTTGGAAACTTTAAGTGAAAGAGACTCTTTATCTTCCAGGAGAACTGGGAGAAGGACAGAGTGACTCCCCATGTTCCTCTTCATGTCTTCTAGTTTCCTTGAATATTTATTTATTTATTAAAAATTTTTATTTATTTATTTGACAGAGAAAGAGACACAGCGAGAGAGGGAGCACAAGCAGGGGGAGTGGGAGAAGAAGGCTTCCCGTGGAGCAGGGAGCCCGACGCGGGGCTCGATCCCAGAACCCTGGGATCATGACCTGAGCCGAAGGCAGACACTTAACGACTGAGCCACCCAGGCGCCCCTAATTTCCTTAAATATTTAAAGCGTATTTATTTTCTTTAGTAATCTCTACACCCAACGTGGGGCTTGAACTCACGACCCTGAGATCAAGAGTCACACGTTCCTCAGACTGAGCCAGCCAGGTGCCCCAAGTTTCCTGAATTATTTAGTGGAGTTCTACGGATGAGTTTTTTTAGAGTCACCAGTTATAATTTATTTTTCATCCAATTTTAGTATATGTGCTGCCAAAGCGAGCACAATTTATTTTTCATCTAATTGATGTGTTCTTTGGTGTTTCCCAGTCTTGTCTTTTCCCCTCCCTTCTTCCTTTCTGCTATGCCAATTGGCTTTCACTGGATATCTCCTATTACTTCAGTACCCCGGGGAGGCTGCAGCCTTATCCTTTTCCTGGCTTGCCATCTTTGCTCCTGGTTGCTTGCTTTAGGCTAATATCCTACAGGTTCCCTTGACTTAGTTTTACTTTGAGGTTGAGGATTGCTTGACGATGCGTTTTTACAACCACAGGCATAAAGGAGATATCTTGGGAAGATAATATCCCCCACTTTTCGTCTAGTGATCTATTCTCGTTTTACTTGTAGAAACAAGGGAATCTCATTGTCTTGTTTCTTCAGAAGCTTGAAACCTATCACTCAGTTCATCCTCAGCCTTCTCTTCACCATTCCAGACCCTTCTGACTTCTCGTCTCCCATGTCCTCACGCGCACTTGTGAATGGGAGAAATGACTCATCCTAACAGCTGTACCTGCTTCGGCTCTCTGCTCTCCTTCTGTAGAAGCCCCTTTTCCTGTCCCGAGCTGTGCTGACAGGACTAGCGGATGCCGTCTGGACAGCGGAGCATGATGCCATTCTGGAACACTTTGCCCAGGACCCTTCGGAGCTCATCCTCACCATCTTCATTGACCCCTGTATGGGGCTGAAGCTAGATCTGGGCATGTCTGTACAGGTGGGTACTCTGCTCTCCAGACTCCAAGGCGGTCTGCCAGGGAGCTGAGGGTTTGGTGTATCTCAGTCATCTTGGAGTCTTATCTCCTGGACCCAAGGTCTGTTGAGCCTCATGGTGTGTCAGGAACCCCGCTCAGCAGTGGGATACAGAGAGGAACGAGGTGGGCTTTCGCTTTTGGTGATCTCATGGTCTAGTGGGGAAGACAGACATATACAGAATATTTATAGTATGTTATGATGCCATGGCCAGAGCTTTATAGGAGCTTGATAGGGGCAACTGCTACAGCCATGGAAGGCTGGCAGGGCTCGGCGATGGAGGTGCTATTTCAGGTGGAGATGAAAGGGAAATAGGATTTCATCGGGTCTGGGTAAGAGCCGTGCTGGTAGAGAACACTTCGTACGCAAAGAAGAGCTTTGGGAAGTGATCCTGAAAAGGTGGGTGGGCGGCAGCTTGTGGAGGGCCTTGTCTGTTAGGCTGGACAGTTCGGCCTCGGGCCCAGGGGGAGCTAGCGAAGGCCTTCACGGATGAGGTCGGTGCCTGTTTCAACAATGTGGAAGATGCATTAGCGAAGAGTAAACCACGGGTAGGGAGAACGTGCAAGGACAGGTAGAGTACCACGTTAGTGGTAGCCTCTGGGCGGCAGGTGTATAGGTCGTTATTGTAAAATCCTTGTAACTTTTCTACCTGTTTGATATCTTCGAAATAAAATATTGGAGAAGAGAAAGGCTTTTGCTTTGCTTTTATTGTCAGCACATGTACAAAAAGTGAAATGATAATGAACATGAACGCGGCCCCGTACGGTGACGCAATTGGTGAAATGTTCCAGATTAAACAAGAGCAAAAACAGACGGCGGCTTTTTCCTGCACATACCCAATCGTCAGCTATAAGACGACATGGAAGAAGAAAAAAGACCTCATTCATGAAAGGAACAAAAATTTGCAAAATGTGTAGGATTTATATGAAAGAAAACAACTGTGCTGCAGGCCATGTCAGAAGATCTGACTACACAGTGAGCCATATCCTGTTTCTAAGTGGGAATCTTAATTATAAAGATCATTCCATCTAAACAAATGCACCATTTCAACACAACTCCAATCAAAGTGCCACAGTCCCTAGATCGCTTGTGTAAAGATTTTAAGACGTATCTGGAAAAATGCATGAAAATAGCAAAGAACACAATGAAGAAGGAAAGCACTGAAGGAGAGCTGTGAATATGAAAATCTCGTATTTAACTGTAGTGATTAAAACAGAGTTGGGGCGCCTGGCAGACTCAGTCAGTGAAACGTGTGACTCTCCATCTCCGGGTCATGAGTTCAAGCCCTGTGTTGGGCATGGAGCCTATGTAAAAATAAAGTAAAATAAAACAAAACAGAATTATACTGGGCCAGGAATATACATCACATATACAACATTAAAGACACAAAATACAGGCACATATATGTAAGCATTTTTTTTTTTTAAGATTTTATTTATTTATTTGACAGAGAGAGACACAGCGAGAGAGGGAACACAAGCAGGGGGAGTGGGAGAGGGAGAAGCAGGCTTCCCGCGGAGCGGGGAGCCCGATGCGGGGCTCGATCCCAGGACCCTGGAATCATGACCTGAGCCGAAGGCAGACGCTTAACGACTGAGCCACCCAGGCGCCCCTATGTAAGCATTTTCTATAAAAATTCCATTTAAAAATCTGTGGGGAAGAATGGATTATTCAACGAATAGGATTGAGAAATATAGAATACTTTAAAAATCTACTTAGCTGGGAGGAGGGGGAAACAGGGAGATGTTGCTCAGAGGGTGCGAAGTTTCTGACACCAAGAGTAAAGGCGACCAAGCAAAACTAAGCAAGTGGGACCACATCAAATCAAAAAGCTTCTGCACAGCAGGGCTCCTTCCATCAACAAAATGGAAAGGCGACGTAAGGCATGGGAGAAAATACGTACAAATCGTGGCTCTGAGACGAGGTTCATATCCAAAATATGTAAAGAACTCCTACAACTCAGTAGCAAAAAGAACAAACAATCTGATCAAAAAAATGAGCAGAGGGATTGAAGAGGCATTTTTCCAAAGAAGACATACAAATGACAAATAGGTATTTGAAAAGGTACTCCAAATCACTAATTGGGGAAATGCAAATCAAAATCACAGGTCCCATCTCACACCTGTTAGAATGGCTATCATCAAAAAGACAAGAGATAACAAATGTTGGTGAAGATGTGGAAAAGGGGGACCCCTCGCGCACTCTTGGTGGGAACGTTAAGTTGGTGCCGCCGCCATGGAAAACGGTGTGGATGTTCCTCAAAAAATTAAAAATAGAACTACCATATGATCCAGCAATCCACTTCTGGGTATATGTCCAAAGGAAATGAAACCACTATCTCAAAAAGATATCTGTATCCCATGTTCATTGCAGCATTATTTACAATAGCCAGGATATGGGAACAGCCTAAGTGTCCATCGATGGATGAAAGGATGAAGAAAATTCTATACACACACAGTGGAATATTATTCAACGACAAAGAGAAGAATCCTGCCATTTGCAGCAAACTGGATGGAACGTGAGGGCATTGTGCTAGGTGAAATAAGAGAAAGACAAATGCTGTATGATCTCACTTACATGTGGAATCTGGGGAAAACCATGCTAACTCATGGAAACAGAACAGATTGGTGGTTGCCAAAGCGAGGGGGTGGGGAGGTAGCGAAAATGAGTGAAAGTGGTCAAAAGGTACAAACTTCCAGTTTTAAGATAAATAAGTTCTGGGGATATAATGTACAACATGGTGACTATAGTTAATATTGCATTGTGTATTTGAAAGTTGCTAAAGCAGTAGATCTTAAAAGTTCTCACAATGAGACAAAGAAAATTGTAACTGTGTGGGGTGATGGATATTGAGTAAACTTATTGTGGCAATCACTTTGCAATAAATACATAAATCATGTTGTGCACCTTAAACAGTGTTATAGGTCAATTATATCTCAATAAAACTGGGTGGGGAGGGTACAAAGTTTCATTAGGCAAGAGGAATGGTTCTGGAGATCTATACTGCATGGAAGTTATAGTTATTAGTCCCGTGTGGTATACATGACATTTGCTAAAAGACTAGATCTTTTTTTTTTTTTTAAGATTTTTATTTATTTATTTGACAGAGAGAGAGAGACAGCGAGAGAAGGAACACAAGCAGGGGGAGTGGGAGAGGGAGAAGCAGGCTTCCTGCCCAGCAGGGAGCCCGATGTGGGGCTTGATCCCAGGACCCCGGGATCATGACCTGAGCCGAAGGCAGACGCTTAACGACTGAGCCACCCAGGCGCCCAAAAGACTAGATCTTAAGTATTCTCGCTGCACACACACACACACACGAAAAAGAAAAAAAAGGTACCTCGTGAGATGCTGGGTATATTAATTAGCTTGATTGTGGTGATCCTTTCACAATGTATAATGTATATCAAAACATCCAGTTGTACACCTTAAATATATACAGTTTTTTATTTGTCAATTATGCCTTAGTGAAGCTGAAGAAAATTTTATTTGCTATGCTGAAATATACTCTAAGATCACAGACTTCATTGTATGCTTTTGGGTTAAGATGGCCAATTGAAACTTCCTTAAAAAATTATTACTCTTTTTTTTAAAAAAGATTTTATTTATTTATTTGTCAGAGAGAGAGAGAACAAAGCAGGGGGAGCGGCAGGCAGAGGGAGAGGGGGAAGCAGACTCCCCACTCAGCAGGGAGCCTGACGGGGCACTTGATTCCAGGACCCCGGGATCATGACCTGAGCTGAAGGCAGACGCTTAACTGACTGAGCCACCCAGGCATCCCCAAAAATTATTATCCTTGATAAAATGGGCAAAAAATAAAACAAGAAGAAGAAGAAGGAGAAGGAGAAGAAGGAGGAGGAGGAGGAAAAGGAGGAGGAGGAGGAGGAGGAGGAGGAGGGGGAGGAGGAGGAGGAGGAGGGGGAGGGGGAGGAGGAGGAGGGGGAGGGGGAGGAGGAGGAGGAGGAGGAGGAGGAGGAGGAGGAGGAGGAGGAGGGGACGACCCAAGAGTAAAGAAGGAAAGAAGCATAATCTAATTAACTTAAAAAGTGGGTGACCAATGAAAGGTCTATGTACTGAGTTTAAGAAACCATCCTCCCCCCACGGGAATGGTGGACCCCCAGCAAGATGGGGAACTTTAGTTGGGGTTTGAACAAAATCTGAAAAGGGAGAAAGAGCCCAGGTGTTTTACCAAAGATTTTACACTGTCTGAAATGAGCCTGAACCACCTGCCCATCCCCTCATACAATTCTCTTAGGCTAGAGAAAAGTGAACAGAACATAAAAATACCCAACCCTTTCCCTCTCACTTCGGGGGGTGGGGGAGAAGAAACTGGGCTCTCACAGCGGGACATCAAGGAGTCACCCACAGGACGTCAGAGCAGAAAGGACGAATTCGCGGAGCTGCTCAAGCATGAGGACAGAAATTGCATGGCAACTGCAAGCGCATTACATCGAGGGAAAAACATGGAACAAAGCATGCAAAGGAGAACAGCAGAGCAGAAGGAGACTCCTCACAACAGCATCATGTTCCAGCACAACTCACTAAGAGCATGAATTCAATTTTTAAAACACGGAGGGACGAAATGATGCCACATGAGAAAGATAAAAGGGAGATTGCAGATCTTAGGAAATAGAGCCGCACGTTCCAAAACTCGTAGGTTAGAAACAGCAAGGAGCTGACTAGCTATTGCTGCAAATGTGAGTTGCCGTGGAAGAGAGGCTTGAGATAATTACAGCGCATGAAGAAGAGAAAGCCAATGACAACATAATTAAAGAAAAGTTAATAGGACAGGGTGAGCTAATATAGAGTGCCAACGAATGAAGCAGTGTAAATTAAGAGGTAAAATACAAAGGATTTCCCTGACCCACAGAAGGAACTGAATCTGGGACTTGAAAGAAGGTACTTTCGCCCACAAAATTTGTTTTGCGATGCTTAATGCCAACACACGTCTTAGGTAAGCTATAAACTCCAAGGAAATTAATTCTTTAGGAACATCACCGATGTGGCATTCCTGCCAAGAATATTCAGCTTGAATCAAATAATGAGGAAACAATCAGATGATTTGGACCACTGGGGAAAGTTGAGTATTGTGTATTGTATAAAGTATTATATGAAGTTTAATTTTCTGAGTGTGGTAATTACAGTGTTGGGTATATTGGAGAAGATCCTCATTTTTGGGGGCTGTATACTGAAGTATTTAAGGGTGCAGCGTCACGTGACATCCATTGCTCACTCTCAAATGGCTCAGCTGGGAGAAGGAGAGAGTAAGGGAGTGCCCTTGAGCAGAAATGGGGCAAAATGTGAACAATCAGTGAATCTAGATGAAGGGTATGTTGTTCACTGCACTTTCCTTGCAATTTTTCTATGAGTTGGAATTGGTTTCAAAATAAAAATTTGGGGAAGAATTACTTAGCCCTCTAGCCAAAAAAGCAAATCGTCTACCGAGAGGAGACATTAGGCTGGTGGCGGGCTTCTCCAATCACCCAGAAGAACACCTTCACAGAGTTCTCCAGGAAGGGCAGAGTGCCCCAAGTGTTTTATTCCCAGTCGGGATGGTCAAATACAAAGGCAACAAATGCATAGTCATTTTCAATCTTGAAAGAACACTGCTCTATAAAACAAAAATAAAATCATCAGTGGAAATCTATTCCGTTAAGACATGAACCAAAAAGGTTGACTGGCTCAGTTGGAAGATTGTGTGATTCTTCATCTCAGGGTTGTGAGTTCGAGCCCCATGTTGGGCGGAGAGATTACTTAAAACTAAAATCTTAAAAAAAAAAAAAAAAAGAAAAAGAAATGAACCAAATAAAGAACTCAGGAATTGGGGCACCTGGGTGGCTCACAGTCGGTTAAGCGTCTGCCTTCGGCTCAGGTCATGATCTCAGGGTCCTGGGATCGAGCCCCGCATCCGGCTCCCTGCTCAGTGGGGAGTCTGCTTCTCCCTCTCCCTCTGCTGCTCCCCCTGCTTGTGTTCTGTTAAATAAGTAAATAAAATCTTAAAAAAAACCCCCCAAAACTCAGGAATAGAGAATCTATGAGCATTCAATTCATTTAAATAAAAAGTAATAATAAATAACCACTGGCGTTATGGTTATGCCGTGAACACAAATTCCACCAGCCTGGAGGGTGTAAACATAATAGTATAACAAACACTGAGCAGGGCTGAGCAAGAGAGGGGGTATGAGGTGCCAGTGTCCTTATTTCTCAAAGCGGAGTCACTAGGGCTTCACGTTGAGAGGTAGTGGAAAATGAACCTCAAAAAAATTTTAAAGGTTTTATTTATTTACTTATTTAGAGAGTGCGAGTAGGGGGAGGGGCAGAAGGAAATAAGCAGAATCTCAGCTGAATGCAGACCCCGATACGGGGCTCGATCTCACGACCCTGAGATCATGACCTGAGCCGAAACCAAGGGTTGGATGCTCCACCGACTGAGCCACCCAGTTGCCCCTGAACCTCAATATTGTTAATAATCTCATATGACTTTAGAAAGGGGTCTTTCGGAAAGAAGTCTCTCAGGTGAAGAAACACTTATTGAAGCTCAGTGATGTCTGTGTTTTATTCACACCGGAGTCTTTTTATTCTATTAAATCCAAGTAAAATTAAATCTAACACTTTTAATCAAAAATAGCATGATCCTATTTTGCAATAAGTTATAACTGATTTGTTCTGTACGTGTCAGTCTATAGAAAGATGTCTGGAATGACATTTTCTCTAATGTTAACAGCATTAACGTCTGAGTGGTGGAATTTTAGATGACAGTTTAGCTTTTATCTCCGTACTCTTCTTCAGTTATTTATAATTAACACCTGTATGTCATTTTTTTAAATGATAAGGCTTCACTTTTAAATGATTAGGCTTTAAAGATTTTATTTTTGAGTAATCTTTACACACAGTGTGAGGCTTGAACTCATGACCCCGAGGCCAAGAGTTGCCTGCTCTTCTGACTGAGCCAGCCAGGTGCCCCAAGAGTCTGTTTCTTGGTTTCTCTCTCTCTCTTTTCCCTTTGCTCGTTTGTTTTGTTTCTTAAATACCACATATGAGTAAAATCATATGGTATTACATATGTATATCATTTTAACAAAAATAATGGTGTTAAGCTTTTAAAAAAAATATACTTGAAATGCCAAAATTTAATTCTGGGTAGTGGAAAGATGGGGGATTATTAATTTCTTCTTTGTGCTTTATTTCCAGTTTTTAAAATTACATAAATTATAAAGAGTAGGTACAAGAGCATGCACACATGAAAGGTGAATCTGATCTTAGGGAGGAATGGCCTTTCCAGGCATGTAGAAGTCAGAAACTTTAAGGTGATAACATGAAGGTTATACCATTTCTGAATGTAAACAACAGTAATAGCCACACAAACTCACCAGAAACAAAACTGAAGGGTAAATGAAAAATTGGGCAACAGATGTATACAGCTGAAATGGGAGACCCTAGACAGTTACCTCTTACTTCCATTCTTTCTCCTTCCCACTTTTCCTGTAGCCAAAAGGGCTGCCTCCATTTTATCCTTTTCCTTCCATCCAATCCGTCCACCATTTATTGAGCATCTAATATGTCCCAGTCAACCGTGCTCGGTTCTGGAGTCAAATTGGACAGAATCCACAGTCCCTACCTTCAAGGCATGCTCTCTGCATTTCCTCCCCGTGGGTCTGGGTGTGGACTCTGTTATGTCCCTGAAAGAAGCAGGAAGCACCTTGCACCCCATTTGGTGTAGGATCAGGATAGGCTAAGGGAATGTGACGAAGAACTCAGCCAGACTTTCATAATTGGCACCTCAGATCCCGCTGGGTATCATGCTGGGTTTGGAGACTGATCTCGGGTCCACTCTCTTCCACGCAGACCCAGAACCAGATTGTCTACTTCATTCGCTGCGCACCAGTTCCCATCACCCCGGAGAACTTTGAGGCAACTGTGCAGTTTGGGACTGTGCGGGGTTCCTACATCCCGGCCCTGCTCCGGCTCCTCAGTGGTGTCTTTGCCCCTCAGATCTTTACAAACACAACCTGGCCAGAGAGTATTCGGAATCATTTTGCTTCTCATCTGCACAGATTCCTGGCCTGCCTGACAGGTGAGCAGAAAGCCTCGAGTACCTGGCTTCTCTCTGGTACCGCACTGACAGTAGCGTGAATGAGGCAGGTGGGAGATTCATCCCGGTGCCTGTGCAGCCTGGCACGGAGCAGGTCCCCGTACGGGCTTGGTGAAGGAGTGGATCAGGGAACAGAATTTGCCTTTCAATGCAGATACGGTTTTCTGCTGTAGAAGGTTGACCAGACCTGCTCAAACATAGAGTTGGATATTTCCAAGAGTACATGTGGGGTAAGGGGAAATGGCAGGGGGAGTGCATATATCATACCAGAGAGTGTTGAGGGTGTGGTGCAGATCTTTGACCTTATTTTACCTCAGTGGGGGTTTCCCTCTTGCCTTCTGGCATTTTTCCTCTTGATAGCCAAAAAAAAAGAAAAAAAAAGCTGAATCATCGTTTCTTTTGCCTGTTCTCCTGAAATCCACCATATTAGCTGGGCCCCAGATCATCAACCGTGATTACAACTGGGCTGGCATAAACTCATCCTCCTCTGTGAACTTCCACGGTCCTCTCCTTTCCTTAGATACTCGGTACAAACTGGAGGGGCACACCGTTCTCTACATTCCTGCAGAGGCCATGAACATGGCGCCCGAGGTGGTGGTTAAGGACAAAGAGCTGGTACAGCGGCTGGAGAGTGAGTGGCTGGCATTGCCAGTGTGTTGGGGGGTCCTAGGGGAGAGGAGAGGGCCAGATGCAGAGAAAGGAGCTGGGTGAGGAGGGCTATGTAGGTGGTAGAGGGAAGGACACAACTGGGGAGCAGCATAGAGAAGTGCAAGAGGTTTTGTACTCTCCCCGGCAGCCTCCATGATCCACTGGACCCGGCAGATAAAGGAGGTGCTCAGTGCCCAGGAGTCTGTGGAGACAGGAGAAAATTTAGGTCCTCTGGAGGAGATTGAGTTCTGGCGCAACCGATGCATGGACCTGTCTGGCATCAGTAAGCAGCTGGTGAAGCAGGGAGTGAAGCACATTGAATCCATCCTGCGACTTGCCAAGTCCTCCTACTTGGCGCCCTTTATGAAACTGGCCCAGCAGATCCAGGTTTGTGAGTGGCCCCAAGGATGGAGGCTCAGCAGAGGGTGAATAGTGGTTGGACAGTCGTTAGTTGGGTACTAAGTGGAGGGAGCCAGTGTAATCCTCAAGAGCAAAGATCGATCCCCCCCAGTATTTGGACTTGCACTTGGACAGTACAAACGTGGTAGGACACAGGGTCCGAGGGAGCTTGTAGTTTAGTTAGGGAGACTCCAGTTAGTTGACAGATATACATGGAGTACCTGCCATGAGCCCAACCCCTATAATCCAGCTCAGAAAACCAGGCTTATACAAAACAGGATCACTAGATGATACGGGGTCAAAGAGGAACCCATAGGCTTCAGCCAAGAGAATTGCAAGATAAACACATAAAAAATAAATTCAATAAAACACATAATAAAACACATATTGAATAAATTCAATAAACACATAAAAAATAAATTCAATAAAGTATGACAAGCTGATTATGTTAGCGCTGGGGACACCCAGAAAGGCAGGGTGATCTGTGGTATATGGATGTGGAGGACTTCTCTCCCCAGGTGGGATTTTGAGCTCGGTGGTGAGGGAACTGAGCCACAGCTAGGTGGACAAGTCTAGAAGCCTGGTTGAGAACAGGGTGGTGAAGGGCGCTGGGTGAAATGGCGGGGAGGGGGCGGGGCGGTGTGAGTGGGGGCGCTGTTGAGTCAGCTGATCAACAGCTGGTGAGTACCGACCTTGTGCGGGGTTCTGAATCCAGCTGGGGAAACTGGAGGAGTGCACATAAAGCCCGAGCTGGGGACTCCTGGTCTAGTGGTGAGGACGGACTCACCATGAGAAGAGTCTCAAGGACACTGTGCTAGGCACTAGCATATAAATGAGAGCAGATAGCTGGTAACTCCTGTCCTGAGGGCCCACAGAGACCTGAGATGCTTGGTACGAGGTTTTGAGAGAGGCAGCTCAGGGTGTGCTTCCCCATGGGTAGACAGTGCTTGCTTTAAACTGGTTCTCTCTGATGGACAAGTCTACTCTGGGTCTTTCTTCACCGCCAGGATGGTTCTCGTCAAGCACAGTCAAACCTGACGTTTTTGTCAATCCTGAAGGAGCCCTACCAGGAATTGGCCTACATGCGGCCTAAGGACATCTCCAGTAAGCTCCCCAAGTTGATCAGTCTCATCCGCATCATCTGGGTCAACTCTCCCCACTACAACACTCGGGAGAGACTGACCTCCCTCTTCCGAAAGGTATGTGTCTGCCGGGCTGGGATGGGGCGGGGTGGAGGGGGCGCGCTGATTTGGTGGAGACCGGGGCCTTCACTCAGCAGGAAGCATGTGGTGGAAGGCAGTGAGGAGTGGCCCCGGGGGTCAGACAGAGACCATGGGCTTCTGCCTGCTTCTTCAGCCCTTGAGTGCTCTGGGTTGGGGCCTGGGCCGGACAGCTTGCTTCCTGATAGAGTAGCCAAAGGGGGAAGAAGGGCTTTGAGAAGGGGAGTCCGTGGAGCGTGGCGGGGGAGGCAGGAAGGATGGACCCCAGGCTGAGCACTCGCTGGGAAGTGAGCTGAGCTGAATTGAGGGGTGCAGGTAGAACCCCGAAGGTTTCCCCCCGGCCCGTGTCAGCTGGGTATCGGGAGCCAAATCAAGCCTGGGAGGCTGAGACCTGAGGCTGTCGGCCCCTCCTGCAGATGAGCAACGAGATCATTCGCCTGTGCTGCCACGCCATCTCTCTGGACCGCATCTTTGAGGGCCATGTCACTTCCAGCAAGGAGGACCTGCAGGGCTGCATTGCCTGCTGTCAGGCCTGGAAAGATCACTACCTATGGGCCGTGCAGATGCATACCCAGTACGACGTGGTCCCCCGCCGTCTCCGTCTGTTACCCCCTGTTCCTCCTGAGGGCGGAGGTGACCCCTTTCGCTTGCACTTTTTAAAAGCCTACAGATTCCCTTTTCCTAGACCTGGTCCCAGTTTCCTCTCTGGATACAGCTATCCTAGCTCCTGACCCTGGGTTCTCCTTACCCTCATAACTGTCCTCCCTGATTCCAGGAATCCTTCCTGCTTCACTCCTTCTCTCTTGGCCTGAAGGTCTGAAATTCCATTGTGTACAAACTTCCTTCCAGAACGGAGATGCTTTGTCTCCTCTCTGGTTCTCCTCATCTTGCCTTTCTTCCTCAGTTGTGCAGGAGAACTGCTTCTTGGGGTCTCCTTTTCTCAGGCCCCCCAGGACTCCTGGTTCTAGCTTTGCATGGGCAGGCCGATAGCCAGCGGCCCTACATTTGGATTCGGTCCCTCTTTCTCCGAACACAGGTTCTCGAGTCGGGGCTGGGTGCTCGACCAGACCAGCATATTTGCCCAGGTGGACGCCTTTGTGCAGCGTTGCAAGGACCTCATTGAGGTGGGCAGATGGTCAGGGAGCAAGAGGAGAGTCACAGGGGGCTCGGCCCCGGGCGGGCGGGAGGCGCAGAGGCTCAGCAGGCGGCTTCCCGCTCTTCCCCTTCTGCTGGTCCCGCTCTCTTAGACTGTTGCCTCTTACCACGGCCCTGTGGTGTCTCGCCATTCCTTCCACGGCCAGAGCTCATCCCAGGAGCTCCTTGCCTCTGGCGGGTCCTCCCTCGCGTTTTGGACATTTTCAGCCAAGCCTGAGCATGCAGGCCCGACGTGATCAGGAGAGGGAGCAGGAGGCCCCCTCACGCGGACTTCATTTCAGGTATGCGACTGCCAGTACCATTTTGCCCGCTGGGAGGACGGCAAGCAGGCTCCGCTGCCTCGCTTCTTCGGTGCCCAAGGGCCCCAGATCACGCGCAACTTGCTGGAGATCGAGGACATCTTTCATAAGAATCTCCATACGCTGCGGGCTGTTCGCGGGGGCATCCTGGACGTCAAGAACACCTCTTGGCACGAGGACTACAACAGGTGAGGGGGTCCCTCCACGGCAGAGGCGCAGGGGAGGGAGGCGGGGAGGCGAGCGCAGGAGGAGGGGCCCGACGCGTCCAAAGTCCCTCGTGGAGGAGACAGGTCAGGGGTGGGGAGGAGCCGCTGCTCAGAGGCAGGGTCCGGGCTGGAGCCCCCGCTGTGCCGCGTACTGGACAGATGACTCGGGGCACGTCGTTCCACCCGTTAGAGCCTGTTTCCTCATCTAACAAAGCCAGGGAATCCGTCTCACTGTGTCGTTTTGGGGAAGAAACGATGAACGCGCGTGCGTAAGGCACTGCGTGCCTGGCGGGGGGCGGGGGCGCCCTCGGCACCCGGGGTTCCTACTCGGGGGGCATCCTCCGGGCCGCGACAGTGCCCGCCCGGCCCCACGCTTCTCTAATGGTGCAGGTTTCGCACTGGAGTCAAAGACCTGGAGGTGATGACTCAGAACCTGATCACCTCCGCCTTCGAGTTAGTCCGAGACGTGGAGCAGGGCGTGTTGCTGCTGGACACCTTCCACAGGCTTGCCACGCGGGAGGTGCCGCCCCCGCCCTTCCCCCTCCCCCTGCTCCCTCCTGTGCTTCCTCCAGTCCCAACTGCACTCATGCCCTTCCCCAAGTCCTCCCTTCCCTCTGCTGCCCTCGCTTCTCCTTCGCAGGAGTCACGGGAGGGAAGGAAGCCGGACCTCCAGGCCCCGTTGTCAGGTTCTTTCCCTTCGTTAGGCCATCAAGCGAACCTACGACAAGAAGGCCGTGGATCTCTATATGCTGTTCAATAGCGAGCTGGCCCTGGTGAACCGTGAGCTGAACAAGAAATGGTCATACCTGGAGCCCTACATGGCCCAGTACTCGGGACAGGCCCACTGGATGCGGATCCTGCGGCACCGCATCGACAGGGTCATGAACGTGAGCGCCTGGCCTTTCCCAAAACTTGTTCTCAGGGTGCCGGTGGAGTTCACAGGCTGTGCCCCGTGCTGGCAGGGGTGGGGGCCCCGTCCAGGGAGTTTGCCCAGAGAGTCTTCGTGCCGGTCAGTGAGGTGGCCATGGCTTCTGATGCAGTTGGCGGACATGGGTCATTGCAGGCATTTCCCATCAAGGTGGGGGGGGAGCGTGGGAGGAATAGGGTCAGCATCCCAGAAGCTGGACAGGCCTTTAGAGGGCCCTGTCCTCCTAAAAGAACCGGCACAAAGAAACAGGAAAAACGCCTCTCGAAGGGCTTTTGGGGAATGTAGGTTGAAGGCTACTGAGGTGCCTGCCATCATGTAATTGGTTCTGGGTGAGAATAAGGCATCTTCCCGATCGCTGAGCGAGGACCATGGTGACGAAGGGCTCATACTGGTTTTCTACCTCGTACCTCTTAAATCCTCACCTTTGCCAACTTCTGCTAAGCTGAATCTCTGTGCTTCCCCCTTCACGCTGCTGACTCCCTTTCTCTCGTGCCCTGGTCTCCTCCTCTCACCCTGCTGTGTGGCTCCACGTTCCCCCTGAGCGGTCAGACTGGGCCTCCCTAGCAAGCCGCACGCCTGGTGGGTGCGCGGTGTGGGAGCCCGTACTGTGGGGGATGGTGGCTCGTGGGCTCCGGCCAGCCATTGCCCCTCCCCCTCAGTGTCTGTCCAGTGCTCACTTCCTGCCCCACATTGGAACGGGAGAGGAGAGCATGCACACCTATCAGCAGATGGTTCAGGCCATCGATGAACTGGTTCGAAAAACCTTCCAAGACTGGACGTTAACGCTGGACAAGGACTGTATCCGGCGGCTGGACACGCCACTGTTACGAATCAGCCAGGAGAAGGCGGGCATGCTGGATGTCAACTTTGACAAGTACGAGACCCAGTCTGACTCCTTGCCCTGCTGTGCGCGTCCCCAGCTCTCCCCAGAGCGTGACTCCCGTCTCTCGGTTCCACGCGCTGTTCTGGTTTGGAACTCTCTCTTATGCTGTAATTCGGGGACTAGCACCACCTGCCTTTGCTCTACCGTTTATTCTCCAAAATAACCCATCGAAAACAGGCAGCCCCCAGTAACCCACTGATCCGGTGATGTAGGTGTTCTGCCACTAGATGGCCATGGCGGCCCAGCTAAGTCACCAGGGCCACCGGCGAAGGTGTGGGCTTGTGGGGGGGCGGGGACGACCGCTGGGGCTGGCGGGTCATGCTCTCTGCCCCCTACAGCCTTCCAGTCAGGACAGTTTCAGGTTCCCATCATTTACAGTGTGAGTGATTCATGTATTTCCACCGCGAGAGCCTTCCCGGTGCTGGGAACCGAGGTAGGCAAAGCGGACGGGTGGATGGCAAAGCCCCTGCCCACGGCTGCTCTGCGGGGGAGCCTGAGGCCCCGAGGCCCGGAGGCCTGTGAGATGCAGAAGAGAACACTAAGGAAGGAGCTCTGTAAGACATCTGTCTACAGAGATTGCAAACCGTCTGGTGACAGTTTTTCTTAATTGGAAGGAAATCACTTTCCACTTGATTGCTTTTGGCTCCCCGTTGTCATCAGCTGCCTCCTGGCTCCTGGGCTGTGGCTCCTTGCGTTGGCTTCGACTCCTAGGCTGTCCTGATCTGCTGGGCCCGGGCACGAGGGGCTTTGCTAGGCAGGGCCTGGGGGGCAGACGGAGGCCAGGGCACAGGAGGCACCAGGGGGTGAGGACACGCCCCGCCCCGCGGAGGGACGGGGTGGAGGAGCCGTGCCGTGTGTCAGGGGAGGAGAGGCCTTCGTGAGAAGGACAGAGACGTTGGAGGCGGGAGACCTGTCCTCGGCCAGGCAGGGGTGTTGGAGAGCGGCCCTGAGAAGGCCCATGGGTTTTTGAGGTATGGCCAAGCGGCCCCATAGAACAACGGCTCCGTAAGTCAACGCTCTGGTTTTGAGGCGACAGGGGACGAGGCCGGTATTACCCTCGCGGGGACATTTGCGAGTGGATAACGGGGTTGAATCTGCAAGACACATCATCCCGTCAAGCTGGGTGCTCCCAAAGGCGCTGTGCTTGGAGTGACGCCCGCACGGGCGGACGGACGGACGGACGGACGGACGCACTTGCAGTAATACCGATATGACCGTGCACAGCCCGGCAGTTGCCTTTTTCCCTGGAATCAAAGGGTTGTATCCAAATAGCACAATTGTGGTAGCACCAGTGATCTGTGTTTACCTTTTTAAGTATGAGAGAAGACAAAGGTTGAGCAAGAGGTGAAGACGCGTCACCGTAAGCCGCCCGGGCGGGCTGGGGGCTCTGCCTCCTCCCAGTCCTCGGGGCAGAGTCTGAACCCTGGGGTCAGCGTGAGCTGTGACCTCGGGCGGGCCGCCCAATTCCTCGGAATCTCCTTATCCTTATCTATCAAAAAATCCTATTCTGTGCTTGTCACGAGGCGAGATGGCATATGTGGAAGTCCTCACGAAGAGCCAACAATCCACAAACATGATTTTCCCTTCAAAAGAACTGCTTCAGGAAGCTTTGCGAACACAGGACATTCAAAGCAGATTTAGCAAGGAGATATCCTTTTGTAAATGTTATTTTATTATCATTTTCAAAAGTAATAGGTGTAGTGTTTAAAACAGTTTAACCTTTTACAAGGGGCGATATAAGGTCCATGTTACAAAACTCAATATTTACACCAGGGTAGAGAAGGAACAGTCCGACTCCACTGCTGTATCCCCGTGACTCAGTTTCTCTCTAAAGAGTCTGTGTCGCTAGTTTCTTGGGGAACACATTCCAGCAATAAGAGTGGATAGCTACATAAAGAATGAGAATGAGAGAGAGCACGAGAGGGAGGAGGGTCAGAGGGAGAAGCAGATTCCCCGCCGCCCGATGCGGGACTCGATCCCGGGACTCCAGGATCATGACCTGAGCCGAAGGCAGCCGCTTAACGAACTGAGCCACCCAGGCGCCCCATAAACGGTCTTTATACAAATAGTAGCATACCATATACACCGTGCATCCAAAGTGTTTTCAAAATGATTAATTTTCCCATTATAAAAGTATTGACAATTTTAGAAAATTTGCAAAATGCAAGAAAGTGAAAGAGAAAAAAGTCTCCCCAAAGATAACCATGCTTAGTGGTTTGGTCTATTTCTTTTTCCCCACTCTCTTTTACCCACCCCACCCCCCACACTTCATACATTTGTTTTTCTTCGATTTTTTTTTTTTTTAAATCTTCAGTGGGTATTTTTAAATTATAAAAATAGTGCCTGCTCACTGTAAAAAACAAAATTTATGTGGCAATATATACAGGAAACAGTGAAAACCCAGCACCCAGCCCCGCTCCCTGGAGGTAATCTCGATTACCAGGTGATCCAAAATACACACTTCACACAAAATAGGATCACATTGTAAACGGGGTTTTTTGCAACTTGCTTTTTTTTTTTTTAAGGTTAACAACACGCATGGTGGTGGGGGGGGTTCCATTCTGTACGGGGAGAAGTATGTGGTTGTTCCCCGTGGCGTCTAGCATCCTATAATGTATACTGTGACTCAGTCAGCTCAGGATTGACGGACTTAAAGTTGTTGCACGATTTCTGCAAGGCTTCTGGATGTTCCGTACCGGGTGGAGGATTTCGAGTGGGCTCCCTGTACCTTGTGCCCATCCCCCCACCGTGGTGCGGTTGCCTGATATTCCAGCGGGATGCCCATCGAGGCCGGAGAGGCTTAGGAGAAAACTTGCCAGTCTGCTGTGACGGTCTCCCTTCAAGGAGCACGTGAGATACTTATCTGAAGCACCCGTTGCGTAATCTTTACAGCAGGGCCAACAAGGCAACTTTGGGCCAGGTATTTATGGCCTGGGTTTAACCGAAACCCAAATAATGGCTAGAACGCTTCTCCCAGAGAGGAGTGTTTCTGTCCCTGGGCAGTCGTTTACTGGAGGGATCTGTTGTAAGTGCTTTACATCTTTGTGGTTTTAAGATAAAGCTGCCTCAACCCAGCAAATTATGTATGGGGGGAAAGACAACAACATGATTCTAGGGAAGGACGAAAAGTCCGGGCGCATCAAGCCAGTAAAGAAATCCAAGACCGTTTCCGCTCTTCTCCAACACCTTACCGCAGAGGTGCAGATGACTGTATCAGGCTCACCCTTTTGTGCTCAAGGGTCCAGATAAGATCTCCAAATAAGCATGCTTTTCAAGTGTCCTGAGTGTTCTCAGAATCACCTGACTCCCCCCCCCCCCCCGGAGTTCGCAGCCTTCTGGGCCCTAACAGAGCCTATTTTATCTCACAAGGGGCTTTCTCATCCCACCTTATATCCCAAACATTTGAGCTCTGAAGTCCAAATGGGCTTTTACCACGTTTCACGGCCAGACCGGCTTCACCGATCGCACGTAACTCGAACATGTTCCAGATGTCGTCCCTGCGTCCTACACCATCTGTACAGGGCAGGAGGGTGGACACGGGGCCGCCTGTCGGTTTTCTGTGTGTAGGGCCTGCAATTCCTTCTCTTCCCCAACCATATAGGACATTCTCTATGGGGTCGGTTCATTCCGGGCTATCAGCCCTAAACTCAGCTGACTTCACTTTCCTGCCTCTGTGGCCTGACCACGGCTCTGAGGATCAATGAGGAAATATCTTACGAAATAATTTCCCGGGCTGATTTGCTTTTTTAAGGAGATTTTTTTTTTTTTAAAGATTTTATTTATTTATTTGAGACAGAGAGAATGAGAGAGAGAGAGCACATGAGAGGGGGGAGGGTCAGAGGGAGAAGTAGACTCCCCGCCGAGCAGGAAGCCCGATGCGGGACTCGATCCCGGGACTCCAGGATCATGACCGGAGCCGAAGGCAGTCGCTTAACCGACTGAGCCACCCAGGCGCCCTTAAGGAGATTTTATTTGTTGGGGTGCCTCGGTGGCTCCGTCGGTCATGTGTCTGGCTCTTGATCTCAGCTCAGGTCATGATCTCGGGGTCGCGGGATCGAGCCCCGCGTCAGGCTCCATGCTCAGCAGAGTCTGCTTCTCTCCCTCTACTCTCTGTGCTCGCGTGCTCTCCCTCTCAAATAAATAAGTCTTTAAAAAAAAAAAAAGAAATTTTATCTGTCAAAATAAAACGTGCATTCTGGAAATTAATTGACACACTTCTGGCAAAGACAAGAGCATCCCTGTGGAAAGAGTTCCTCCTAGGATGTTGAGTTCAGCTCAACAATCGAGACGGCATCATCCAAGTCCGTCCTGTCGGCCGACACGTTAAAATCTGCTGATAGGCCTTCAAGTTACTTTGAAGATCTCGTCAAGATGACAAAATGAAGAGACATCTCGGTGGGACACTGGGGAACACACTCGCCCACGTGGGCTGGCCACGGCGTTCAGGGAGACTGATCCGGAGCCTCCAGTCTGAAGAACACGGGCGGATGCGTTTGCGCAGCTAGAAATGCCCAGACCCCGCTATCCGTCCAGAGTAGCTCTCACGCCAGCTTTGGTTCAGTCCGGATTTAGTGTTTATCTTACTATGACTCTGTTAGTCCCGTTTGCGGCTGGGCGGAGGAATTTTGTGGTGATGGTCCTTTCCTGGCTTGTCCGTTGTTTGCTCTTTTGGGAACTGATAATTATTTCGCTATTTTTCTTAGCACACTGTTCACTGTCACGAATTGGCCCAGATGGGTCGTATTTTTCCTCACTCTCTGAACTGGTTTCCTGTCTTTCTTAGAGCCACCCTTGCTAGAACTCTCTTTCCTCCCGAGTCAGTAGAACTGGTTGGTTTTAAGGCCTGCTACTCAGGCGTTAGCCTGGGATTCTGCCCCCCACTCCCAGCCTCTTTTCTTGTTGGATTTCCTGTTTCCTTTGTCTTCCTCTTTCTTGGTTTAGACCCTCATTTTGGTGGAGTGCATTCTTTACTAGCTTTCCGGGAAATGGTGCATGGGAGGCAAATTTTTTGAGTTTTTATGGAATTGACCACAGTTGTCTTCTGCCCTCCCCTTGTTGGACGTTTGGCTGGACTTGGAATCCTAACTTGAAAGCAGTTTTCCGTGGCTTTGGCCTCTCTCTCTTTTACTTTGGAGGGTTTCCTTCAATGCCTGGTAATCCACTGCTCGTTCACGTGTGAGAGAGGCCTATTCACTTGACAATAATTTCCCTCACCGGAAGTTTCCTCTCCAGTAAAGGTGAAGATATAATCCTTTGCAAAACTTCAAATACGATATCATTTCTTATTTTGTTATTTCAGTGCTTGCCTGTAGAGCAGACACAGAATATTCTGGAATTTTCACCTCATTGTGCTTCCAAGTAGCATTTCGGTAATATTCAGAACATGGACTTTCATGAGAGCATCTCCAGGTTGTGGGGGCTTTTGATTGTGATTAAAAAGTACACGTTCCTTAAAAAAGAGGAAAAGAAACCACACAGATTTTACAAATCATGTGATTTTTAATTCAAGCTTTTTAAAATTTTTGAAAATATTCTCTATTTACTTATGGCATTTTATGATTTTATTCTTTACATGTAGATGTCTGATCCTTCTGAAACTTATTTTGATGTAGGGAGAGAGCTGCATTTGCAACTGAGTTGTGTTTTTTAATCCCCAGATGGCTAGCCAGTTGACCTGATCTCATTTATATAACATAACAAATTCCCACGGAGAGTTGTGTCTATTTTGGGATTCACTCTTCTGTGCTGGTATGTCTGTCTCTTCATATGAAGGAACCCAACTGCTTTAATTATTGACCTCATTCCTCTCCCTTTGCAGAGTTTTAGGGGGATATTTTTAATATTTATTTCCCATAAGAACTTTAGAATCAATCTGTTTAGTCCCCAAAATAGTTCCGTTCCTATTTTTATAGGAACAAGGATTGGGTTAAATTTATAGGTTAACTTAAGAAGAATGAACATCTTTAAGGTTTGAGTCTTTCTGTCCAAGAATAGCATTTTTTCTTTCAGTGTATTTAAATCTGCATAAAATGTCTATAAATCATTTTTTCCATGTACATTGACCAATTAACAAGAGATGTCATATATATAAAATTTGCATATAGATGTTACGTATAGACGTCTCTTTTTAATTGGTTAATTTGGGTATTTTATTTTTATCGTTTTAATGGTCATGGGTCTCTTTTCCTCCATGAGAATTTTTTTTTAATTTTATTGTTATGTTAATCACCATACATTACATCACTAGTTTTTGATGTAGTGTGCCATGGTTCATTGTTTGTGCATAACACCCAGTGCTCCATGCAGAATGTGCCCTCCTTAATACCCATCACCAGGCTAACCCATCCCCTCACCCCCCTCCCCTCTAGAACCCTCAGTTTGTTTCTCAGAGTCTATCGTCTCTCATGGTTCGTCTCCCCCTCCGACTTCCACCACTTCATCTCCATGAGAATGTTTAACTGGTTACAGTTTTTATATAGGAAAATAGTTCTGTGTTCTGGCCTCTTGAAAAATCAGACGCTTCAGTCATGCCGGGCGCTCGTCCCACATGGCAGCAATTGCCTGGAGTCTTTGCTCTTTGAGATGGATGACCACGCACTCTTCCATCAACTTTAGGCCAACGTCCAATTGCCATTTGGCATCGCGTTTGAGCCACAGGTGCCTGGGAGATAGTGGAGTTTCTGAACTTTGCTTTGACTCTAAAACCCAAGGAGTTGGGAGTGGGTTGGATGCTGCACAGTGAGGCTGAGGGAGGGCGTGCAGCTCTGGTTTAGGCAGCAGACGGGGCTGGTACCAGAGCCAGGAGCTCCCCGCGTGCAGAGTGGACCATGAGTTTGTTTCTGGACGTGCATGTGCAGTGCCCGTGGGCCGAGGCGGGGAGACATCCAGGAGGCAGTTGGGCATGCAAATCCAGAGTTCCCGTTAGCCGTGTAGATCTGGGGGTCAGCAGCTTCTAGAAGGCAGCTGAAGCCGTGGGCATGGACGAGCTCGCCCGGGGAGAGTGCTGGATGTGAAGAACCTCCAGGAGCCTGCATTGAAGGGAGCTGCAGGGCAAGCAGATTCCTTGCAGGGTCTCCAGCGCCCAGCCGAATGGGGTTTCCAAGGGATGCTAGAGACAGAAGGACACTTGTACCAAAAGGCAGGCAGACAAGAGGGGAACTGTGGCCTGGAAGCCAGGGAAGAACGCAAGAGCGCGTCCCAGGAAGGCAAGGCAGGGAGGAGTCTAGCATGAGAGGGCGGAGGGCCAGGTCTGAGGAGGCCTGCAGGGCTTGGGGACAAGGTGTCCCAGGGAGACTTGACGAGGGCAGTTGTGGAGGCAAAGAGGACAGAGGAGTTCTCGAGGACAATTCTATGTGGAAGGTGCGCAGTAAAGGGGAGTGCAGGGCCCGGTATCCGCAGAGGGATACGGAGTCTGGGGGGCCGGTTTGGGTTTGGTTTTTTCAAGATGGTAGAACCTTGGCCTTCTTTGACTGTTGAGGAGAGCGGGAGGGGGTGGCATCTGAGGAAGCGGGAGGAAACCGTGTCAGGACGCAGAGCCCAGGAGGGGGCCTTGGCCTTGGGAGGGAGGAGGGCCTCTTCCGTCCTAAACGGGAGAAGCCGTGGGTGGGACACAAGTCCCCAGGCTTCTGGGTTTTATAGTGGGAAGTACGTGGAGTCTCCTGATGGCTTTTTTATCCCTGTGGTGTAGGAGGTGGGCTTTCTGCAGAGACAGGGAGGGGCAGGTCTGAGAGTGGGGAGGCGCTGCCGGAGGTGGCCGTGAGCACAGGAGGGGGGCAGCCTGGGGAGGCCCCCACATGCAGCGTGGGGAGCCCTCGGGGTGCTCATCTATGTGGTCCCGTCTTGCTGGGCCGCCTGCATGGTGGCGGGGGGATGGCAGCAGATTGAACCAGGGTTGGGGTTCCGCTAGGTGGCTTATGCTAAGGAGCAAGTGAGGAGTGGCAGAAGGACCGTGAAAGTGACAGATGGCAGGGTCTGTGGATCAGGAGGCGGTGATGGGGGGGACACACAGGCGGGAGGAGAGCCCGTGGTCAGCGGTGTGAGGTCAAAGATCAGGTCCTTTGGGAGGGCAAGTGCTGGACCTGGGAGGACGCTGGGCTCGGGTGGAAGGGCGTCTGAGGGGCTGATCTCAGAGGTGGCGCACTCAGGACGTGGCTGTGACACCCGGGAGGGAAGGGCGAGAAGCTCCCCGGATGGGAGGCCATACGCACAAGTCAAATTCCTCTGGTATTGCATTTAACAGAGGAACAAGAAACAGCTGAAATCCGTTTGAATACTCAACCCGATACTGCCCCAAGTATGATCCTTCCGACATGTAGTTAATATAAAAATTACTACTGGGGAGTTTTCTTTTCTTTTTTTCATGCAAAGTCCTCTCTGCCTTCCATCTCTGTGTCTTTCTCTCTACTTTCCAAGAGATTCCTGTCGATTTCGTTGTTAACGGGCTTGTTTGTTCATTAATGTCGTGCTATCGTCTTTAACTTCCAAGAGCTCTTCTGGGTTTTGGGTCACGGATGCTCTTCTCTCTCTCTCAGGATGTTCACACAGTTTTGTTGCGTCTTCTTACTTGGTGTGGGCAGCTTTCTTTCTGCGCAGCCCCTGCCCCCTCGTCTCTCCTTGGAGTTGGCTTTTCTTCTCTTTGGTTGTTTTGCCTCCTGCCTTTTGTGCTAGGAAGGACAGAGACCGATGTTTTGTGATCCTTGGTTGTCCATCTTCAAGGGCAGGGAGCTGGAAAATGGACTGGAAACTCTGCTGAGCCGGCCGTGGGGCTCATCAACTGTGGGCTGTTTCCAGGGGACCCCTGAGGGCACCGTCCTTGGAACTCACCCCTCAGGCTGGCCAGAGGCCACGGGGCAGTTCTCTGGGCTTCGTTCTGGAGAGTGTTTGTCCAGCTGCCTGAGCGCCGGTTGCTGGGTGGGAAAAGAAGCCTGGGGGTCTTAACATTCAGTGTGCACGTGGACCCTTAATGTCCCCTCCTCTCAGTACACCCCCTCCTTCAGCCAGGTCTGGGTCCCCAGTCCAAGACCCTCCGTCGGTCTGTCTCTGTATTGTCTCTCCAGACAAGAAGCCTTCCATCTTCTGCTGGGGTGATGAGGGAACTTGCTTAACTGTGCAGAGTAGGGGCAGGGACAGGTGGGGAGCTGTTTCCACAAGCTTCCCTTCCTGAGACGCTCGGAGACACCACCCTGGGGCTCAGAGAGCCCCACGGCACAAATGGTCTCCATCGCCCCCTGAGGGTGCCGGCTCTGCTCCTTACCCGGCGGCTTCTCAGCTTCTGATCTGCCTCTAAGGGTTTATGCCCTAAACACACAAAGTACCCCTTTACTGCTGTGGGGGTTTGGGCAGGGAGGGCAGCAAAAGTCAGTGAGTCCAGCCAGCCTTCTTTACCGGGAGGTTCTGCTTCATTTCTTATCTCTGTCTCTGTGCCTCCCAGCCCGCCACCCTGGGGCCGCTGCTGGCTCCAGGTCAGGCCCTCCAGCAATCCCCTGAGCTGCCTTGCCCTTTCTCCCCGAGGTCCCTGCTGATTCTCTTTGTGGAGATTGACTACTGGGAACGGCTGCTCTTTGAGACGCCCCACTACGTGATGAATGTGGCCGAGCGCGCGGAGGACCTGCGCATTCTTCGGGAAAACCTGTTGCTTGTGGCTCGAGACTACAATCGGTAAGGTTGCAGTCCTCAGCGCAGCCTTCTGTGCGCCTTCTGAGCCCCCTCTGTGTCTTATCTGTCCCGTGATGTCGTCTATCTCCTGCAGGATCTATCCTTTACATTTGACCATCTCAAAAAAATGCTTTCTCCTACCCTCTTGTATGGCCCTTGCACTTTTGTCTTCTAGCTTCAGGGTAGAGAGCAAAAACAACCCAACCTGGTCCTCTCCAACCCCACAGGTCACTGGGGCCACGTATACTGTGGGCCCGGGTCACTTTTCTAGAATGAAACTGGGGGCATTAGCATTGTGGGCACAGGATAACATCGGTGTTATTGAACCAAGGCCACCCTCGCACCCTTCTCTCAATACCCTTGGTACTTAACTCTGGCTGAGGCTTTGCTCTGGGTTGGGCACCTCTCTCAGCCCAGTTAAAGTCCAAGTGAGTGGAGCCAGCAGTCTTGTCTGGGCGTCTAGAACTACACGGTCCAATATGGCGGCCCTCAGTGGCACGTGGCTATTTCTATTTTAATTACTTAATTGGAATTACGTAAAATCTTAAAATTGAGTTACTCATTCGCACAGGCCACATGTCAAATGCCCCACAACCACACTTCATGGTTAGTGGCGACCGTTTGTGGACAGCACAAAGTGTAGAGCGTTTCCACTATTGGTGAAAGTTTTCTTAGAAAGCACGGTGTAGCCTTGTGAGTTTCCCGATGTCTCCACCGAGTTTCCTCGTGCAGAGGAGAGGCCTGCAGAGCGTGGCCCACCCACTGCCAGTCTTCTCTCATACACAGGATCATTGCCATGCTGTCCCCAGATGAGCAGGCCCTCTTCAAAGAACGTATCCGATTCCTGGATAAGAAGATCCACCCTGGACTCAAGAAACTGCACTGGGCCCTGAAGGGGGCCAGCGCCTTCTTCATCACAGAATGCCGAATACATGCCAGCAAGGTGGGTCCTGGCCACTAGGCTCTGAAGGTCTGCAAGGCCGACCCAAAGACCGGTGTGTGGGTGATCAGTACAGAGACCAGGGAGTAGTGTGAAAAATGAAGCATGCTGAGGTACATTATTTTTAATGTGAGCAGCTCTGGCTCGAGGACGGGTGGGAGGATAGCTCGGAGCCCAGAGGGTCTCTTCCCAAACTGAGGCTCCCTGTGGGCGCGGTCTGACTCTAGGTGCAGACCATCGTGAACGAGTTCAAGGCCTCCACTCTGACCATTGGCTGGCGAGCCCAAGAGATATCCGAGACGCTGTTGGTGCGCATCAGCAGCAAACGGGTATACAGGGACCTGGAATTTGAGGAGGACCAGCGGGAGCACCGGGCGGCTGTTCAGCAGAAACTGATGAGCCTGCACCAGGACGTGGTGGCCATCGTGACCAACTCCTACGAAGTCTTCAAGAATGACGGCCCTGAGGTGCGGGTCCTGGGGCCAAGGCTCTGTGGCTGCGCGAGCCCTCCGGGGGCCATCGGAACTTTCGCTTGGTCTTCCTGTCTACCCTTTGTGGGGGCTTCTCAGACGCCCTGCTCTCGTCTTGGGTTCACCCAACCTTCAGTCTCTCAAACCTTCTTCCTTCGGGACTCCGCATCCTACCTTTCTCTTTAACCAGCTTGTTGCCTTCCCCATTGGCCCTGTTTCCCCTGAGGGCCCGCCCTTCTGCCCATGCCCTCCCCCAGATTCAGCAGCAGTGGATGCTGTACACGATTCGGCTGGACCGCATGATGGAGGATGCCCTGCGTCTGAATGTGAAGTGGTCGCTGCTGGAGCTGTCCAAGGCCATCAACGGGGACGGGAAGACCACGCCCAACCCCCTCTTCCGAGTCCTGGTCATTTTGCAGAATGACACACAGGGAGGTGTGGCACAGGTGGGGACCTTGACCCCTGATGTTCCAAAACTGTCTCTATTTTCGGTTTCCCTCAATCCTTAAACTTCCCTAAATCCCTTGGCCTTGACTTCATCCTGTGGCTTCCAGGGCTGGTTCTGCGGTGTTCAGCCTTCCCAGTCCTGAGGCTCCATGGCCTACGCTGAGGCCATCTCCCCTGTGTTTCCCCCCACCGCCAGGTGGAATTCTCACCCACTCTGCAGACGCTGGCAGGTGTGGTCAATGACATTGGCCACCACCTCTTCTCCACCATCTCTGTCTTCCACCACCTCCCCGAAATTCTCATCAGGCGCAAGTTTCATCGTGACCCCATCCACATAATCGTGGGTGAGTGGGCAGTGGGGAGGGCACTGGGTGCAGGGCCATCAGAGACTTAGGGAGGGGCAGAGCCAGGAGGAGAGGCCGGGGCCGTTTCCAGACGTGGGGCTGGTCATCTCCGTGATGCTGGGAAGGCCAGGTCGGGGGCCAGTCGGGGAAGGGAGCAAGGGTGGTGGTCGGAGTGGAAGGTAAGTGACTCACGCTCAAGGGCTTTGGGACTGGGGTGGGAGATTCAGAAGGACGAGTTTGGGACTGGGGCAGGATAGGAGGCGCCCTTCTGAATCCTCGGGCTGGATCCGACTCCCCCTTTGCTTACGAATGCTCACGGTTGAGCTGTATTTCTTTGGGGAGGTGGTGTTGGAGAGGAGGATCCAGTGGCCAGGGCCCAGGGTGGAGCTTGGGTTGGGCTGGGAGTGAGTGAGAAGCATTTTGCTGGCTCTTGAAGAGCGAGACGAGGACATCAAGAAGATCCAGGCCCAGATCAGCAGCGGCATGACCAACAACGCAAGCCTGCTGCAGAACTACCTCAAGACCTGGGATTTGTATCGGGAGATCTGGGAGATCAACAAGGACTCTTTTATTCGCCGCTATCAGCGTCTCAACCCCCCCGTCTCTTCTTTTGATGCCGACATTGCCCGGTAAGGAGCGAAGGTGGCTGGGAAGCCTAGCATCCCGGGAGGAGGCCCAGGCCGACGGGCTCGGGAAGAGCGTTGGGGAAGGGAGAGCTGCAGAAAACCTGTGTCCGCAACCTTGGGAGGAGATCGGGAGCTAGGGCATCGGACCTTTGTTTCTCAAGGGGTAGAGGTCACATCAGAGCTGGACAAAATTTAGGGGAATGGTCTTGTCTTTTTTTTTTTTTGGTGGGGCGCACCCACAGGGTCCTGTTGGGAAACAACAAATGTAAAGGCCTGAAGGGTGAGAAGCAAGCACTTTTTTTTTTTTAAAGGTTTTATTTATTTACTTGGCAGAGAGAGAGACAGTGAGAGAGGGAACGCAAGCAGGGGGAGCGGGAGAGGGAGAAGCAGGCTCCCCGCCGAGCAGGGAGCTGGACACGGGGCTTGATCCCAGGACCCTGGGATCATGACCTGAGCCGAAGGCAGACGCTTAACGACTGAGCCACCCAGGTGTCCCGGGATCTTGGTTTCTTTCTTTCTTTCTTTTTTTAAAGATATTTATTTATTTATTTATTTATTTGACAGAGAGAGACACAGCGAGAGAGGGAACACAAGCAAGGGGAGCGGGAGAGGGAGAAGCAGGCTTCCCTGTGGAGCAGGGAGCCCGATGCGGGGCTCGATCCCAGGACCCTGGGATCATGACTGGAGCCGAAGGCAGACGCTTAACGACTGAGCCACCCAGGCGCCCCTGTGTATCGTTTTTTTAAGATTTTATTTATTTGAGAGAGCGAGAAAACAAGCAGCGGGGAGGGGCAGAGGGAGAGGGAGAAGCAGGCCTCCCGCGGAGCAGGGAGCCCGATGCGGGGCTCGATCCCAGGACCCCGGGATCACGACCTGAGCCGAAGGCAGACGCTTCATGGACGGAGCCAGCGGGGCGCCCGAGGTTGTGGGGTCACGGAGCCTCGCGAGAGCGCTTTGCACGCTCTAAGGCACTGTGCAAATGTAGTCACCACAGAAGCATTGGTGCGAGAAGAAGTAGGATTCAGGCGTGCAAAGCCGTGGAAGGGCTGGGACATTAGGAAAGGCTGCGTGAAGGGCCTGGCGTCGTGGGTAGGGCTCTCACAGGCAGCAAGGGGCGGGGGGAGGGCCTTGCAGGCGGAGAACACAGCGTGAGGAAGGCACGGAGATGGGGACACACGCGCACGTGCACCGAGGAGCGCGTGGCCTAGGACACGGGTGCGGGGCCGGCCGCGCCCCAGGGGTTTAGGTAGGGCGGACCACGTCCTTCTCTCGGCAGCCTTGTGCTGTGGGTTCTGTGATTATCACCGTGTTACAGACGAGAACTTGGGGCTCGGACCGGTTTGAATAGGCTGTCTGGGGCCGCAGAGCTGGGGAGCAGCAGTGGGTACTCCGCCCCGGGCCACCCCGAGGCCTCGAATGCCCGACGAAGGAGTGCGGCTGCTGTGTCGCAGGCAGGGGTGGGGGAGCGGTAGGCTCTCGCCGTGGGGCTGGGACACCCCCAGAGCAGCAGAGTACCTGGAGCTACCGCGCGGGTCCGGGGGGCAGGCCACCCGAGCGCAAACTCGCGACAGGGCGGAGGGCTTGTCTGCCGAGAGAAAACCGCCCTAGCGGGGACACGGGCCCTTGCAGCTACACGGAGGTTGCCAACAACGTGCAGAAGGAGGAGACGGTGCTCAACATCCAGTTCGTGCTGCTGGACTGCTCCCACCTCAAGTTCTCGCTGGTACAGCACTGCAACGAGTGGCAGAACAAGTTCACGACCCTGCTCAAGGAGATGGCGGCCCGGCGCCTCCTGGAGCTCCACGCCTACCTGCAGGACAACGGGGACAAGTAGGGGCTCCTCCAGGGGGCGGCGGGGGCGGGGCGGGGCAGGAGGCCCACTGCGTGCTCTCTGCCTGCCCTCAGAATCAGCCACCCTCCCCAGACGCTGGAGGAACTGGGGGTCAGCTTGCAGCTCATGGAGACCCTGCAGCACGACCTGCCCAACCTGGAGACCCAGATCCCCCCCATCCACGAGCAGTTCACCATTCTCGAGAAGTACGAGGTGCCGGTTCAGGAGAACGTGAGTTCCCGGGGCGTGCCATCCACCGGGGTCGGGCCCATGGCGGCAGTGGCTCGGGGAGAAAGTTAACCCCCACGTCGTAGGCCCTGGGCCGCCAGGCAGGACGGCAGAGGAGTGAGCTGGGCGGAAGGCGCAAGACCCCGAGACCTCGGAGAGCCAGAGAACTCAAATGATAGTTTGGGTCGGCTTATGGATTTCTCTTAGGCCCTACGACTCTGGTCCACGGGGTCAGAAACAAGGCCCTAAGAGCATGGCTGTGGATAGACCCCCTGCTCATGGGTCATCGTCCCCTCCTTGATGTCCCCAGGTCCTAGAGATGCTGGACCATCTCAACGGGGAGTGGGTCATCTTCCAACAAATCCTGCTGGATAGTGAACAAATGCTGAAGAAACACAAGGAGAAATTCAAGACAGGCCTCATCCACTCAGCGGACGACTTCAAGAAGAAAGCGCATAATCTCCTGGAAGACTTTGAATCTAAAGGTACCTCTTTCTCGAGCTCTCCCCCTCTACCTCTGTGTTGACCCAGTGTCTCAAAGCCTCGGCCCCCAGGAGGTAGGGAGAAGGTTGAGCAGAGGAAGGATGCTGCTGGGGAGAGGGGATGAAGGCCTGGTGCTTTTGGTCGCACTGCCCAGCTCACAACATTTCCAGTTTTCTTTCTTTCCCGTGACCCACCCGGTTCTGATTCTCACACCACATGTAGGAGTTTTTGCTAAAGTGAATCATCATCCTTGCAATGCATTCCCTCGTTTTCCTTCCTGCCCCCGTCGGGTGAGGAGAGAAGGGAGATTTGCCCACAAAGAGGTAGGAGGACCATGACGGTCCTTCCAGGGGACGATGGCTTTCACCTTGGATTTCCCACAGGCCCCTTCACCAGTAACGTGGGACATCAGGCAGCCTTGGAGCAGATCGCCCAGGTGCGGGCCATGCTGAATGCCATGCGGGAAGAAGAAAACAGTCTCCGCTCCAACCTGGGCATCTTCAAGATCGAGCAGCCAGCCTCCAAGGACCTGCAGAACCTGGAGAAGGTGGTGTGCTGGGCTAGGCCCTTGTGCTGAGCAGGGATGGGGGCCGGGGGCAGGACCAGGAAGATGGGAGCACGAGGACCTTTTTAAAAAAAAAAAGGAGGTAAAATTCAGATAACAAAATAACCGTCTTTTTTATAAAGATTTTATTTATTTATTTGACAGAGAGACAGCGAGAGAGGGAACCTCAAGCAGGGGGAGTGGGAGAGGGAGAAGCAGGCTTCCCGCAGAGCAGGGAGCCCGATGCGGGGCTCGATCCCAGGACCCCGGGATCATGACCTGAGCTGAAGGCAGACGCTTAATGACTGAGCCACCCAGGCGCCCCAACAAAATAACCATTTTAAAGCAAACGATTCAGTGGCATTTCGTACATTCACAATGTTGTGAAGTCATCACCTCTGGCTCCGAAACGCTTTCATCACCCCAGAAGGAAACCTACACCCTCTCCCCTCAGCCCCCGGTGACCACTCGTGGATCTTCCGTCCCGTACGTTTGGTACAAATGGCCTTCGTGTCTGGCTGAGTTCGCTCAGCGTAACGTTTTCAAGGTTCACGCACGTTGTAGCGCGGTAGGTGCTGAGTGATCCTCCGCTGTGTGGACATCCGGCCTGCTTCCTGCCTTCGAGCAGATCTGGCTGCTACAAACGTGTGTGTCCCTGCATTTGCTTGAGTCCCGCCGCCAGCCCCCCGGGGGGCGGCCAGAGGAGTGCAAGCGCGGGGTCTCCGTCTGCCGTGTGTGGAGGAGGAGGAGGGCCCGAGTGCCCTCCCTTACCGCTTCTTCCCACTCCTGGCCGTGCAGGAGCTGGACGCACTGCAGCAGGTGTGGGAGATCACACGGGACTGGGAGGAGAACTGGAACCAGTGGAAGACGGGCCAGTTCCTGACGCTGCAGACGGAGGCCATGGAAACGATGGCACACGGGCTCTTCCGCCGTCTCACCAGGCTGGCCAAAGAGTACAAGGTGCGTGGGGGGCGGCGGGGGGCAGAGGGCGAGCCGCTGAGGAAGGGCCACGGCGCGGGGATGCTGGCCAGGCCTGCCGATGCCTCCCATGTCTGCCCAGGACCGCAACTGGGAAATTATCGAAACCACTCGCTCCAAAATAGAGCAGTTCAAGAGGACCATGCCCCTCATCTCGGACCTTCGCAACCCCGCCCTTAGAGAGAGGTGAGGCTGCTCCTCGCTCCTCGGGGCCACCCCCCCGGCCCGCGACCACATCCCCCTGCCCCTGCCCACAGACACGCGCCCCCGGGGAGCCTTCCCTCCCTTGAGCCCGCCCCGTCCTCTGTCTCCCATGCCGTCCTGGGTCCTCTGGCCTTCCCGGCTCCTCTGTTCCCTTCCCCCGCCATCTCCCAGCGCTCTGTTCTGTCTTGACGTCTTCTGTCTACAAAAGGTTTTATTCTTTTTTTAAAAAAAGATTATTTTATTTTTGGGGGGGAGGGGCAGAGGGAGAGGGAGAGGGAATCTCAAGCACTGAGCGTGACTCGGGGCTCGATCTCACGACCCTGAGATCATGACCTGAGCTGAAATCAAGAGTCGGACGCTTAACTGACTGGGCCACCCAGGCACCCCCAAAAGGTTTTATTCTGATGTAGCCAAAGGTATTCCCTTCTTCCTTCATGGGTTTTGCTTCTGGGCCTCATCTAAGAAGACCTCCCCCCCGCCCCCCCGCCAGGGTTAAACCTGCGTTCTCTCTGTACTTTCCTCTAAATACTTCATAATTTTATTTTGCAAGTTTTGCTCTTTCGATTACATGATAGGAGAGGCCTTTGAGGCCATGGAGGACGGAATGGGCTATTTTATTATTATTTTTTAAGATTTTTATTTTATTTTATTTATTAGAGAGAGAGAATGAGAGAGAGAGAGAGCATGAGAAGGGGGAAGGTCAGAGGGAGGAGCAGACTGATATGGGACTCGATCCCAGGACCCTGGGATCATGACCTGAGCCGAAGGCAGTCACTTAACTAACTGAGCCACCCAGGTGCCCCAGAATGGGTTATTTTATAGATGACATTGTAATAATTATCCATTTAGAAGGAAGTAATTTCACTTCTTCTGTGTTGCGTCCACGATGGTGTTTTTGCCGGGTTTCACCCTTATGTGTCCTGTAGTTAAGTACAACCTGACCCTACACCCGCCTAAGTTGTTCGACCTCCCCTAGGCTCAGGTTCCTCGGTCTCAGGTGGAAGAACCAAAGTTCCTCATTGATAGCAGGCATGTGAATTAAGTGAGCCGTCTCATGAACAGCACTTGGCCCCGCGCATAATCTGTCCATAGTAAACTCGCAATGATCGGTCTGAACTCCCTCTCCAGAGAATCAGCACCTCAATCTCTGCAGTCCCCACAGTGCCTGGGAGTGCATCTTAGGGCCTATTTAATATATCATATCAATACGTATATGGAATCATGCTATCCCAATGGGAGAGAGAAAGCCTGCGGCTCGATGCTAACACGTTCCAGGAGACCCTGATGTCCGGCCTCGTGCTCTGACTTCTGTCCCTGACTGCAGGCACTGGGATCAGGTCAGAGATGAGATCCAACGGGAGTTTGATCAGGAATCTGACCGCTTCACCTTGGAGCAGATTGTGGATCTTGGGATGGACCAGCATGTGGAGAAAATCGGGGAGATCTCTGCGTCGGCCACCAAAGAGCTGGCTATAGAATTGGTACGACTGCGCCCCCTCCACTTCGCCTCCCCCACTTCACGAGCCTCGGGCGGCCAGCTTCTCCTGGTCCCATGGCCCCTCCAAGTTCTGTTCCCTTTGCGGACCGAATACTGGATTGTTCTGTTCCCTGCTTTCTCTCCACAGGCATTACAGAACATTGCCAAGGCCTGGAGCGTGATCCAGCTAGACATAGTTCCCTATAAGGACAAGGGCCATCACCGACTCCGGTAGAGGGGGCCTTGGGGTGCTGGGGGAGGGGCGGGCCGGGCGAGCTGGGCTGCAGAGCCCCTGGAGGTTTGGCAGGTGGGGACGGACTGTAATTCTGATGCTTTCCGCCCCAGAGGCACAGAGGAGGTATTCCAGGCCCTGGAAGATAACCAGGCGGCTCTGTCTACCATGAAGGCCTCTCGTTTTGTCAAGGCCTTTGAGAAGGAAGTGGACCGCTGGGAGCGCTGCCTCTCCCTCATCTTGGAGGTCGTTGAGATGCTGCTTACAGTGCAGCGCCAGTGGATGTACCTGGAGGTCAGGACCCGCTCGCCGAGCTGCTCCTGTGAACCACCCTCCGTTCCTGGCACACGACCTACATCCTGGCCCTATTCTCAGCCTCGTTTTCCCACTTCCAAAGTCCTCCTTCCTCTGGGCCCCAAGCGTCTTACTCTCAGTGATGACCTCTCACATTTGGGTCCCCCCTTGAAAGGCCTGTGCTCTTCTTCCGTTTTTCTTCTTGGACCCAGGTATCTGGCCTCCCAACCCCAACTTCCCTTCCAGAACTTGAGCTTCTTGCCCTTTGGTTCTGATGCTCCTTCTCTTCCACTCGGCTGTCATTCCTGGTCTGGGAGTGGGGAGCAGAGTGTGGGGAGCATGTGAGAAACAGCCTCTCACCCCAAGTCTTGGCCCCTCAGAATATCTTCCTCGGAGAGGACATCCGTAAGCAGCTGCCCAGTGAATCAGCCCTATTTGACCAGATCAACAACAACTGGAAATCCATCATGGACCGGATGAGCAAGGACAGCAACGCTCTGCAGAGCACCCACCATCCAGGTCTGTCCATGAGCTCCATGGCCTCTTGTCCTGACAGAGGCTCGGTGGGTGCTGAGTATGTGTGAAGTCCTGGCCACGTGCTTCCTTCATCAAAAGACCGTTGTAGCTGGCCTTCATACCATCACCATCGCCTCTCCTGAGCATGGAATAACAGTTCAGTGCACAAAACTCAACAAATACTCGGGAGGACTGTACTGTAGTGGGAGGGGGTGAGGGGGTGGGAGAGAGACGTACCCACAGGAAGGCCTGGTTGATGGTGGTGGAGTGCGGTAAAGAACCAGGAAGTGAGGTCTGGCGATGGGCGCCAAGAGTGGGCGTCCTGAGGAGAAGAGTTCTGTCCGGGGGTGCGGAGGACTCCTCTGTTTTGCCTTGGGCCAACTGAAAGGTTTTTCATTTTCCCAAGAACCTTGGGGGTATGCACTAAAAAGCCGTTTTATTATTCTGATAAAATGTCTGTAGGAGGATATGCAAAGTTGAGGGACAGCATGCATCTGTTAGAAAAAATACTCAAAATCACAGGCAAAATTACATTTCGGAACAATATATAAGCAAAGCCACTGAAACAGGTATCTGTTTGTGGAACACAAAAACCAAACTCATCTCACCCACGGCTGCTGAGTCGCCTCCCGGAGGCCTGGCAGCCCGTGGATTCTGAACTTGAAGGCTCAAGGGTCGCCTCAGGTTCCAGGGCGTCCAGACTTTCCTCAGAAAGCTAGAAACTGGGACAACAAGGGAATAAACCAATCGAAACCTAAGCCTGGGAGGAAACTAAGATTATTGAGAACTTGCCACTGAGAATCCATTTTACTTAGTACCGTGGGTCATTCTCTGAGGGAGATGCTACCAGTGTTTTACCCACAAGGAGGTGAGAGCTCAGTGAGCTTAACGGACATGCCGGTTCGTGGACGAGCAGCAGTTTGCATGGCCATTGTCTGTCCCTCCGTCCAGTGCTCTTTTCGCTCCACCCCGAGGGACCCCGGCACCCCCAGCGGTTGCAGCCCTGTTTCGATGTGTGCACGTGATATATATTTAAATCTAATGATTTCACCTGTGGGGTTGTGTGTGTGCAGAACAGTCTCTAATTTCCAGAAGCTCTTGGGGTGACCAGCCGGAGGAAAGGGACTGTTTAAGACCGAAGGGAGAGGAGATGTCAATATATTAGTGGAATCTCGTATACCGTGTAGTTAATGCATAGTGTACAAAATGCGTAATAGTGTATGATGAGCACTTGATGATGGATTAATGAAGAGGACGGGCTAAGCGTGATGAGTGGTTTGGAGACACGTCTCTGCTCCCAGCAGCCATTATGGCGATATGTACCCCAACATTCGAGAGTCGGCAAAGTGGCTGCTGGGGCACTCTCCAGATCCACTCAGGGCAGTGGTAGAGGGTCCTCAAATGTCCTTCGTTGCTCTTCCCCCAGGCCTGCTGGACACGCTGACGGAAATGAACACAGTTCTGGAAGACATTCAGAAGTCTCTGGATATGTATCTAGAGACCAAGCGCCATATCTTTCCCCGCTTCTACTTCCTGTCCAATGATGACCTCCTGGAGATTCTGGGCCAGTCCCGCAACCCAGAGGCTGTGCAACCGCACCTCAAAAAATGCTTTGACAACATCAAATTGCTGAGAATGCAGAAGGTTGGCCGAGCTGGCCGGGATAGGATGGGGGGCAGGGGGGAGATGGGAACGTCAAGGTGCTCGGGGCCTTGGAGGGGGCCGTGGCCTCCCAGCAGGAGGGGGATATGAATGCTTCTGGATTACCTGGGATAGAACTCTTTAGAATTAGTAATATTGGGGTCAGGGGAGAGGAGCAGAGATTACCCTCAAAGGGCCCAAGTACCTCCTAGGTGGACATGAGGAGTGAGCAGGCCAGACCATCCCGAGCTTCCTGCTTTTACAGGTTGGGGGACCCAGCAGCAAATGGGAAGCCGTGGGAATGTTCTCAGGGGATGGCGAGTACGTTGACTTCCTCCACTCAGTCCTTCTGGAAGGGCCTGTGGAGGTGAGTAGTGGTGAGGGTCTAAGAATCGAGTTGATTCTTCTTCCCCTTGGAAAGTTTGCTTGGCTCTGTGAGGAGACAACATCTCTGTGAAGGGACCCACCTGCCATTGCTGAAAACTCTAACCTCTCCCCTGGACCTGAAAAGCAGACCGTCTTCCCTCCCCCCACAATGCCTCCATTTCCCTCCGGGACCTGAGCCAGCTGCTGCCCAAAGCCCTGGAGTCCTCCCTCCTAAGCCCCTGCCCTCTGGGGATACTTGTCTCTGGCCCTGAGGCCTGGCCGTTCGGCCCTGTCACCCCCCACCCCCACAGTCCTGGCTTGGTGACGTGGAGCGGACCATGAGGGTGACCCTACGGGACCTTCTCCGGAACTGTCGCCTGGCCCTCAAGAAGTTTCTTAACAAGAGGGACAAGTGGGTGAAGGAGTGGGCTGGCCAGGTGAGCCGGGGTCGGTGGAAACGAGGGAGCAAGGAAGAGCTCAAAGGGAGCCGCAAAGGTCAAGACCGAATCTCGAGTCTCACCAGACGTAGGCGTCCTGCCCCCTGTTCTGGGCGAAGGCCTTGCCACGCTGCGTGCTGGACCCTTAGCTCCTGCCCGTAGGCCTGAGCCCCATCCTTCTGTGCAGAGGGAGCCTGTTGAGCGAGCACTAGCACCTGGGCCAGGAAGAGGCTAGGACTTGGGGGCTGGGCTGCGTGCGGGGCCAGCGGATCTAGCCTCTGCGTGGGCCCCAGGTGGTGATCACTGCCAGTCAGATCCAGTGGACGGCTGACGTCACCAAGTGCCTGCTGACGGCTAAGGAGCGCGGAGACAAGAAAATCCTCAAGGTCATGAAGAAGAAGCAGGTGGGGAGCCCTCCAAGTTTGGGGTGGGCCCCGGGGGTGTGTCATGGGGGGGGATGCGCTGGAGTCTGAGTCAGGGTCACAGCAAGGGTGGTTTGTGGTGGAAGTCCCGCGAGGCAAGTCTAGGTGGCTTGGAAGGGCTGGGGGTCAGGAGTTTCGGGGGGTCGGGGTCAGCGTGGGGTTGGGAGCCGGTGAGGCCGGGGCGAGGCGTGGTCAGGGTTTGCTTGCCTTGCCCCCTCCACGCTCCTCCCTGCCACCTCATCCCGCAGGTGTCCGTCCTGAACAAGTATTCGGAAGCCATCAGGGGGAACCTGACCAAAATCATGCGGCTGAAAATTGTGGCGCTGGTGACAATAGAAGTCCACGCCCGGGACGTGCTGGAGAAGCTGTACAAGAGCGGCCTCGTGGACGTCAGCTCCTTCGAGTGGCTCAGTCAGCTGCGCTTCTACTGGGAGAAGGTGCGCCCGGCCCGCGCCCTCCTGACGCCCCGGCCCCCGGCCCTAGCTCTGCACTCAGTCCCGTCTCCCGAGTCAGGACCAGCACGTCGTTTTTCTCGTGGGTGCTCGCCGTGGGTGGCCCTGGATCGGACCCAGGAAGGCCGCGGGCTGCTGCCTGACGGATGGGGCGGTCGTGTGGGCGCCCACCTTCCATGCGGGCCGTAGACCCTCTCCTCCACGGCCCTGGTCTTGTAACTGCAGCCTCCCCGTCTGCCCGCCTCCCCAATCAGCTCTTCCTCCAAGCCCGCCTCTCCCTTCCTCTGCCCTGTTGCCCCAGGAGCTGGACGACTGCATGATCCGCCAGACCAACACGCAGTTCCAGTACAGCTACGAGTACTTGGGGAACTCCGGCCGGCTGGTCATCACCCCGCTGACCGACAGGTCGGCCGGCGTGGTGACAGGGTGGCGGGGCGGGGGCAGCAGCTGCTGAGGGGGGCTCACACACAGGAGTCCAACTCGGGTCCTGTCCTTGATCGTCAGGTGTTACATGACTCTGACCACAGCCCTGCACCTGCATCGGGGGGGCTCCCCCAAAGGCCCAGCGGGCACGGGGAAGACAGAGACCGTCAAGGATCTGGGCAAGGCCCTCGGCATATACGTCATCGTGGTCAACTGCTCCGAGGGCCTGGACTACAAGTCCATGGGCAAGATGTACTCGGGCCTGGCTCAGGTCCATACCCCGCCGCCCCGCCCCCCCCTCCCAGTCCCAGACAGTCAGCTGAGCCCCAGTCCGGCTCCCAGCTTTGTAAGGTACAGCACTCCATGCCTCAGGGCTTATGATTGCCATCGTCCCCGCACCTCCCCGAGCTTCGCTCAGCCTTCATTTTTGCTTATTTGAAAACTCAGAGGATGACACGAGGGCTCGACGAGGTAACGCATATACACTGGTCAGCGCAGGCCTCTGCTCACGGGTTCCCTCCCCGGGCCTCTTCCCAACCCGTGCCTGCTCCGGTACTCCCCGAGGTTGTCCCTGAGATTGTCCCCAAGATTGTGCTGTGGGCTGGAAAGTTCTGGCCAGGGACCACCCCTGGGCTACGCTGCTCCCACCCCAGCCCAGACAGCACACGCGTCCTGGAGACCGCCACACCGGTCAGGACCTCTCAGGCCGGGCTCCCCGTTGGAGGGCCGGGTGCTTCTCTGGCCCCCAGCGACTCTGCTCCCCACCCACAGACTGGCGCCTGGGGCTGCTTTGACGAGTTTAACCGCATCAACGTGGAGGTGCTGTCCGTGGTGGCCCAGCAGATCCTGTCCATCCTGTCCGCCCTGGCCGCCAGCCTCACCCGCTTCTACTTCGAGGGCTTTGAAATAAACCTGGTGTGGTCCTGTGGGATCTTCATCACCATGAATCCCGGTACGGGGCGGGGAGGAGGACGGGGCATCCAGGGCCGATAGCCCTTCGCCCCCTCCCCCTTCCAGGCCAGGGTGTTCAGCCCAAGTGAGGGGGCGAGAGAGAGAGAGCACAGCGCAAGGGAAGGATAAACGTCCAGCTTTCTGGGAGAAGGGGAGGCAGTCTTACTGTCCACCCCAAATGGGTCAATAACCGCTGTGTGTCTATACACGCCCGGTCTTTTGGGATGCTTCGCTGTCTTCTCCCGCTGGGCCAGCTCCCCGAGTCCTGGTCTGTCTGCCATCCCCTTTGCAGGAGAAATGGGACTCTTCCCAGAAAGCAGGCCCTGGGCTCTCTCATTACTGTTCCCCGGGAACGGCTGGGGGAGGGTCTGCGGGGAGAGCAGGACAGGGCTCAGGTACTGAGAGAGAGACAGAAGGGATCTGGATCAGGACCCCCACGGAAGGAGAGGACCACAGGTAGGAGAGAGGGGTGGGAGCTGAGCCGAGGAGCAGAGAGCGTGTGGCTGGAGCTGGGGAGACTGGGGGGCGAGCCAGGGTTGGGGAGAATGGGGCTGAGAATGGGCAGTGGGTCCTCGGGGAGCGGCCTGGGTTCTAAATAGACGGTGCTGTTTTCCAGGCTATGCCGGCCGCACGGAGCTGCCAGATAACCTGAAATCCATGTTCCGTCCCATTGCCATGGTGGTGCCTGATTCCACTCTTATCGCAGAGATCATCCTCTTCGGGGAGGGCTTCGGCAACTGCAAGGTATGCCCATCACGTCTTGTCGCTAACGCTCTGACGTCCCTTCCGTGATGAGTCCCCGGACAGAGGCACCCTGAGGGATGTGGGCTTGCGGTCAGTAGGGTGTGGAGGCCTCTCCCCTGGCAGGTCCCTGGTCCGTGTCGGCCCCGTTCCCAGCATCTTCTCGTTAGGATTGTCCCCAGAGCCAGCCTGGCCACCTCGGGGCTCAGGCCCAGCTGCGTGTGTGTCGCTGTCCCTGCGGGAGGCCGGGGTTTCCTCCTCGGTTTTCCTTCCCCAGACCCTGGCCAAGAAGGTATGCAGCCTGTACTTGCTGGCTGTGCAGCAGCTGTCCAGGCAGGACCATTACGACTTCGGCCTGCGCGCCCTCACCTCCCTCCTGCGCTATGCGGGCAAGAAGCGCCGCGTGCAGCCGGATCTGTCCGATGAGGAGGTAGGTCGAGGACACGGCCCTTGGGCCCGAACCCCCAGGGCCCCTGGTCCTCCCCGCCTCCACGGAAGCTTTTCAGCTCCTGTGCCCGGGCTGGGACCCCCGCCCGCTGCCTGTCCCCTGCGCCACCCAGTGTCCTGCTGACGGCTCGCTCGGCCATCCGCGTTGGTCTTGCCTCCTGCCCCTCAGCCCTTTGGACGGGGCGGGGGGGTTCGAGTGGGCGCCCGGGGCCCGGCTCCTCAGGCCGGAGGCTCCCTCGTTTCCCGGCCAGGTTTTGCTGCTCTCGATGCGAGACATGAACATCGCCAAGCTCACCTCAGTCGACGTGCCGCTCTTCAACGCCATCGTGCAAGACCTGTTCCCCAACATCGAGCTGCCCGTCATTGACTACGGCAAGGTACTCGTCCTCGCTGCTCCCGCCGACCTCACCCACGCACGCAGAGCCGTCCCCGGGCCGTGACTGTTTGCAGGACAGCCGACCTCGCCGGGCTTCCTTGTCTATTCAGACACTCCACTGTCCCGCCACAGCCCCCCGCTCCTGAGCGGCGGGCCCCTGGCTCTATGGAGCCCTCAGAGCCCCTCCTGCCTCCTCCCTCTCCTCCCGCTGGAGCTGCTGTTGCCTGAGAGCAGTGGCGTGGGAGGGGCGGGCAGGAGGAGTCTAGGAAGGACAGGAATTTTCTTCTCCGGAGGAGTGACCGTTCAGTTACCCTGAATGATCCCTTCACTTGAGACCCCTGGAATGTTAGATAGAAATACATCTTTGTAAATGCATCGCTAGAAAGAAAGAAAGAATTCGGGGGGTGGGGGTGGGGGGCGGAAGCAGGGAGACCATACGACAACCTGCCACGGAAAGCGCCCTCGTGGCTCCCGTTTAGCAGAGGAGGCCACTGAGGCCCAGAGCCGTCCCTTCCCCAGGGTCCCCGGGCCTCGCAGCTCTGCAGCGGCCAGCTCCTGAGTGAGCGACGGCCGGAGCGCGGGGGCCCTGGCGCCACGTCCGGCAGCCTGAGCGTGACCCCCCAGGCGGCAGCGGGGTTTACGGGCCTCCCGCTGTCTGTCGCCCCCCTCAGCTGCGGGACGTCATCGAGCAGGAGATCCACGACATGGGCCTGCAGAGCACACGGTTCACCCTCACCAAGGTCATCCAGCTGTACGAGACCAAGAACTCCCGCCACTCCACCATGATCGTGGGCTGCACGGGCAGTGGCAAGACCACCTCGTGGCGCATCCTCCAGGCCTCCCTGTCCTCCTTGTGCTGCGCCGGGGAGCCCAACTTCAACATTGTCAGGGTGCGGACTTGGGACGGGGGAGCGCCTGCCGGAGACCAGCGGGACGGGCGCGCAGTGCGGGCCAGGAGGGCAGGCCTGGGGCCCGGGGGGCCTGGGGGAGACCGGAGACCGAGGGCAAATACAGACCCCTGGAAACAAAGGGGGCGACGTGAACCTAAACGGAGATCTGGGCACTGGCGCCTGCCTGCAGCTCGAAAACCCCCTTCTGTGTCCCTTTTAGGAGTTCCCCTTGAACCCGAAGGCGTTGTCCCTGGGGGAGCTGTATGGGGAATATGACCTCAACACGAATGAGTGGACAGATGGTGTCCTGTCCAGTGTCATGCGGACGGCGTGTGCAGGTGCCCACGTCGGGGGGCGGGTGGGCAGTCTGGGGGTGGAGAGCCCATGTTTGGGAGGAAAATGCCTGGGGCGTGCTGAGGTACGAGGAGGAGGAGGTGCGTGCTCACAACCCCGAGGAGCTGAGCGTGAAGGGAGGTCTGGGGAGAAAGTTGTAGCTTCCTGACCATCCTCCTCCTACCAAGATGAGAAGCCGGATGAGAAGTGGATCCTTTTCGATGGCCCCGTGGACACACTGTGGATCGAGAGCATGAACTCGGTCATGGACGACAACAAAGTCCTGACCCTCATCAACGGGGAGCGCATCGCGATGCCCGAGCAGGTGCAGACCCTGCGGAGTGGGGGGCCGGGGGCACGCGGCAGGGCTCGGGGGGCCGGGGCGCCGCCGGATGAGGAGCTTCTGTGGGAGAGGGGAGGTGGAGGATGCCTGGATTCGGGGAGACCTGTGTCCGAGGGAAGAGTGCCGGGTCTACCGTGGGTGTGGGGAAGAGTGGCCGGTGCACACTGGGTCAGCCCTCCTCCGCCTGGCCTCCGCCGGCCGCCTTCCCCCTACGCCCGGGCTCCCGGGTTCCCAGGCTGCGAAGCCCAGCCTTTCCCATCCACTCAGTGCGAGCCAGAGAGTGGTTTCCATAAGCTTAACCTCAGGTAAGCCCTAAATTCTTTTTAAAAAGCGTGTCATTTGTAAGCTTTATGTCTTTGTGCATCGGGCCATGCTTGGTGCTCGGATGGAGACACTTGGGGGCACCGGGGTGCCGAGTGTTTCTCCCGACGGGGGTCGGCAGCTCTGACCAAGTGTGTCCTCAGGTGTCTCTCCTGTTCGAAGTGGAGAACTTGGCCGTGGCCTCCCCCGCCACTGTGTCTCGCTGCGGGATGGTCTACACCGACTACACTGACCTGGGCTGGAAGCCCTACGTGCAGAGCTGGCTGGAGAAGAGACCGAAGGTGCGAGGGGAGCTGAGGAGTGGGGGAGTGAGCCACCTGGCCTGCGGGGCAGAGAGCGAGGCAGAGCCCCTTGTCGTTTGACTCCAGGCCGAGGCAGAACCCCTTCAGCGCATGTTTGAGAAGTTCATTAACAAGATGCTGGCCTTCAAGAAGGACTATTGCAACGAGTTGGTGCCCGTCCCGGAATACAGCGGGATCATCTCCCTCTGCAAGCTCTACTCGGCCCTGGCCACGCCGGAGAACGGGGTGAGGAGGGGCCGGAGCAGGGCCAGGGTGGCATGGGCTTGTGCCCCGCGGGGACAACCCGAGCGAAACCGTGTGCCTGAGACACGGTCTGGACACAGACGTGAGTGGAGCAGGGGCCCCAAGGGGAGGCCTCACTGACCGCGGTGTGGGTGCGTTCGCGCGTGTGTGCACGGGGTGGGATGCCGCACTCAGGACTCTCCATCGCTACAGTGCACAATCAAGTCTCACGCTCATTTCCCACCGTAGTTTGGGAGCTGAGGATAGTTCCTTTGGTTCCTCATTTCTCCATCCTTTCAAAATATTTATGTTAAATTTTGGTATATAGGAGGCCTTCGTATACCATTTCTGCTGGAAGGAGCTCCCAGCCTAATCTGATGAGGGGGTTTTACAAATTTTCAGATTGACCCTTCAGCTCAGGTCATGATCCCGGGGCCCTGGGATCGAGTCCCGCGTCGTCAGGCTCCCTGCTCGGCGGGGAGCCTGCTTCTCCCTCTGCTTGTGCTCTCTCTCAAATAAATAAATAAATAAAATCTTCAAAAAAATAAAAAAAAAAAAGAAATTTTCAGATTGGTTGATACTGAAGAAAAATGTTTTTCGTCTAGAATTGTGGAGTGAGGACTAAAATTGGATATTTTTCTGTTGAGATTAAACCACCGTCTAGCAATGATTCCGATTGTTTTTAAAGACATTGCCGGGTAACCAAACCGCTAATATAAAGTTATAGGACAGTGAAGATCTCTAGCAGTATACGTCATTCCTGGTCGAGTTAATATAAATGGAAACCCTGCAGATGAGCTTGCAAAGGTCACGGCCGGAACAAGGACAGTCATATAGTCTCGGTGGCACACAGGTGCTGAGGAGGGTGGGCCAGGGGGCGGTGAAATGTGCTGTGTGCTGGGGTGAGCTGGAGGGGCAGACTAAGGACTCTGTGTTGAGTATGACGGACAGTAAAGTCTCAACCCAGTTTCCCACCTACACCTGGTGACTGCGGATGATTCTAAGCCCAAGTCCAGTATTCTGGATTGAACAGCATCTTGTGTGTCATGTTATCTGTAGTTCTCGGCATCTTAATGCAGAACCCATCCTCAAGAGCTCCCTGCTCACGGCCTGGGGCCGGTGAGAGATGGGGCGAACAACGCCACGTGCCCTCGGGGTAGGTGTTGAGAGCAGGAGTCTAAACGTGCTGTTTCTGGGGGCGCCTGGCTGGCTCAGTCAGTGGAGCGTGAGACTCTTGATCTCAGGGTCATGAGTTCAAGCCCCATGTCGGGCGTGCAGCTTACTTAACAATAAATAAACATGCTGTTTCTGCCACGAACTTGGGACGTTGTCAAATTTAATTATTATTTTTTAAATTTCATGTTTAATTACACAAGTAATAGCTGAATCTAATGTCCTTTTTTTAAAAAAGGATTTTATTTATTTGAGAGAGAGGCACAAGAACGGGGTGAGGGGCAGAGGGAGAAGCAGACCCTGCCGAGCAGGGAGCCTGATGCAGGACTTGATCCCAGGACCCCGGGATCATGACCTGAGCCGAAGGCAGACGCTTCACCGACTGAGCCGCCCAGGTGCCCCTCTAATTTCCTTTCTAAAAATTAAAAATTTTCACATAAAGCTGAAGTCCCGTTGGGTCACCTCTCCCCTCCCAATCCTGGTCCGCTCCCTCTTCTACACGCGTAACTACTCTATGTGTCTGTGGTATCATCACAGACCTCTTAAGTACGTATTTACACGCAAGCCCATAGGTCGCCATAGAAAACGTATTTCAAAGCCGTATCGTGTCACGTACGACATTTGCAGTGTACTTACTGAGCGGCGGGATGGTTTTGGGTTCTGTATGGCTGTGTGTAGGTTAGTTTCATTGCTTTTAACCATTGTGTGCTCTTCTGCTGTAGAACACATAGTATTTTCCCATCCCTCTACTGGTGGACGTGTGGGTCATCTCCGAGTTTTTGCACTTACAAAAAAGTCACCACGAATGCCCCTGGACCTGTCCCCTTGAGCGCCCTTGGCACTTCCTCAGGGTAGACGTGGTGTGGCCGCATCACGGCTGTGTCCTTTTTTTTTTTTTTAAGTTTTTATTTAATTGAGAGAGAGACGGAGAGGGAGTGGGGGGAGGGGCAGAGGGAGAGTCTCAAGCAGACTCCCTGCTGAGCGTGGAGCCCGACGCGGGGCTCCATCGCAGGACCCTGAGATCACGACCTGAGCCGAAATCAGGAGTCGGCCGCCCCACCGTGTCGGTGCCGTGTCTTTATGATGCAGCAGAGATGAGACTCAGGGCAACTCTGAGCTACCAGAAGTTTCAGGTTTATCTGACTGTTTGAGATTGAGCTTCATCTACAACCACATGGTTTTCTGAACAGAGCCAGGAAGGGGGGCGAACTCTAAGCCTTTGTGGCCATCTGCCAAAATAGATGCCCCGTTCGTCTCTTATAGAGCGAGGCTATTGCCCCTTCTCGTCTGTCCAGGTGAACCCAGCCGACGGTGAAAACTACGTCTCCATGGTGGAGCTGACCTTTGTGTTCAGCATGATTTGGTCCATGTGCGCCTCCGTGGACGAGGAGGGACGCAAGAAGATGGACAGTTACCTCCGCGAGATGGAGGGCTCCTTTCCCAATAAGGTTGGGACCTGCAGCCCCGGCGGTGCTCGGTGCCCGGCCGCCTGGCTCCCCCGCAGCAGTCCGGGAGCACTTCCGCTGGTGGGGAGAGCTAGCGAAGGCTTCGTAGCCTCACACGCCTTCCCTCCTTAGGACACAGTGTACGAGTACTTCGTGGACCCCAAGATGCGCACCTGGACGTCATTTGAGAATAAGCTCCCTAAGAGCTGGCACTACCCTCCCAAGTGAGAGCAGGGCCTGGGGCTGTGGTTGCTGGGAGATGTGGCCCGAAGCAGGAGTGAGCTGTGGCAGGGCGGGGGGGCTCCCAGACCGGGGGCGCCTCTGGAATGCAGGGAGCAGAACCTGGAGGGCCTGGGCCGGGGTCGCTAAGGAGGAAGCAGGACGCCCGATCTCCAGGCCCCTCAGGAGGCAGGGCGGGTGATGTGTAAGGAAGATGCAGGTCGGGAGGCAGAGGGAAGCCAGCGCCGGGAAGTAGCAGCCCAGGCCCTTGGACAAGGCCCCCTTTCCTCCCCAGCTCCCCCTTCTATAAGATCATGGTGCCCACGGTCGACACCGTTCGCTACAACTACCTGGTGAGCGCCCTGGTGGCCAGCCAGAACCCCGTCCTGCTGGTGGGTCCCGTGGGGACTGGAAAGACGTCCATCGCCCAGAGCGTCCTCCAGTCCTTGCCCTCCAGCCAGTGGTCGGTGCTCATCGTCAACATGTCTGCGCAGGTGCGCTGTGGGACCCGGGGATCTGAGAGCCTCGCCGCACTCCTCCCGAACCCCGTGTTTCTCCTGGGAGGCCCCAGCATTCGTCCCATATCTCTTCCACCAGACCACATCCAACAACGTGCAGAGCATCATCGAGAGCAGGGTGGAGAAGCGAACCAAGGGCGTCTACGTGCCGTTCGGGGGCAAGAGCATGATCACCTTTATGGATGACCTAAACATGCCAGCGAAGGACACGTTTGGGTCCCAGCCCCCACTGGAGCTGATCCGCCTCTGGATCGACTACGGCTTCTGGTATGACCGCATGAAGCAGACCATCAAGTACATTCGAGTAAGCCTCCCGAGAAGTTGTTCTCCAGGCCTCTGTTTCCTGCCATGGAGGTTCGGTCCCCACTCCCTGGAGACCCCGGGGTTCGGAATCCTGTACTCCTCCCTACCCACACGCCCGGCTCCTGAATCCTCAGTCCCTATCGTTGACTCTCATCAGTGTCTCTGCCCCATGCTCCCACTTCCACCCCTTCCCCAAGCTCACATGCCAACCCTGCCACCACCCAGAGTGGCCCAGGTGCCCAGGGTCCCCAACTCCCGTCCTGCGTCCCCGCGTCCCCCCTGCCCTCCCAGCATCTCCCTTCAGTCGGGCTCTGCGCCCATGGGATTCTGAGCTCCTTGTTGGTTTCTTTCTCCCAAATGGATGGGCAGCAGCCCTTCCATCCTCATTGCTGGGGTGCCCGTCCATCTGGCCCTCAGAAACTCTACTAACACTTAGCGCATTCTTCTGTTTCTGGGAAAGAAAACACGCGTGCGTGCGCACACACAGAGGAAAAGAAGACAGAGCCTAGAAAATGTTCTTTCGCTGACCTGTATTTTCTGTTTTGGGTACATGGATCACAATGAAATAAAAACAAACATGTCACTTTGCTCATTCTCGAGGAAATGTCCCCGATCCCTCCCTTCCATTCACCTTCCCTCATTCCCTGTTCCTGCTCATCCTGGCCCCTCTACCTATCCTCGCTCCCTTTACCCCCCTCCCGCGCCCTGTCTCTTCCCTCTCTGGCCTGTCCCACCCCGTCCTGTCTCTGCTCCCCAGGACATGTTCCTGATGGCTGCCATGGGCCCCCCCGGGGGCGGACGGACTGTCATTTCCCCGAGGTTCCAGAGTCGCTTCAACATCATCAACATGACCTTCCCCACAGTGAGGGCGTAATGGGGACCCGGGGGGTGGGGGGGTGCTGTAAGAGGCAAAACCGACCATGTCCCCGAGGACGAGGGGGCAGATCGACGAGGGCCGGGGGGACCCCTGAGCAGAGGTGCGTGTGGGGGCCGTTACGCAGGGAGGGGGGCTGCTAGCGTGGGAGGCAAGTGTAGCTGGGGCTTGGGGAATGTGAAGCCCGATGCGGGGCAGAGAGCTCAGGGGGCCCGAGTAGACTGAGGAACGTAGATCCTGCTGCTGACAGCCAAGAGCAGCGCCAGGATTCGGGGAGCTGAGTGAGGCCCTCGGGGGCACCCCAGAAGCCTCAGTAATCAAGATAAAGCACATGTTAACGCGATGTCAAAGCAGCCGATGCCCACAGTTCACGATGGACAAAGACCACGGTGTTACATAAATCTACGGGATTGGCGCCGTGCGTTGCTGAGCGATATCAGAGCCCGAGCCAAAAGGAAACCGCGGCAATCCTGACCCATCTTTGTTTAAAACGTTGTTTATTTGTTCATCGTGCATATTCTGCATTCGTTTTGATTTTTGAATATCGCACACACTATTTCTCTTGATTTTGTGGGGGGTTTTGGTGCTCCTTTAAAGTCGGCCCCCAAGATGAATGCTGGGTTGGCCTCACCGGGGTCCCAGCACAGCCTGGTGGGCCAGGAGCCTGCAAAAGTGAGTGTGAGGGCCTATTCCTAGGAGTCCCAGATCATCCGAATATTTGGCACCATGATCAATCAGAAGCTTCAGGACTTCGAGGAGGAGGTGAAGCCCATTGGGAACGTGGTGACCGAGGCGACCTTGGACGTGTACAACACGGTGGTGCAGCGCTTCCTGCCCACGCCCGCCAAGATCCACTACCTCTTCAACCTCCGGGACATCTCCAAGGTGAGCCGCCCTCCCAGCCCAGCCTCCCCACCTCCCGCTCCAGCCCGGAGGGGACTCCGGCTGCCCACTGGCCACGCCCCTTCCGCAGGTGTTTCAGGGAATGCTCAGGGCCAACAAGGACTTCCACGACACCAAGTCCAGCATCACACGACTCTGGATCCACGAGTGTTTCAGGTGAGGTGCCCATGCCCCACCCGAGGCCGGACAGACGCCCTGGACAGACGCCAGACGCGGGCCTCCCGAGCCTGGCGCCCAGCCCCTGCCCGGCCCCTGCATTCCCGGGTCTCAGCCCACTCCCTCCCAACAGAGTCTTCTCGGACCGGCTGGTGGATGCAGCGGACATGGAGGCCTTCGTGGGCATCCTCAGCGACAAGCTCGGCTCCTTCTTTGACCTCACGTTTCATAATCTCTGTCCCAGCAAGCGTTCTCCGATCTTCGGTGAGCTGGCGCTGCGGCTGGCTGCTACGGGCTACGGGTGTGGGAGGGGGGCCGGGGCCCTTGCCGGGGGGGGTCTGGCGGGGGCTGGCCATTGGAAATCTGAGCCTCACTTCCCCCGGCCCAGGGGACTTCCTGAGGGAGCCCAGGGTGTACGAGGACCTGACCGACCTGGCAGTACTGAAGGCGGCCATGGAGACGGCGCTCCACGAGTACAACCTGTCCCCCGGGGTGGTGCCGATGCAGCTGGTGCTCTTCCGAGAGGCTGTCGAACACAGTGAGCGGCCCCTCCGCCACCCCGGCCGGCACCCCAACGGCTGGCTGTTCCCAAGCAAGGCCGGGAAGGTGCCTTCCTTTCGGGCCCCAGATGGCTTTTCCTCCATGGTGGTGGCTGCTCAAACTGGCTCCAGGCATCGGCCTTTCCCCACACTTCTCGGTCCCTGTCCTTCAGTTTCAGGCATCCCGGTCACTAGCTGAGGGCCCCAGGGTGCCCCCCGAGGTTTCTCCGCCGCCTCACTGCCCTGCTCCCCCACTCCTCAGTCACGCGGATCGTGCGGGTCATCGGACAGCCTCGGGGCAACATGCTCTTGGTGGGCATCGGGGGCAGTGGGCGCCAGAGTCTGGCCCGCCTGGCCTCCTCCATCTGCGAGTACATCACCTTCCAGATCGAGGTCACCAAACATTATCGAAAGCAGGAGTTCCGAGAAGGTACGGCTGGGCTTCCGAACCGGGGTGGGCTGGGGCTGGCGTGAAAAGTCAGATGCCTGTCTTCCTGCCGTGACAAGAGCGGGGAGCGATGGAGGCCGGGGGTGAGCCTTTCAGGCCCGGTGGGCGGAGGGCGGTGCAGTGCGTGGGTTGCAGGCTGAGGGCGGCCGGAAGGGGACAAGGGACAGGATGGCGCATCTGACGTCCGCCTGTCCCGTCTTCCTCCTTCCCTCCTCCGGCCCAGATATCAAGCGTCTGTACCGCCAGGCGGGAGTAGAGCTCAAGGCCACGTCCTTCCTTTTCGTGGACACCCAGATCGCTGACGAGTCGTTCCTGGAGGACATCAACAACATCCTGAGCTCAGGCGAGGTCCCCAATCTCTACAAGACTGATGAATTCGAAGAGGTACGAGCCCTCCCACGCCCTCCCACACCCTCCACCAGCTGCTGCGTCCCCTCTGTGCCTCCCTCCCCCGAACCGAGTGCCACCGCGCAGCCCTGCGAGCCCGTGTGGCTTCCGTGCAGATCCAGGCGCACATCGTGGAGCAGGCCAAGGCCGAGCAGGTGTCCCAGTCCTCCGACAGCCTCTTTGCCTACCTCATTGAGCGCGTGCGGGACAACCTGCACATCATTCTCTGCCTCAGCCCCGTGGGCGACCCCTTCAGGTGACCCCTGTGACCGCCTCTCCCTCCCTCTGTCCTGGCCCCCACTCCCCCCCCCCCCCCGCTCCTCTCTCGGCCCCCCTGTCTTCCCGGGGTGGGGGAGATCTCCTCAACAGCCCCGGCTCCCCGGCCCCTGCACGGCCCCCCCCCTTTCCCTAGACTTCGCCTTCTTTCCCCAGGTCTGCTGCTTACAGAGGACGCGTCCCCTCCCTTTCAGTATGACTGGAGTGTCTTGTTGTGGCTTTGCGTTTTGTTCTTAAATTTTTAGTTGTGATTTTACAAAAACAAAATAACCAAAATTTACCATCGTAACCATGTTGCAAGTGTCCAGCTCGTATAGTTAAGCATATATTCACAACAGATTGTGCAACAGATTTCTAGGACTTTCTCATCTTGCAAAATTGAAACTCTATACCCACTGAATAATTCCCCATTTCCTCCACCCCCCAGCCCCCGGCAACCACTGGCCCCTTTCTGTTTCTGCGAGTGACTACTCTAGATATCTCATATAAGTGGAATCATACCGTATTTGTCTTTGTGTCTGTCTGGCTTAGCTCACTTGGTTCGTGTCCTCAAGGTTCATCTGTGTGGTCACACGCCTCAAAGTCCCCAAATTTCCTTTTTAAGGCTGAATAATAGTCCATTATATGTATTTATCATGTTTCGTCGACCCGTTCTTGCTGTGACTTGATTTTTAAGGGCAGCAGAAAGGAGGAGGGAGACCGAGAATTGCAGGGAGAGGCGATTTGGGCTCCCATGTTGTTTGTTTTCGTGTTTGTGGTACGGTGTATTTACCACGCACCAGGAACTACACTACGCACTTTATGTGTGTCACCTCACTGAATCCAGTAACAACCCGGATTCGTATTCCTGTTATTCCCATTTTATTTTTTTTAAGATTTTATTTACTTTTGAGAGAGAGAGAGAGCGAGTGGGGGGAGAGAGAGAGGGAGAGAGAGAATCTCAAGCAGACCCCACATTGATCGTGAACCCCGAGGAGGGGCTTGATCCCACGACCCCAAGAGCTGAAATCAAGAGTCGGACGCTCCACCCACTGAGCCCCCCGGGTGCCCCACGTTACTCTCATTTTAGAGATGAGGAAACTGACGTTGGAAGGGTTAGCACACCTGCCTGAGATCCACAGCTAGAACCAGAACCTGTTCCTAAATGCTACACTGAGCTAGCTCTCAGGGCAGTGGGACTGGGGGGACAAGGGAACACAGGAGCAAGGGGATGGGACACTTAGGTCCCTGGAAAGTGGATGGACCTGTGAGGAGGCCAGGAGTGGAGGCTGCCTGCCTCCACAAAGGGGCTTGAATGCCTCTCAAAACCCTTCCCCAGGAACTGGATCCGCCAGTACCCAGCCTTGGTGAACTGCACAACCATCAACTGGTTCTCCGAGTGGCCCCATGAGGCCCTGCTGGAGGTGGCTGAGAAGTACCTCATGGGGGTGGACCTGGGGACGCAGGAGAACGTGAGTGCTCCCCCGCACGCCCAGCCCTGGGCCCCCTCCCGCGTCCCTTCTCCACCCGCCCTCACTCCCGGTCTTCCGTCCTTTCCCACGGGGCTCAGGTCCACAGGAAGGTGGCCAAGATCTTTGTCACCATGCACTGGTCAGTGGTGCAGTACTCCCAGAAGATGCTGCTGGAGCTCCGGAGATACAACCATGTCACACCTACCAACTACCTGGAGCTCGTGTCTGGGTACAAGAGGTGTGCAGAGGCGTGGGGCACGGGGAGGCCCAGGGAGCTCGCTGCAACCATGGGCTGGGAAACATCCAGAGCCGGCCCGGGGGGTCAAGGAGCCAGGCGCCCTGGGGCAGAGGCCGAGGTGCGGGGGGGCGGTGAGAGAGAGAGCTGGGGTTCGCATCTCTAGAGCCCTCAGGCCAGGACTCCTCCCTACACCCTCTCTGTTCTGTCCTTATTTTCTGGGATGACGTTTCTTTCCCAAGCACAGTATAATGGTGATGGTGCTGTAAATGCTCACGAGACGGAGACCAGTCCTCTCCTCTCCACCCTTAAGTCCACCCTCTTCTAGACTTTACACCCTTCTCAAGAATCACATATTCATTTCTAAAGTTGCATTGGGTACCTTTTCATGTGCACAACATAATATTTTGCTTTGAAAGATCTAAGACAAATGTAAAAAAAAAAGAAACAACCCACCTCATTGATTGGATTCGGTATTTTGATCAAGGTGAAGAAAAAGCCACTTGTAACAGTAATGATCACCCGCACTTACTCATCCGCTTACCATACTTTCTGAGCATCTACTATGTGCTGTGCACTCTTCCAGGGGCTTGCAGTTCCGCAGTTAGCCAAAGAAAGCCCCTGCCTTCCCTGGGTACCTGGGGCCAGTCACTGTGCTGAGCCCTTCATGCACATTTTCTCACTTAGCCCAGAAAATAATCCTGCATAGATTTTTTTTTTTTTGGCCTGTACAGTGTTGAAAACTTTTTGAGTAAGTTGCTAACATTGAACACCGGAGGCTTAGAAAAGTCCAGATTCCCAGCTTCTCTTTAAAAATCCGAAATCGTGTCAACACGGAGCCCACATTCCTTCCCACGTGGGAGAAACGGGGTGGAGATGAGGGGTGGCCACCCCCTGGGGAGAGGCTGGTGTTTGCTGGTTCAAGGCTGCCCCTGCTCGCTGCACAGTGGGGAGCAGTGGGAGCTCCTCGTGGGGAGCGGGCATGAGGACAAGAGCACGTAACAGGTGCTTTGACGGTGGTGTGCGGAATAAACCAGAGGGATCAGAGTCTGGAAGCAGGAAGACCGGCTGGGGACCTGTTCGCAGTGATTCGGGCAGGAAGTGATAGAAACCTCACAGTGGTGGTGACGGCAGCAACAGAAAGGGAGCCAGGGACCCATCTGGGGTGCTCCCCTTTCTGGGGGCCCAGCCTTCCCAGGCGCTGTCCCCTCCTGTACGCCCCAGGTTGCTGGGAGAGAAGCGGCAGGAGCTGCTGGACCAGGCCAACAAGTTGCGGACGGGACTGTTTAAGATCGACGAAACCAGAGAGAAGGTGGAGGTGATGTCCCTGGAGCTGGAGGACGCCAAGAAGAAGGTGGCTGAGTTCCAGAAGCAGTGCGAGGAATACCTGGTCATCATCGTGCAGCAGAAGCGAGAAGCAGACGAGCAGCAGAAGGTGCTCCCCACCCCGCGCGCCCCCGGTCCCGCCCTGTGCCCCGCCCCGCGCGCCCCCCCAGCCCTACCAGTGCTCACGGACAGGGGCTTCCCGGTCGCCCTCAGCGACCATGTGAGGGACTGCCCAGGCCGCTCCTCAAACTTTCATCCTTCCTGCCAACACTGCCCCCCACCTCCGCCCGAGGCCAAGACGAGTCCTCTTGGTCCCTAGGCGGTCACGGCCAATAGTGAGAAGATTGCCATCGAGGAAGTCAAGTGCCAGGCCCTGGCTGACAACGCCCAGAAGGATCTAGAAGAGGCCTTGCCAGCCCTGGAGGAAGCCATGAGGGTATCAGAGCGGGGAGGCCCAGGGAAGGGAATGGGACCGGCCTGCTTCGTCCTCCCAGTCCCCGGGGAAGTGGGAAGAGGCAGGCGGGCCTCAGCTGGGACCTGTCCTACCCCAAGTCCCCTCGGGCCCTACTCCCTAAGTGAGTCGCTTTGCCCAGGCCCTGGAGTCCCTGAACAAGAAGGACATAGGAGAGATCAAGTCTTACGGCCGGCCCCCCGCCCAAGTGGAAATCGTGATGCAGGCCGTCATGATTCTTCGAGGCAACGAGCCCACGTGGGCAGAGGCCAAGCGGCAGCTAGGTAAGCTGGAGAGCCACGGCGTGACCAACGCCCGTTCACCCCGTGCTTACTAACTGTCTGCTGTGCGCCAGGCACTCGGGGAGACAGAGACTAGTGAGGTGTGCCTCCCACCCTCAAGAGTGGGTAGAGCCTAATAGGAAGGAATGGACGTAACTAGCAGTTAAGATTCTTTGGTCGTAAGTAACAGAAAACAACTCCTCTTAATTTAAAAGAAACAAAAGGAAATCGTCATAAAGATACAGGAATATATCTCAGAATCCAAGGGCAGGAATGCCTTTGGCCCCCAAAAGGACAAGAATCGGAAAATGTGAAACCAGAGGTTTGGTAGAATAAAGCCTGCAAGCTGTGGGTGGGGGACCCCTGCCCTGAAAAGTCAGTGCGAAGCATACGGAAGTGATGGTGTGTCTGTGCATGTGTGTGTGTGTGTGTGTGTGTGTACGTGTTTGCATGCGCGTTCCGGTGGCTGGGGGGTTGGCTGCGAGTGTCCAAGGAAAGTGGTGGCAGAGGGGGCTAGGAAGACTGGGGAGGGTCCTGGTGGCTTGGAGTTTCCAGGGAGGTCAGTGGGGAACTTGGGATGAGGCCGGATCAGCCCAGCCCAGGAAAAATACGGCTGCACCTGAGCCGTGGAGGCGAAGGCTGGATAAGGAGGGTGAGGCCCTCTGGCTGAGGGCCCCCCCCCCCCCCCGCTGTTTCATCCCTCAGGGGAGCAGAACTTCATCAAATCCCTGATCCACTTTGATAAAGACAATATCTCAGATAAGGTTCTGAAGAAAATTGGGGCCTACTGTGCGCAGCCAGACTTCCAGCCTGACATCATCGGCAGAGTCTCACTCGCTGCCAAGTCCCTGTGCATGTGGGTGCGGGCCATGGAGGTGAGCAGGGTGCGGGCTGTGGACGTGAGCGGGGTGCATGCCGTGGAGGTGAGCGGGGTGCGGGCTGTGGACGTGGGCGGGGTGCGGGCCGTGGAGGTGAGTGGGGTGCGGGCTGTGGACGTGGGCGGGGTGCGGGCTGTGGAGGTGAGTGGGGTGCAGGCCGTGGAGGTGAGCGGGGTGTGGGCCGTGGAGGTGAGCAGGGTGCACGCAGGGCGGGGCGGGCTGGGGAGTGGGGAGCGGGGTGCAGGCCGTGGAGGTGAGGGGGGTGCGGGCTGTGGATGTGAGGGGGTGCATGCCGTGGAGGTGAGCGGGGTGCGGGCTGTGGACGTGAGCGGGGTGCACACAGGGCGGGGCGGGCCGGGCTGGGGAGGGCCGGGGAGGGGGAGTGGGTGGGCAGCCACCGCAGCCAGGCCGTCCCCCCACACCTGTGTCCCCCCACAGCTGTATGGGCGTCTGTACCGCGTGGTGGAGCCCAAGCGGATTCGGATGAACGCTGCCTTGGCCCAGCTTCAGGAGAAGCAGGCAGCACTGGCCGAGGCCCAGGAGAAGCTGCGGGAGGTGAGCCTCGGCCCGTGTGTTCCACGCGGACCCCGTCCCTGGTTTCTGGGGTGCTTGCGGCCATTGTTCCCCCCTTACGGTCCTGTGAGCCCCGCCCGCTGTGCCCCTTCAGAGGGGCGGCAGGGGTTGCAAAGGCACGGGGCCGCTGCCCTGACGAGCCCCTCCAGACGCTGATCTGGGGGCTGGCGGGCTCTCTCACGGCCTTGGAGGTGGGCCCAGAGACACAGAGCGGTGACCCCCGCATGGCCCGGTGTGGGGGGGGGACGGGGCATGAGTGGGGCATGGCGGCCGCGGCCCAGAGGAGTGGGAGTGGGAGCATGGCTAGCTGGCTGGAGGGAGAGGGAGATACTCTTCCGAGAGGTGCCTTCGAGCGGACTGGGGACAAGCACCTCCCACCAGGCCCCGCAGGGAGCATTAGCATCAAGAGTCCCGCGTTCTTCACCCCGATCATGCACGTTTCCTATCGCTGGTTCAATAGCCTTTAATATCCACATGGGGTGAAATTCTAAAGGTCCAGAGAGAATCCAGTGAGAAGCCTTGCGCCCCCCGCTCCTTCCTGGAAAGCAGCCTCGCTTACGGCTTCTTGCGTAGCCGTGCAGGGCTGTTCTCTGGTTGTACAAGCACGTTTTGGTCATTTTTTCCACGTTATACACACTGTTCTGCGCCATCCGATCTTGTGTAGCCATGCCTGGAAGCCCCCTCCAGGTGGGTACGTCGAGGTTGAGCTTCTCTCTCACCCTCACCCACCCGGGCCCGTTTACTTACCTGTTTCCCTTTCTGATGGAGATACTCATCCTTTCTGAGCTTTTAATCTTTGCATGTCCTCCAACATCGTTGACACTAACTTTACCCACAGTGAGGTTTTACGTTTTTATGGAGCCAAAGCTGGTCAGAGCATTCCAGAATGTTTCCCCCGAAACCACCAATGGAGAACATGCGGGTCTAACTCCGGAATTGGGATGAGGACCCTGAGGTTTAGTGAGACGAAGTGACTTCCTAGTTACCCACAGAGCGGGGCCGGGGCCCACGCTTCTGACCCCAAGCCTCACTGTTGTCGCCTGAAGTGCAGCTTCTCCTGGGGCCTCTTCGGATTCCCTCCAAGCAGAGCCAAGCAGGCTGGGCGAGCAGCTTCGGCCTGCCCGCGCTCCTCCCCGGCCCCTCTCGCAGCATCCGCTCTTTTCCTCTCTCTAGGGAGAGTGAATAATCACAGGCATGGCGGTTTATTTGGAAAGGTTTCTCACCCCTGCATGATTCATATCCTGGGATGAATAATTAGGAACTGTTCCCTTGACGCGTGACAAGTGGGGCCCGCGGCATCAGCTGCCAAAAGTGTCATGCACTGGACAAGCATCCGTAGGACACCCCGTGTCAGGTCTCTTGAGAGCCCCTCACGGACAAGAGGAAGCAGACAAGGACCCCACATTTCCCCTCCGTTACTGAAAGGCTCTGAGCCAAACGTCCGGCCTGCCTCGCAGCCCTCTTGTGGACACCGAGCTGAGGTCGCAGCCCAGACTGGCTGGGACCCATCTCTGGGACAGCCTGGAAATGAGCATTTTGAAAACTTCCCTGTCAGAGCCAGCCGGGGGCGGAGAGCCTGAATTCAGCACGGCCCAGGGGTCTGGAAGGAGGCCCAGAGCTCAACTACAGGGCTTGTCCATTCAAATCTTGAGTAAATAGTTTTAAGCTTGACTCCCTTGCTTGGGGACCCTGAGAACACCTTCTCTGCTGGCCCGATTCTGACATACGCAGCCGGGGTTACAAACCACTGGTTTCAAAACTGCCCCAGAAGGCTCTGAAATGGGTCAGAACAGGATCCTCGTCTACTGCAAGGCAAGCAGCTCTATACCCAGGGCTGAACATCCGCCTTGCTTCCAGTGCCCATCCCAGTCCAACACAGCACGTCCCAGGCAGTGTGGGGACACGGCCCGGCAGCATTAAATGCTGTCCTAGTATTAATAACACACAGAAATTCCACCCACTTGAATATAACCCTCAGGAGGGGGTCCCTACATTTCAAAGATTAAGTCCCCGTGTGAGCTGGAGCCCAAATAAAAACCCGACATCAAATAATCTTGCTTTTGAGAGTTAAAAATCGAGAAGCCCACCTTGTCGAGTTAAGTCCCCAAACCCTCCAGTTCCGTCTGCTGCTCAGTCTCAGCCGAGGCGCCCTCAGCATCGGGGGAGAACCCGTGTCCCCCGGCCACGGCCGGGTGGTCTCTCACCTCTGTAGCAGCTCCAAGTCATGTCTCTTGTGAGCAGCGTTTGGAAATAAAAAAGTCAGAGGAGTTGATGAGGCACACAGACTTCCAGATAAAATTACGTTCCTGGGAACCGGCCCTTCTCGTGGCGCCGGAGTCCGCGGTAAAAACTGAGCGGTGCCTGCCGGAGGGAGGAGGCGCGGAGAAAACCCTGGTTTTAGCTTCACCAGGACGTTGCGTATCCGGAAGCCACAGGTCATGGGGGAGCCTCCCACAGCGGATCGGTATGAGCTGTGATCCCCCCGGAAAGCATTTCCTGAATTGGGGGCAGGCCGGAGAGCCACATACGATACGTATTTTTTGGAGCGGGCGGTTATGATGGTTAAAATACGAGATTCACCGCCTCCGATCCACCGTCGCCCGTCGGGGCCACTGAGACGTCTGCCATGCTCTGCAGCCCCCGCCGGCGTCTCGCCCTCACGGAAACCCGGGCCACGTCCGTTCAAGCTCAGGTTCCCGCTCTGTGTCCTGGTCAGGCGCGGTCTCCCCGTCCCGCAGGGGCTCGCGGCCGCTCTCTGTGGGCTGGCTGAGGCCTCCCAGGGCTGCCTCCCAGGGAGGCCTCTCATCTGGCCCCGTACTTACCCGAGCTGGAAAGCGGCCTTCCGCAGACTCCCGAGCTGTAGCTGCTGGCGGTGCTGCTGAGGCCGGGGGCCTGGCAGGAGGCCAGTCCGCTGCCGTCCTCCCCTCCGGAGCCCCCCAGGTTGTTCGGGCATGCTCCCCTAATGCACGGTCACAGCCGCACGCCACGTGCCCTAACCGCATCGCCTGGAAGCTCAGCCAAAGTGGAATCCCTGCGGCCCAGCAGCCTGTGGCCAGACCGCGCGGATTCAGGTTCACCCCGCCACCGTTGCCTCCTTGGCCCTGGGTGTCAGACACTGAAGCAGAGACGGCTGGTCCAGGGCCACGTCGGCCTGGCGGTCACCACTGAAAACCGGCACCTGCAGCCTACGCAGGACCTACCGTCTTGCCGTTGAAACCCCGCAAATGTCCCGCGCTGTCCGGCCCCGCTTCCCGCTCGGCAGCGTGGCAGGCCCTTTGGTGGCCAGGCAGCCTTCATGGCGAAGCCGCCCACCCTCAGAGCCCACGTCTCTCCTTCGCCCGGTTCCCACTGCTTTAAGCAGTCCTGCCTCTCCAGAAACGGCCACCCGCCCGTGGACAAAGCCGCGGTCACCTGCCAAGGTCAGAGTATCGCAGCGTTGGCGTGAACACCCCCCACCGCCCCCCCCGACCGGCGACAGCCACTAGAAATCAAGCGCACCAGGGCAAAAACCCAGGAGCCCGGACAGATGCTCTGAGTCGAAACACGCGTCCACGCCCCCCAAGTCTGTGCGTGACGCCCCGCCCCCGCCCCCAGCTTCCCAGTGGGTCTCCCGGTCGGCACATACACTCTCGAGGAATCTGAGGACGAGCAGCCTCCTCCTATTCCTGGGCTTCCGAACACACTGAAAAATAAAACAAAAGGGGTTTGGCCAAAATACCGCCATGAGAGACTAGGTGGGAGGATGTGGCTGACGCGTGGGCGAGCGGTCCCCCTCGACGTGACCCCGTCATCAGACTTGCCTGGGGTGCCTGTGTTGCTGGGGGGGGGGGTGCAGAGGGGAAGGAGCCTGAGCTCAGCTGAGCATTCCAGCTGATTGCACCAGTCAGATCAGCCACACATCTCCCCCGGAGCAGGGGTGTGTGAGGACCTGGAGAAAGTCTTCCAACAGAGCGAGGGAACGATGGCCAAGATAAGAAATTGTAGCAGAACATGACCCCAGAAGAAAAAATAAACCCAGAGATAACTCAGGTTAGGGAGAAGCACTTGAAAAGCAAACCCAAGGTAAACACTGCTATCGTCAGAGGGTGATGAAGGAAGACCTGATACCCGGAGAGCAAAAAGAGGACGTTGAGAGAAAAAAATCGCACATAGAGACAAAGAGTCTGGGAAAAGTAAAAATGCTCAAAGCCTGACGGTCAGCAGGAGGGCGGGAAGACAGAGTCGAGGACCGTGAGGAGCGACCACAAACCCAACCCCACGAGAGAGATCCGAGATCCAGTCCAACCGATGAGAATTTCCGCAAGAGAAAAGCACATCGTCGGGGCGACAGGAAAACATTTCACAAGCGGGGCAGCGTGCTCGGTGACCCTGTCGGAATGGGCCCTGGCCAGCCACACAACACCAGCCCTGGGCACAGTCCCGTGGTGTTTCATGTGGCATCCGGCCACCATGATCGGCCTCGGGGAAGACAGGGACTGCTGAGTGGGAACGCCGTTATCGAGCTCGACCCCATAAAAATAAAAGTGCGGCTAACTAGGTGGGCGGCGGAGGTGGGTGGGGGAAGGATTGGGCAATGCTTTTGTAGGAGATCAGATAAAACAGGGTTTGAAGATGTTATTTGGCGTTATGAAGGTAACGAGTAGCAGCATTAAAACTGGTAGGAGGGGGCGCCTGGCTGGGCTCAGTCAGTGAAGCGTGCGACTCTTGGTCTTAGGTCGTGGGTTCGAGCCCCACGTTGGGTGTCAAGATGACCTCAAAACAAACTGGTAGGAGCAGGGAGAAAGAGGTGGTGGTGTGGAGGGCCAGGGGAGACACCTGCCTCCCTCGTAGACGGACGTCGTAGAAATAGTTACGAAACCAGGACACCGCTGCGTGGAACACGAAATGCCTCTGGAGGGATGAATATTCAAGAAGCAGGTCACACCGGTCACCTCGAGGAGGGAGCGGGGCAGACCGGGGGCAGGGTTGGGACACTTTCCAGGCCCTTGTGCCTTCTGAATTTTTAAGTGACTTATTCACCAAGTACACAAAAAAGAAACAGCGTGTCAAGATGTGCTTACGTACGGACGAGGACGTTGGTCCCAGCGCGGTTAAGAATAGAAAGTGCGGGAAAGACACACACATCTATCAGAAGACTTGTTATATAAATTATGGCTCAGTCATTCACAAGATCATTTTGCAGCTGGTAAAGAGAATGAGGCAGCTTGACGAGAGCCGACTTGGAGACGAGGAAAAAATAGTAACACGCAGTCGTATGCTAGCATTTATCCTCATGAAAAGATTCACCCAGTCAAGAACTGTTTCCTGAGCGCCGGGCACTGTTTTAAGTATAAGGATCGAGCCGGCGAGCAAGGCCCTGCTTTCACGGTGCTTGCATTTACTTTATTATGGGCGGGCTCTGCGCCCAACCTGCCCAACTGGACTCTGCCTGGAAAGGTTTCTGAGCGAGTGCAGGTGCGGGGGGCTGGCTCAGGACCGGGAGAGGAAGCCGATCCTCCACCGTGTGTGCGCCCTTCCTTCCTTTTGATGTGCATTCACTCTTTACAAAAAGACCTAAAAGAGGAAAATTATTATTATTATTATTATTTTTAAAAAAGACAAGGTTGTGGCTAGGTGTGATAATACGGTTACGGTCGTGTGGGAAATGTCCTTGTTTTGTTCTCGAGAGGCATTATGATGTCTTCAGGCTGCAAGTTTCACGAGATTGTAACTTCCTTTAAGATACTTCGGCAAAACACAAGGAGAGGAGATTAAAAATAGCGAAACGTGAACAACTGTTAAATGTGACGGGTATAGAGGTGTTCATCATACGATTCTTTTTCCTAGGTTTGCAATTTTTCATAATTTTTGAACTAAAAAGATTAAAACTGCAAAAATTTTAAATCTGCAAACAGATTAATACATATGTATATGTATGTATCTTAAAAATAGTAGCTTACGGTGGCTTGTGGATGGCTCGGTTGGTTAGACGACCCACTGTTGATCTCAGCTCAGGTCTTGACCTCAGGGTCGTGAGTTCGAGCCCTGCGTCGGGCTCCGCACTAGGCGTGTGGCCTACTTAAAAAAAAAAGAAAAGAAAAAAAAAATACCAGCCTAAGTATAATATTCAAAGATATAGAGAAGAAATAAGAAGAGAATAGTTAAAAAATGATTTTCCACAGCAGAGCGGGACCGGGAGTGGATTGAAGAGGCGGCTAGAGGACTCTTGCTTGTCATTCTAACCGCTTCTGTCACATAATTTAGGCCTTTAACCTCATGCACACATTTCCTGTATAAAAAATAGAAACTGTGAAGACAACACCACGTGCAAAACCAGTCATGAAATACAGAATGGTCGTGGGCTGGCTGCCTCCCCACAGACACATCTCCGCGGGAAGCCCAATTATAATCAGCGTTGCTGACGAGCGTGGACCCAGCGCGGGGAGGCGGTCACGTGCACCTCCACCGGGGTGAAGCCCACGCGTGCGGAGCGGGGGAGGGACAGGGCGCCCCTTTCCCTCTGGGCCCCCAGCCGTGTTTCGCCCTCCGCGTGGCCCAGCTCACTTCACCCCTTCTTTTTTTTTTAAAGATTTTATTTATTGTGGTGCCTGGGTGGCTCAGTTGGTTAAGCGACTGCCTTCGGCTCAGGTCATGATCCTGGAGTCCCGGGATCGAGTCCCGCATCGGCTCCCCGCTCAGCGGGGAGTCTGCTTCTCCCTCTGACCCTCCTCCCTCTCATATTCTCTGTCTCTCATTCTCTCTCTCGCAAATAAATAAAATCTTAAAAAAAAAAATTTAAGATTTTATTTATTTATTTGAGAAAGAATGAGAGAGAGCACATGAGAGGGGGGAGGGCCAGAGGGAGAAGCAGACTCCCCGGCGAGCAGGGAGCCCGATGCGGGACTCGATCCCGGGACTCCAGGATCACGACCCGAGCCGAAGGCAGTCGCTCAACCAACTGAGCCACCCAGGCGCCCCTAAGATTTTATTTTTAAGTAATCTCTACCCCCAATGTACGGCTTGAACTCATAACCCCACGATCGAGAGTCTCATGCTCTTCTGACTGAGCCAGCCAGGCACCCCTGAATTGGACATCAGGATTTTATTTAATTTTTAATATATTTTTATTTATTTTTTATTATTTTAAAGATTTTATTTATTTATTTGACAGAGAGAGAGACACAGTGAGAGAGAGAACACAAGCAGGGGGAGTGGGAGAGGGAGAAGCAGGCTCCCCGCTGAGCACGGAGCCTGATGCGGGGCTCGATCCCAGGACTCCAGGATCATGACCTGAGCCAAAGGCAGTCGCTTAACCAACTGGGCCACCCAGGCGCCCGCACCCCTTCTTTCTTTAGATGTTAGTGCCCTTTTTTTTTTTTTTTTGATGTTAGTGCCTTTTAACAGATTGCTCCCAAGGTTTGATCTAGAAGCCGTGCTGTCCCCCGAAGGTGACATTTGGAACCTCCACTTTGCTTTAAGGACAGTAACTTGGGGGGGGTCACATGTCACATTTCCAGGATCCCGGAGGTCAGCCTCAGGGCTTGGGCCCCGGTGCCGCTCGCGTGCCCTCTGCCAGGCCCTGTGATCTTCTGACAACCCGGATGAGGCCCGTCAGAGAGGCAGGCGAGGATGTGAGCGCCGCAGGGTCGCCGGCCGCCTCCCCCCGGCGGTGGCGGCAGGAAGGGGATCAACGTCTGTCGTGTGCAGGCTATGTGCCAGGCGCTTCCCGTCAGGCCGGCCCCGTGCTCCTCATGAAGAGGACGGCGACGGCGTGCGCCCGACACGGTCGCTGCTGGCTGGTCAGGCACACGTAGGGGGCCTGGACGAGGCTCCCCAGTCCCGTGCTCCGGATCTGAGCGGCACATCCCAGGCTCCGCGGGGCCCGGGGACCTTCTCTAGGAGGGAGAGCCCTTCCCGGGTCCCCATCCCTGTGTGGGTCCTTGGACCTGGGCCTTTACTCCCAACGGTTCCTGAGCTCGTTTCTAGATTTTCCTTTCTCCCTCCAGGTCCTGCCTGAGGTCCGTGCCCCTCTGGCATGGGCTGGCAGCCCTTTTTGCGCTACCTGATTCTTTCTTGCCAACAACGTATCTCGTGTGGCTTGTTCTGCTGCGAGAGATCTGTCTCTAATCCAGCCTCGGGTTTCATTACAAGCAGTTTCGAGGCTCGAGGAAAGCGTGGCGGAGGGAAGGGAAAGAAAATTCACCTCATCGTGCACACTTGATCTCGTTTTCTCCCCACAACAGCCCTGTAGGGAAGGCGTTGGTATGGTTATTTTGCACACCAGGAAACAGGCACACGGAGATGAATTCACCCGAGGCCACATGGCCACTAAACGGCAGACTGGCGATGGGAAGCCAGGGCGGTCTGGCCCCACGCACTGTGTTGGGATCCCTGTGCTCTGGTCCCTGCTAGGTGGCTGAGAAACTGGAGACGCTGAAGAAACAGTACGACGAGAAGCTGGCCCAGAAGGAGGAGCTTCGCAAGAAGTCTGAGGAGATGGAGGTGAAGCTGGAGCGTGCGGGGCTGCTGGTGTCCGGGCTGGCTGGCGAGAAGGCACGGTGGGAAGAGACGGTGCAGGTGAGATCAGCCCCACGGCCTGGCGCCCCTTCCTGCCAGAGTGCCGCCCCCTTCCGGCTGAGGGACCCCGGGGTGTAGGCCCCTCCGAGGATGGGGGATGGGGGATGGGACCCCCCCCCCCACTTGAGAAGAGCGGAAGGAAGGACTTTGTGCCATCAGGGGACTGCTGCCATGTTTACGGAGGCCTGGGAAGCTCACGCCAGGGTCCCTGATGGGGCCGCAGGCCTGGTAGAAACCGTCCTGGGGCATCTTGTTTTGCCTTGATTGAGCTCCTGGCTTCAGGAAAGGCTTGGGCCTTATCACCGGAGTGTAAACAGAACTGCTGTTAAAGACGGGGAATTCAGAAGTAATTAGAACCAGGTTAGAGCTCTCAGGGCCAAAGGTTTAGGAGATGGGAAGCACCTCTTTGATCTAGATAGTGTCGCGAGGAGAGTGCCTTCAGAGCCCTCCCAGCGTGTCCCCCCTCGCCCCCTACTGGCTTACACCCCCTGCCGGCCCCCAGGGCCTGGAGGAGGATCTGGGCTACCTGGTAGGTGACTGCCTCCTGGCCGCTGCCTTCCTGTCCTACATGGGCCCCTTCCTGACCAACTACCGGGACGAGATCGTCAACCAGATCTGGATGAAGAAGGTGAGGCGGGGCTCAGGTGCCAGTGAGCTCTTGGGCTGTGAGACCACGGCCTCTGGGAGGAACCAAGGGATCTCCGGCAGGGGCCGGGGGGCCGGGCTCAGGTCTCCACGCTGAAATTCGGGGTTCTTCCCCACCCAGATCTGGGAGCTTCAGGTCCCTTGCTCGCCTCGCTTCACCTTTGATAACTTCCTGTCCAATCCTACCAAAGTTCGAGACTGGAACATCCAAGGATTGCCCTCGGATGCCTTTTCTACTGAGAATGGCATCATTGTCACCCGTGGTAACAGGTGAGGATGCTGCTGGGGGCGGGGGGGGGGGTAGGGCAGAGCCCGTGGTCTGACTGGCCACCCTCCCGCAGGTGGGCGCTGATGATTGACCCTCAGGCCCAGGCCCTGAAGTGGATCAAGAACATGGAAGGAAACCAGGTACAGAGCGGGGTGGGGAGGGGGTCTGCTCTCCCCAAGCCTGTCTCTTCCCGAGGCCCTACCCGTGAGCCAGGTTTCCCTTTGGTCCCTTGTCCGTCTCCCACTGTTGCCCTTGCTCTCTAGGGCCTCCAGATTATTGACCTGCAGATGAGCGATTACCTTCGAATTCTAGAAAACGCCATCCAGTTTGGATATCCAGTGCTGCTCCAGAACGTGCAGGAGTATCTGGACCCCACACTCAACCCTGTGCTCAACAAATCTGTAGCTCGAATCGGTTAGGGCCCAGGCTGACTGTGGGACACATCCGGGAGGCCAGCTGCAGGACCCTGGGGAGGAAGGGGCTGGCCCTGGGGCTGTGGGCCTCCATTCAGCCAGCCCTGGGCTGGGGCCACGGTGGCCGGCTGAGTCACGGCCGCTGACCACGTGGGTCCTCGCCCTTGACCCCCCTGTGGCTACAGGCGGTCGGCTGCTGATGCGCATTGGAGACAAGGAGGTGGAGTACAATACAAATTTCCGGTTCTACATCACCACCAAGCTCTCCAACCCCCACTACAGCCCAGAGACCTCGGCCAAGACCACCATTGTCAACTTTGCTGTCAAAGAACAGGTGGGTGGGGGCTGGCACCCGGACTGAACTCGGGTGGGGCAGGAAGTGCCACTGAGTCGGTAGATGGAGACAGGCCCATGGGGTCGGGCAGCAGGGGATGAGGGGCCTGGAGATGTAATGGGGCAACAAGGGTGAGGTCCCCGGAGTGAGAGCGTCACCATGCATCCTGCACCCTCAGGGCCTGGAGGCTCAGCTGCTGGGCATCGTGGTCCGGAAGGAGCGGCCGGAGCTGGAGGAGCAGAAGGATTCACTGGTCATCAATATTGCTGCCGGCAAGAGGAAGCTCAAGGAGCTGGAGGACGAGATCCTTCGGTGAGAGCTGCCCTCTGCCCCCCCCGTGACCCCCCCACCGGCCCACCCGCAGGCCCAGCAAGCACTCCTCCGCTCTGGACCCACGCCCCCGGGGCCTCCTTTCAGGCTGCTGAATGAGGCCACAGGCTCCCTGCTCGAGGATGTGCAGCTGGTGAACACCCTCCAGACCTCCAAAGTGACGGCCACCGAGGTGACGGAGCAGCTGGAGACCAGCGAGACCACGGAGATCAACATCGACTTGGCCCGCGAGGTGGGCTCCAGCAGTAGAGGCTGGGGGGGGCCCCTCCGTGGTCCCGCGGGCCCTGACTCTGCCCCTCCGCAGGCTTACCGCCCCTGCGCCCAGCGGGCCTCGGTGCTGTTCTTCGTCCTCAACGACATGGGCCGCATCGACCCCATGTACCAGTTCTCGCTGGACGCCTACATCAGCCTCTTCGTCCTCAGCATCGACAAGAGCCACCGCAGCCACAAGCTGGAGGACCGCATCGACTACCTGAACGAGTACCACACCTACGCAGTCTACAGGTCGGCGCCCCGCACCGTGCGGCCGAGCATCCCCCGAGGCGCTGACCCTCCCGCCGCCCGGCTCCTGGTGCCCCGCTCCCCTCTCCCTGCACCGTCCCTGGGCGGCGCGCCCACCGGGGGTCTGGCCCACCAGGTTCAAAGCTGAGCTGTCAGTGAGCCCTGCACCCCTACCTATGAGTGTCCGCTCCCCCAGCACTTCTGGAGGGGCGGTGTGCCCCCAAAGCGCTGGGGATCTTGGTAAAATCCAGATTCGGGTTCAGCGGGTCTGGGGCACGGCTCTCGCCGGCTCCCAGGGGGTGCTGCTATGGCAGGTCTGGGGGCCACCCTCTGAGCGGCGGTGAACTTGACCTCCACCTGGACGGCCCACAGGCCCCCCGAGTTCAGCTCGCGTTTCACATGAAACCCCTCATCCCCCGCTTCCTTCAGGGTTCTCACCCTGGGCGGCCCCAACGCCCACCTCTGCGCCACCCAGGCCAGAAATCGGAAGTTCTCCCTGACCCTTCCTCTCCCCCGACCCCGGGATCAGGCACCAGGGTTTGCTCATGAGTCTTTCTGCAGAGGCCCCTGCCCGGGTCTCCCACCACAGCCCTGTAAACAGCCCGGCCGTTTGCCTCGGCTCCTGGCTCTCCCTGGGGTCCTCTCTGCTCTTCCTCATTGCTCTGCTGCTCCCGGGGAGCTCCTCTCCCAGGCTGCCCCGGGGCGCCCCTGCCCGGCCACCCCCCTCGGCTCGGCCACCCCGCGCAGGACCCGTCAGGTCACATGAGAATCCCCGGGCTGTCCGCCTGTCCTCCGTCTCGACCTGACTGCCTCCAGGACAGAGACTGTGGCTTATTCACCTTTGTGTCCCCGGGGCCTGGCAGAGCGCCTGGCACAGAGCAGGGGTCCCACCAACGTTGTGGGTTCGTTGATGGAAACGAATGACTGATGTCACCAGCCAACTCCCCAGGTCCCCGTGCGCTTGGCTGATTATGGGGGGCTCGGCTTAGGTGCTGATTGGGGTCCTTGTTGTGTGTCAGGCTCTGTGATCGTACGACCCTCGCCAGTCAGCTTCCATACTGGTTTCCCGCCTCCTCCACCCCTGCCCTCCCCCAGGTACACCTGCCGCACGCTTTTTGAACGCCACAAGCTGCTGTTCAGCTTCCAGATGTGCGCCAAAATCCTGGAGACCTCTGGCAAGCTCAACATGGATGAGTACAACTTCTTCCTGCGCGGGGGCGTGGTGAGCAGGGCAGAGGCGTCGAGGTCGGGCCGGGGGCACGCGTGACGAGGACCCGGGCCGGCCCTTAAGGCCCACGGCTGTAGCGAGGGAGCCAAGGAAAAGCGCCAGGAGCAGGTGCACGCCCAGCTCCCCGGGGACGCGGCCGTGACCTACCATGGGCTCCGCGTTACGGGCAGAGCTTTGGGGCCCCTCTTCCCCGGGACCCACTGATTGGCGTGATCTTGCCGCTCTCGCGGCTGCTCAGGTCACACCCCACCCCTCCCCCGGGCTGCCCCGGTCACACTGTGCTCTCGCCCTCGCAAGCACCCTCACCGCCCGCCCCCATATTGCGTTTGCTTGGCAAAACCGCCGCTCTGGTTGGATCCGGCTCTCCTGCTCCTGGGTGGCCCGGGCAGCGAGGAACGCCCACGCTGGACGGACTCGCTTTAAATCCTTTGCTTCCTTAAAACCGCCAGACGGCAGCACCTCGTTCCCCTCCACGTTCCCCTGGCCGGTCGTTCTCCAACCTCAGGGGCAACCGGTTCATTCCTTTTGCTGCCCGCACTTCACCTCTCGTCTGGATTTTAGCAATAGCCTCCAGGCGCTCCCCACCCCCAACCTCTCAGCCTGGCGGCCAGAGACTCTTCTAAAACGTCGCTGGTGTCGCCCCCACCCGCCCCGCTCCTCCCTCCACCCGCCCCGGCCACAGAGACCTCCTTGTGGCCGCCGGCCTGTCCCACCTTAGCGCCCCTGAATCGCCTGTTCTCCTGCCACAGGTGGGCGCGTGGCCCTCCCTCACCTTCTCCAAGACTTGATTCAAATCTCACCTCACTCACTGAGACCTCCTTGACTCTCTTTTTAAGATTGTATTTATCTATTTGAGGTGGGGGGAAGGGCAGCTGAGCGCTGAGCTCCACACGGGGCTCGATCCCACGACCCTGAGGTCAGGACCTGCGCCGAGGCCAAGAGTTGGATGCTCAACCGACTGAGCCACCCGGGCGCCCCTTCTTATTTAATACTTCAACTCCCCCCGCCCCCAAGAACTTCCAGTCTTTTTTGTCCTCAGCTTCCTCTGTTTTTGCATGACCTTGCCATCTTTAACGTGCTAGATCATTTCACGATCTGTTCTGTGTTTTGGCTCATCATCCTCCCTCCCATGTTGGAAAATAAGCTCCTCAAGGGCTGAGGTGTCTGTCCTTTTTGCTCAGTGATGTGTCCCAAGTGCTGGAAACACATAGTCAGTGAGCAATAGTTATTTGTTGAAGAAGGGACCAAACAAACCGCTTCTGAGAGGTGAGGCTGCGGACGGGAAGCGTTAGGGTGAGGGACAGTAATACCAGGAAACCACCAGAGGGCGCCAGCTTCCTACCTTTTGCACAGTGCGGTCCCTGCACAGCGAGACCTAGACCCCCACATTGACTTCCCCAGGCAGGGTGGATCCCAATCCATCTCGGATGCCTGTCCTCCTTCCTTCATCGGGGCTTTCCCATCATTAAAAAAAAAAAAGTAATTCTTCGGAGGTGTCCCCGGTCACTCCCTTCCTCCTCTCCTGGCCCAGGTGCTGGATCGGGAGGGCCAAATGGATAACCCGTGTACCAGCTGGCTGGCGGATGCCTACTGGGATAACATCACAGAGCTGGACAAACTGACCAACTTCCACGGACTCATGAACTCCTTTGAACAGTACCCTCGTGACTGGTACCTGTGGTACACGAATGCCACCCCAGAGAAGGCCATGCTGCCAGGTACCCGCCCCCCCGCGGCCCAGCTTCCCGCCCCGCAGCCGCCCTCCTGCCCCTGGCCCCCGCAGTCAGACCCCTGCTCTCCCAGAGGCTCTGGCCCTGCAGCTCGCCCCCGCCCCCAGGTGAGTGGGAGAACGCCTGCAACGAGATGCAGCGGATGCTGATCGTCCGCTCCCTGCGCCAGGACCGCGTGGCTTTCTGCGTCACCTCGTTCATCGTGTCCAACCTGGGCTCCCGCTTCGTCGAGCCGCCCGTGCTAAACATGAAGCTGGTCAGTGGCATGGTTTCCTGGCCCCCACTGCCCCGGGGCCTTCTCCGCGGTCTCTCTCTCCCACTGGTGCTCTGGGGCCTCCTGCCTGAAGGTGCACCCTGGGCTTCTGGCAGGTGATGGAGGATTCGACCCCGCGAACCCCGCTGATCTTCATTCTGTCCCCCGGCGTGGACCCCACCAGTGCCCTGCTCCAGCTGGCAGAGCACACGGGCATGGCCCAGCGCTTCCACGTCCTGTCCCTGGGCCAGGGCCAGGCCCCCATTGCTGCGCGGCTCCTCCGGGAGGGCGTGATTCAGGGTCAGTATCCGTCCGGCTCCTCCACCCCCAGCCTCGGAGCCTCCAGCCTCAGTCCCCGGACTGTAACGTCAGCCCCCACTTCCCCAGAAGGCCCCAGCAGTGGCCGAGTTGGGTTTGGATCCCCGACCCCTCACATCCACGCAAGCAGGCGCAGAGTGCGGGACAGATGGGGCTCGGGGAGTGGTTCCCGCTGAGTCCAGCATCTTCTTGCAGGACACTGGGTGTTCCTAGCGAACTGCCACCTGTCACTGTCGTGGATGCCTAATCTGGACAAACTGGTGGAGCAGCTGCAGGTGGAAGATCCTCACCCTTCCTTCCGCCTCTGGCTCAGCTCCAGCCCCCACCCGGACTTCCCTATCTCCATCTTGCAGGCCAGCGTCAAGATGACCACAGAACCACCAAAGGTATGGTGCCCGCAGATAGCCGGCGCCAACTGTGCCATCTGGCCCCGTTTTCTTCCTGCGAGCGTCCACGAGAGGCCCGACTGGAACAACACGGCTTTTTGATTCTGCTGCCTTCTAGAAAATTCCACCTCATTTCTTTCCTCTAAGCGCCAAACTCTTAGAACCTAATAGGAATAGCTACACATTTCTTTCTTTCTTCTTCTTCTTCTTTTTTTTTTTTTTTTAAAGATTTGTATTTCTTTGAGAGAGAGCGCACGAGCGGGGGAAAGGGCAGAGGGAGAGGGAGAAGCAGGCTTCCCGCTGAGCAGGGAGCCCGATGTGGGGCTCGATCCCAGCACCCTGGGATCACGACCTGAGCCGAAGGCAGACGCTTCACCTACTGAGCCACCCAAGCGCCACAATATCTAAACATTTCTGAGCACGATCATGGGCCAAGCATTGTTCATTTATTAATTCATTTAAAACGCACACTCCCTGTCAGGTAAGTACTGTTCCCCCCATTTTACAGAGAGGAAACCAAGGCACAGAAGAGTAAATAACTTGTCCATAGAACGTTCCTGCCTCCCAGCATTTCCTTTCATCTCTCCCTAATGCCCCACTGGCTGGGCCCCAGCATCCCCCCGCCCCTCTTGAAAATGTTACCTCCAGGATTAAAAAGTCACCATTAAATGCAACCATCCTGATCCTGCAAGATCTCCTCATGTTCCTGCATCCCACCTGTTTACCTCTGCGTAAACTATTTTAATAGCTTTCCATTGCTTTTAGCCAAGACCAAAACCCGCAATGACATGGCCCGTGTGCCCCCGGGGGCCTCCTGGATGCACCCATTGCCCTGTTCCCCTTTGCTTTCTTGGCTCCACCTACACCGTGAATTCTTAAAATGTTTTGTTCTTCTTCCTCCAGACTCTGTACTATTCCCCCTGCCCAAGGCTTCTAGAAGCCCCTGCTCCTGGCCCCTGCGTCCTCCCCACCCTCTCCTCTGCCCCTTCAGGCCTGGGCCTGTCATCACTTCCTCAGGAAGGCTCTGCTCTCCAGGTCCAGGCCAACACCCCAGTGATACCCGCTCATAAAGCCTTCCCGCTCCTGCTGCACCCCCCTCCCCCCCCACCGCTGCGACATTGGACACGTGTTGGTGTGGTTCTGACTGAGACCCGTCTTCTCTAGACTTTTTGTTTTTCTCTCAAGGTCTTGCTCATCTCGTGACTAGCACCGGGACCCCTACGGACTAGGGGCTTCACAAATGAATACTGTGTGAACCCACGTCTCATCATTTCAATCCTCCTTGACCGCCTTGGGGCCGCGGACTCAGCGGACTGGCCCTCCCCTGGGTCCCCTGATGTCACTTACCCCGTCCGCGTTTCTTGGTCCTCTTGTTCTGTGGTCGTAGCTCCGGACTTGGTCCTTGACCTCCAGCTATGCCCATTCTATATTTCCTCCTTTGGCAACCCGACAGAGAAATTGTCCTTTTCCTGATTTCAACTCCAATCCTTATCTCCTAGCGCCAGTCGCTCAGTCCCAGGCCTGGATTCCACATGGCTACAAGGCATTTCTTCCTGGCGAGCCGGCTCCCTAAATCCCCTGCTCTCAAAGCAAGTTGCCAGCCCGCCACCAGAGAGAGCCTCCTCATCCCATCTCTGTTCATGGTGCCTCTAATTTTTTTTCATTTTTTCATTTTCATTTTTTATTTTTTGAGAGAGCAAGCGAGTGAGCAGGGGGCGGGGGGTGTGCAGAGGGGAGGAGAGAGAGAGAATCTTAAGCAGTGTCCATGCTCAGTGTGGAGTCTGATGCCGGGCTTGATCTCACGACGCTGAGATCATGACCCCAGCGGAAATCAAGGGTTGGATGCTTACCCGACTGAGCCACCTGGGCGCCCCTGATAACGTTTTAACCTAAATCTATTATATATTTCCAATTTTCTTCAGTGACCCAATCATGTCCTTTATGAAATTCCCCTGCAGAACCACAGCCCCCAGTTGCCAGTCGGGGGATGGCTCTGGAGTGTATTCTTGGATCGCTGCCTGCTCTCTGGTCCTTTCAACTAAATATTACGCAGACACAAAAGAGTATAAAACGTATGCAAGACATAAGGGATCCCAATTCCATACATACCTGTGTGCCCACCTTCCTGTGGTGGAATGAGGACTCTCCTTCCCAGTCGCCTTCCCTCCCCGCTGGGCAGACGCTGCTCTTCTCAAGGTGCATCTGGCTGCAGGGACCAAGCAGCTGCATGCACCCAGTAATCCAGTAATCTGCAACTCACCTTTCCCACTCAGCGCTACCTACTTGACCTTCATTCACGTTCGTGTTTCATGGTTCCTCGTTGCATCCCACATCCAAGTATCCGTCGTCAGTTATGTGTTTTACGGGTTGTCTTTTCCATTTTAGTTATTTTTTTTTTGGTGAGTAGAGATCCTTAATGTTTAGGAGGTAGAATTTAGCTCTTTTCTCTTTATGGCTTGTGCTCCTAGGTGTTGTTCAAGAAATCTCTGCTTACTCCAAGGTGGTAAAGGCACTCTCTTACGTTTATCTCCAGAAGCATTTATAATTTGACTTTCCCATTTTGGTGTTTTAATCACTTGAAGTTGATTCTCGCAAGTGTGAAATGAGTAGGGGTCCAATATTTTTCTTTTCTTTCCTATCCACAAAAATAACCAGTTCTCCTAGTACCATCGTCAAATAGCCCACAATTACCCTTCTGATCTGCAGGGCCTCGAAGCCTTCAGTCACGTTTATATAGATACAGGTTTCTGGGCCCTTTATTCTGTTCATTGGTCAAGTTGTTAATATTGGGGTCAATATACACTGTCTCATTTACCCTATAGCTCTGTAATAATCCTTGATGGCTGGTAAGACAAGCCTTTTTGCCGTATTCTTCTTCAGGCTACTCATGGCCTTTTATTCTCCAACATAAATGCTGGAATTAGCTTGTCAAGTTCTACAAAAAAAAAAAAAAAAAAATCCCTTGATCAGTTTGGAGGAAATCAACATCTTTAGTAATATCGGGCCTCCCCATCCATGATTATAGTAGGTCTCTCCATGTAGTCTTTATTTCAATCAAGTTTTGTCATTTTCTCTATAAAGATTTGTGCATTTTTATTTATTCCTAGAAACCCTACATATTTTGACGTTAAAATGGCAATATTCTTACTCCAATTTTTTCACTACTCCATTCTGTCCATTGTGGATGCGTCTTCCTAAAAGCCCTGTTTCAACATATTGCTGTCCTACTCAAGACAGAAAGTGGCCCTGTGACTCCTGGTGAATCAAGTCCAAATGGCTCCATCTGTTCATGGCCCTTCTGACCCCACCTGAGTCCTTGCCCTTAGACTCATCTTCTCACTTATTCTCTCCTTTGTGCCTCTATCCCTGCCATTCTTTCCATCTCCAGGAAACCAACGCCCTCCTGTCAGCCTAGTTATCTCCTTCCCATTGGTGAGACTCTGTCCACCTTGACCCACAAGGGTGTTCACGAAGCCTGAAAAATCTGTCGCATAGACTGTCCCTCCTTGATGGTATACTGTGGCCCCTTACTCTACCCTGGACCTTTGCATATGGTAGTGTGTACATTTTTGTCCGCTGATAGTTGCATGTATCTGTCTTCATCTTTGGTCATATCTTCTGGTACTCCCAAACTGAGTTGGCCCACCCGCCATTGAGAACATCGTGGCTGAGAGGATCAAAAGTGGGGGGACAAAAAGGTAGAGCTACCGCTACCCCCACAGCACCTGTGTGCAAATTAAAGAAAGGCACCCACCCCGTCCTGTGAATCGGTGCCGATCTTGGCATGCAGATCAAGGGCTGGATTTCAGCCTTCACCCCCCGTTTGTGCAGTGAGCAACCTCCACAACCGTATGTGGTGGTGCTAGGGGCAGGGCTTAGCACGATGCATGTCACCCCACCTCTGTACTGCCTTGTCCCCAGGGCCTGAAGGCCAACATGACGCGTCTTTACCAGCTGATGACGGAAGCACAGTTTTCCCGCTGCCCCAAACCCGCCAAGTATAAGAAGCTGCTGTTTGCACTCTGCTTCTTCCATTCCGTGTTGCTGGAACGCAAAAAGTTCCTGCAGCTTGGCTGGAACATTATCTACGGCTTCAATGACTCCGACTTTGAGGTTTGTACCAACAGGGGTCCGTCAGCCCAGCCCTCTCTCCTCACACCGCCTGCCCCGTGGGCTCCCCTGCGGGAAGAGCCGCTGACAAGAAGCCCCGTGGGAAGACTCCCTGCCCTAACGGTGTGTGGGGGCGGGGCCGGGACCGTGCACAGGTGTCCGAGAACTTGCTGAGTCTCTATCTGGATGAGTACGAGGAGACACCGTGGGACGCACTCAAGTACCTCATTGCCGGCGTCAACTACGGTGGGCACGTCACGGACGACTGGGACCGGCGCCTGCTCAGCACCTACATCAACGACTATTTCTGTGACCAGTCTCTGTCGACCCCCTTTTACCGGTGAGGGGGAGGGGGCGCTGAACAGGGGGCCAGAGGACACCGGCAGACCAGGGGGCAGGCCCGGGGGCAGTGGGAGTGTTTGAGGAGAGGCAGAGCCTGTGGGGTCGGGGAAGGGAGAGGAGCAGGGAGCGGGATGAAGGGGCCACGCATAGTGACCGGGGTCTCGGCCTGGCCCTGAGGCCCCGGAGGCCCACAGCGTGGTGATAATTACGCTGTGGGCTCCAGGTTGTCAGTACTGGAGGCTTATTTCATCCCCAAAGATGGCAGCCTGGCCTCTTACAAGGAGTACATCAGCATGTTGCCCAGCATGGACCCCCCTGAGGCCTTTGGCCAGCACCCCAATGCGGATGTGGCCTCCCAGATCACTGAGGCACGAACTCTCTTTGAGACTCTGCTTTCCCTGCAACCCCAGATTACACCCACCAGGGCTGGAGGCCAGAGCCGGGAAGAGAAGGTAAGAGCAGGCCGGCGGCTGGGGGAGGGCCCGCAAGGAGGCCGAGAGGCCACCCCTCAGAGCTCCCGCCGCGCCAGGTCCTCGAGTTGGCCGCTGACGTGAAACAGAAGATCCCTGAAATGATCGACTATGAGGGGACCCGAAAACTGCTGGCCATGGACCCCTCCCCCCTCAACGTGGTCCTTCTGCAGGAGATTCAGAGATACAACAAGCTTATGGAGACCATCCTGTAAGATGGAGAGGGGCTCTGTGTCTCGTGGGGTGGGGGCAAGAGGAAAGGGCTTCCCCCCGCCACCCCCCTGCCCCCCGGGGATGGCTCTGCCAGGCCCCTCCCATCTCTAAGCGCCCACCTTACCCTGCTCAGGTCCTCACTGACAGACCTCGAAAAAGGCATTCAGGGCCTCATCGTCATGTCTACGAGCCTGGAAGAGATTTTCAATTGCATCTTCGATGCCCATGTCCCTCCACTCTGGGGAAAGGCAAGCTTGCATCGCTCTTGAACCCCTGTGCCCTCCACCTCCTGGTTCTGGGAGGCATATGGCAAAATGCAGTGAGCCTGGGCTTTGGAGCTAGATAGAGTCAAGGCAGAGACCTGGCTCTGCGATTCACAGACTGGCTTTGCACCGATTAACCTAGGACCTTAGGGCAAGTTCCTACCCTCCGCCAAGGACGTTTCAAGGATTCTCAGTACTGCGCGTAACTCTTAGTGGGTGCTTCGTTCGTTAGTGGTAACTGGTTAATATTGCTGTTGCCCTGGTTGTTAAATAGCTGTCGTTTCACGCTGCTTTCCTGGGAGCTGGCCTTCGGAGAGCTTGGCCCAACTGCAGCTGGGGAACGGGCTGGCACCACAGAGATTCTTCCCATGGCTGCTCCAGGGGCTCAAAACCGAGATTTGGATGCATGAATCAATGAGAGCATAAACACAGCCTGCCTCCTCCTCCTCCTCCTCCTCCAGGCTTATCCCTCACAAAAGCCACTGGCTTCGTGGACCCGGGACCTGGCCATGCGCGTGGAGCAGTTTGAGCTGTGGGCCAAACGTGCCCGGCCTCCTGTGATCTTCTGGCTGTCCGGCTTCACCTTTCCCACGGGCTTCCTCACTGCTCTGCTGCAGTCCTCAGCTCGCCAAAACAACGTGAGTGCTGGGGGCATGGGTGTGCTCTCCTCTTTGGGGGTCCTCCCTTACGCTCCCCTTGAACCCCCAGATTCCAGTGGACAACCTCTCTTGGGAGTTCATTGTTTCCACCGTGGACGACAGCAACCTAGTGTATCCACCCAAGGTGGGAGCACAGGCGGGTCTGGTGGGGGAGGTCAGGGGTGCCGGCAGCGGCCGGTCTCCACGTCCCCCCCACCCTGCCCCTGTGTCCTCCCAGGACGGCGTCTGGGTCCGTGGCCTGTACCTGGAGGGCGCCGGCTGGGACAGGAAGAACTCCTGCTTGGCGGAGGCGGAGCCCATGCAGCTTGTCTGCCTCATGCCCACGATCCACTTCAGGCCTACGGAGAGTCGCAAGAAGAGCGCCAAGGGTGGGCTGGCTCCCTCCGCCCTGCCGTCCCCATCCTTAGTTTGGATCCTCACCCATGCCGGGCTCCACGCGTCCCCCACACCTGCTCCTGCCCTGCTCTCCCAGAGGCTCCCGGCCCTGACTCCTCCTCTCCTCCCCCCAGGCATGTACTCCTGCCCCTGCTATTACTATCCCGACCGGGCGGGCAGCGCAGACCGAGCCTCCTTTGTCATCAGCATCGACCTCCGGTCCGGGACCATGACACCTGATCACTGGATCAAGAGGGGCACTGCTCTACTCATGAGCCTGGACAGCTGAGAAGGCCGCCTCTTCCTCCCCGCTTGAGGGAGGGTCGGGCACTCTAGGGACCGAGGCTGGCCTTAACTGGGTCCACATAACGGGGGCCTGGAGACAGCTAGGTGTGCTAGAGCAATAAAACAGCCTCAACCGTAAGCCCTGACGGAGCCTCTCAATGGGGTGCCGGGGGTCTGGGGAAGTGGGAGGCCGGGAGAGGAAGGGGGCGTGGCCTTGAACGAGAGGCAGGGCGGTGGGACCTAAAACGCGAGAGGCTAAATTTCGGGGCTGGGCCTGAGCGGGCGGGGCGGGGCTTACTTTGGAAAGGCGCGTGATCCGAACGGAATAAGGGTTTGTCAGGCAGGGATCGGGGCTGGACCCGGTACGTTGTACCCCGAACCCGGCACCCCGCATCCGGCATCCTGAACTCGACACCTGCGCTGAGGCGAGTGGGACCGGCAGAAGGCGGGGCGGGGCCCGAGAGAGGGACTCTCGGCGCGAGGAGGGGCGGGACCATGGGGAAGGGGGCGGGGCTGGGGCGCAGGGGGGGCGGTGTTTGTGTTGGAAAATCCAACTGCGCCACGGGGCGGAGCGGCCCCCCCGGCCCTGGCCTGGGAGAGGGGGGGCCCGCTCGACCCCCTGGGAGACCTCGGGGAGCCTGAGCACCTGGGACACCCCAGAACCAGGTAACGGGGAGCTGCGAGGGCGTCTGAAAGAGGGAAACCCATCTCCGCGCAGGGGGGCGGGACGCCTGAGTCTCGGGACCGGTAGAGCTGGGGATGGACGTCTGGGTCTCGGCAAAGGCACTGGGAAGAAGACTGGGGCGCAGGACGCCAGGGTCCCCTAGAAGAGTGCGGGGCGGGGCGGGGTGGGGGAAGAGCGGGGAGGCAGAAGACTTGGGGGTTCGGATGTCAAGAGGGGCCTGGGATTCCCCTCCCCGACCCGGGGGCGGGGCGGGGCGCGGCGGCCCCTGACCGAAGGACAGGACTGAAGGTCAGAGTCCGCGGCTGGGCCGGTGCGCCGGCCCCCTGAGGTCGGCTTGGCCGGGCAGGCAAGGGCCTCCGGGCCCGGGGGCCCCTTCGGGTGTCCCTCCAGTTCTCCGCACGCGTGTGTGTCGCCTCAGCCTGGCCCCTCGGGCCGGGAGCGCCGGCAGCCAGCCTCCCCGCGGCAGCCTTCTCCTCCCGTCCACTCCGCCGCACCCCGTGGCCCGTCCATCCCGGCTCCGACCCCACTCGGCCGCTCGTCGCCCTCGCCCGGCCGGGGCCCGGCTCCGCGCGGACCTTCCCAGCGCAGCCACGAGATGGCGAGGGCGAGACGCGCAGCCCGAGCCGCGGGAGCCGGGTGGGCGCTGCGGCCGGGAGGGCGGCCGAAGCCCCCCCGCCCGGCCCGAGAGAAAGGTGGGCCGAGGTGCGCTTTTGGCTTCCCGTCATCTGGGCCCCTCACAGGAAATTGTGGGCGGGAGGGCGAAGGGCGGAGGATGGGGAGGGGGCTGGGGCTCAGTCTCCGCCTCCCCGCGCCGGGGTAAATAGTGGGGAGGGGGCACGCGGCTTGGTTACTAAGCAACGCAGATTCGCTTCCTGTCTGCAGCCGCTGGTGGCTGTGACCCGGGGACGGGCGGGGGGAGGGGGTGTGGCGAGTGGGGGGCGGGGCGACCTCGGGGAAGGTCGAGGGCAGGACGCCTTGCTCCCCGGGACCCGCAGAGCCCGGGAAAGACCGAGGGGAGGCGGCGAGCGGCGCTGCCGCAGAGGAGGGCGCGGCGGTCGTCCGGAGGGAGGCGGGACCCGGGCGAGCCCTCCCGGGGGTTGCTTGCCCCGTTGCCGGAGTAACTGGGGAGCCAGACTCGGGAGCCGGATTCCCGAACTCTCGCGTCCGGCCAATCCGCTCCGGCGGACGTCCCTGACATCAGGGCCCTGGCAGCCAATGTGGAGGAGGCTCCAGAGAGCGACAGGAACGGGGAGAGGGGTGGGGGAGAGGGGAAGAAGGGAGGGGGGAGCTGCCCGGGACCCGCACGTGCACTCCCACACGCTCGCGCCCACCCTCCTCCCTCCTCCCTCCTCCGCACGCGCCCGGGTGCCCCCCTGCGCCTGCGCGGCGAGTCGGCGCTCGCCGCCCACCGTCGTCGCCCCCTCCCCATTCGCGTCTGTGTTTGCAAACTAGTCGCGGGCTGCGCTCCTCATTCCCCGGGACCCCGGCGTCTGGACGCGCCCGTCCTCTTCCGCTGGGTCTCGAACCAGAACTGCCCAGCCTTGCGCGGGGGGGGCCGGCGACCTGTTTCCCACCGACCCCCCGCGGCCGCCCCACTCTCCCAGGTGGGCTGGGCGGAGCTGTGGTTTCCGGCCCCTTAGGCTCCGCTGCCGCCTTCCCGGGCTCTGGCTTAGGTTGGCTCCCCCAGGGGAGCGGGGCGGGTGTCCGCGCCCCTTCCCGAGGCGTCGCTCGCTCGGGCTCAGCTGCTGTGGGCGGCGGGGGAGGGCGCTGCGGGGAAGCCCCGGACGGCCCAGGCGACTTGCCGGGCCGTGACGCCCCTTCTTGGCGTGAATTCCTCCTCTCTGATGGCACACCCAGATCCTTCCCGTCCCTAACGTGTCTTCCCCGCTCGCCCTCGTGCTCTCTGCACGTCTCCGGGCTCCCTTCGGGCTGTCTGTCCCGGTCTCCACTCGTCCTTCTCGGCTTCTCCCGGTTATGTAACTCTTCCTCTCGCCGTGTCCTGGTTTCAACTCCACAGACTCCGCCCTGGAGCAGCGCGGGGAGGGGCAGGAGAGTGGGGGACCCAGACGGGTTCCGGCTGGCGGCCGGCCGGGCCGCGGGGGAGCCCGCGGATGGGGGACGGAGCCCCGCGGGACCCGGTGCCCCCGCCCCCCACCCTTCGCCCCCCACCCGAGCTCTCGCGCCGGAGGGAGAAGGCACAGTATCTGCGAGAGGCGTGTCGGGACTCCGTCAGAAATGTGGGTTGGGAGGTCAGGGCTGGAGGCGGGGAGGAGGAGCCTCAGGAAGCCCGAGCCCCGGGGACTGGAGCCGTACTGGGGTAGAAGAGATAAAGGCAAGCCGCCCGGGTCCCTTCCCTCCCCTCCTTTTTGGGTTCCCAGAATTCCTAAGGCTATTTCCCAGGAAGCTTAGCCAAAGGCCCCTTTCCGCCCCTAGGGGTCAAAGGTCTGTGTTAAAGGTGGCCCGGGATGATGTCACCAGTGCACGTGCCCTGGGACGGTTGCCAGGCCGGAGGCCTCCTCCCCTTTCCATCCCGCCCCCCCACCCCGACCTCTGCCCCGAGTCCAGTTCCAACCCCGTGCCATCTTTTCCCCCTCGCCCTTCCCTTGGCCTTAGCAGCCTGCAGGTGGGAAACCCTGGCCTGGAGTTTTGTGAGGGGGAGGGGCCCGGGTGTGGTGTGGCCCAAAGACTTCGCCCCTTTTCTGGGCTACGGGAACCCTGGGGCACTTTGCCCCGGATTGGTACGGAGAGCTTTCCTTCCCAGCCCCCTCCTCCCCTTGGCAGAGCCTCCCAGCAGTCTTTCTACTTTCCCACCTGCTGCATTGCCAAGTGTCCTATTGCCCCCTCCCCGTTTTGAGTTGAAGTGGGAGTGTTTGCAAGAGAGCTGCTCTCGGGAGAGGTGTGTGTGCTGTGGGAGGGGGTCACTGGACGGCCGCTCACCTCTGATCTTAATCAGTGACACCCCAACAGTGAGGAAAAGGGTCAGGAAACAGTATTAGACTGAAAAGTCAGGGTCTTTATTCTGTGTGGGTGGGTGGATCACTTTCCTGAGGGAGGAGGACTCCGTTGGTACCTGCGAGTGCCTTTCCCTCTTGAGTTAAGTCCTGGGGTTTGCTTATGACAGTGGAAAAAATTCGGTTTTCTTCTAACGCACCTTAGAGCTCGGGCTGTCCGATCAGACCTGGATTCCGTTCCCAGCTCTGCCGCTTAGTGGCTATAGGGACTTGGAAAGGTCACCACCTCCCAGAGCCTCATAGTCTTAATCTGGAAAATTTAAATATCAATCCATACCTTCTGGGCTGGGGGGGGGGGGGGGGAGAATGAGATAATTTATGCAAAGCACTTAGCACAGTGCCCCGCACAGAATAAATACTGAACGAATGAATGCTTGTTATGAAATGATCATTCTGGTTAAATTGTTGATAGTTATTTTATTATTTTTTTTTTTACAATGATAGTTGTTCTGCCGGCTTCAGCCTGGCCAGGACCTCAGGAGTTGGTTAGGGAGGAGTGGAGAGTTGGTGTTAATTTGGCGGGTGGGCGGGAGGGGGCTAGGGATTAGCTTCCACTGAGCTGTGCACTTTATTTGATGAGGGCTTTAGTCAGATTTGTATTGCTTTCTTTAGGATTATTTTTCCCCCCTCTTGGAGAAGAAATAGCTCAGATTATTCCTCTGGCCGTGAAAATAAAATAATTGTATTGTGGTTCTTGATTTTTAAGCCAGACCCCAGTCCCCTCCCATGTTGTTCTCTGGAGCCTTTCAATTTAGCAAAGGGACTCCACAGTTTTCTTTGCAGGGACCAGGCTTGGCTGAGGGGTGTGTAAAAGGTTGGGTGGGTGGGTGGAGAGAGACTAGTGCTGGGGGCTGGGGGGGGGGGCGGGTAGTTAAAGGAAGAGACCGGAAGGGAGGAGGAGGGAGCCTGCTGGTGGGGAGGGAGGGGAGGAGGTGGAGGAGGAGGAGGAGGAGGAGGAGGAGGAGGAGGAGGAGGAGGAGGAGGGAGGGGGTTGGGGAGAGCCTGCTACAGTTCTTTGTTTGACTCCGGGACTCAGGGACGGGGAGGAGGAGGGAGGGAGGCAGAGGCTGCAAGCGCCGGGGCAGGCCCAGGAGGCAGAGGAGGGACCGTCTCCCCCGCCCCCCCCAGCCCCCACTCCCCCCCCTGCTGCTCCCCCCCTCCCTGCCCGGACTCCGGGGGCACCGCCGGGGGACAGACACCCAGCAGGTAACCCCGGCCTGGCTCGCCCTCCCTTCTCGGATTTTCCTCCACACCCTCCCGGATGACCCCTTTCCCCGATTCTGTCTCCCCGTTTTCCCCCCCGGCCTTGCCTCCTTTCCCTGGCCCTCCTTGCTCCATCTCCCCCACTTGGGCTTGTCGCCTGCTGGCCGCGCCGCTGTCTCGTGCAGCCCGACTCCCTTCCCCTCGCCCGACAGCCTCTGCGCCCCAGGTCTGCCGGCGGCACCTTTCGGGGCTCTGTCTTCGCTGCTTCTCTGGGCTTTGCTTTCCTTCCGACCTGTCCCCTGGGGCTCTGAGTAAGGAGGCAGTCCCTGTCCTTTTCTCGCTCCCCCTGTTCCCCGCCCCCCCAACTCTGGCCCCCTTTCTCCTTCTAGCAGTCTCTACGGGTGGGGAGAGGACCGGAATTTGGGGGGCCCTCTGGAGGGGCAAGGGGCTGTATGTCGCTGGGGAGAGGGGCTGTGTGTGCGGGGTGGGGGTGGGGGCAGCTAGAGACCCAGCTGCCTCTCTGTTGTCCCTTTAAATGGCCCTCACATTTCTGGGGACTCTTGGGGGGGAGGTGGCAAGCCGCCTGCCTGGGGGGCAGGGCCCTTGGTGTGTCCACACACTCAGGGGTGGTAATGATTTAAAGGGACAGCCTCGGTGTGGCCGCTGCTCCCACCCCGGGCCGGCGGGAGGGGGAGCCGGCAGGCCGAGTCTGGGGAGGCTTGGCTGGTGAGCAGGGCATTTGAGGCTGAATCTGTCTGGGGCCTGCCAGGTCTGGGATGGTGCTGCGGCTGGGACCTGCAAGGAGGGGTGACAGCTTGCGGAGAAGGGGAGGCACTCCGCCTGGGCCTCCTCCTGGGCCCCACCTTTGGGTGCTCGGACTCCTTGGCCAAGAGTCCTTGAGTCCAGACTCTGGAGTCTGTGGGCCATCAGGTGGGGACAGCCGGTGGGTCTGCAGGTCAGCAGCCTGGCCTGGGCACACTGGAGCTGGCCCTTCAGCTTCCCCTTTTGTTGTTTGGCTCTGTGCACAAGAAAGCCCCAGCCCCTCCCCCAGCTCCCCCTTCCCGTCCACATGCCCCCCCCCCCCCAACACACACACACCCACCCCAGCTGTTGGACAGATGAATTACAGCCTCCGGCTTGGGGCCAGGGCTGGTGAGGGATTAAAGCTCTGGGGCTGGCCCTTTAAATGGCTGTTGGCCCCTCCCCCACTCTGGTGTCCAGACACCCCATACACACCCCTGTGACCCCCTTGGCTGCCCCTCACTCCTTCTTTGGTGTGTCCTGAGGCCTGCCACTCCCCTCTCTCTAGGCTAGACCTTCCCCAGCTTCCCCTTCTCCTCCAACACAACACAACCACAAACACAAACGCTACAGACTACATTCACACTCACATTCACTCGGCCCACATTCTCCGCGTCCCTGTCCTGGAAGGTTCCTTCTGCAGCAGCAGAACTTTGCCTGCCTGGCCTCCCCGGCCTGCAGCTGGCCACTACCTGGAGCGCTGAGGGCCCCTGCCTGGGTCCCGAGTAGCGCCTCCCTGGGGGCTGTGTCATCAGCGGCCCAGGCGGCTTGCGGCACATTGCATCATGGAGCCTGGGGGCTGGAGGCCCGAGTCTCTGGGGCAGGGGCGAAGGATGTGGGTGGGAAGGCCAGGGAATGGAGAGACTAGCCTGGGAGCCCAAGTGTCTGGGACCCTAAGGGCCGACCAGTGTGACTGAGGAAGCCGAAACCATAGGTCCCTGAGGAGTGAGTCTGAGGAGAGGGCAAGAGTCAGGTCTGACCCTAGGTGGACACCTGATTCTTGACCCTGGACTTCTGCTAAAAGACCTAGCTTTCTGTCTGTGACGGGAGGGAGGGAGTGGGCCTCTGTCACCTTCTTGGGCCACATAGAGGAAGGAGGTGATGGAGAAACAGGATATGGCCTTGAGGGGTGGGATGGAAGGGAGGCTCGCAGCAGAGGCCACTTCCAGACCCAGGCCCAGAGTCAGTCCTTGTTCAGGAGGAAGGCTCCTCCCTGCTGGGCCCGTTCATCTAGTCTGGCCACCTGCGCTGCTCGCCAAGACCTGCCTGCGCCCGCCTGGGGGAAGGGAAGGGGGCAGAGTCCAGAGGGTGGGGTTGACTGGTGTCTTGATAAGGTTAGGGAGGAGGCTGAGCTGAAGGCAGAGGATCTACAGGCCTGGGGCCAGGATTGAGGCTGACTTGGGTGCAGAGGTCAGGGGCAATGAGGGCTACTCTGGGACCAGGGACTCTCAAGAGGAGGGTTCAATCAGAAGAGGGGTCGTGGATTGGGTGTCCACCATGGACCTACACAGATACCATCGCGAGGGCCTCTTTTACCCCCTGCTCTGGGCTGCTTCCTAAGGGGAAAGGCAGGAGGACCACTTTGGGGATGGCTTTTTCCGGTTGCCATGGAAACAGGTTCTCCCATCCCATCTGACCACCAGAGCCTGGTTTCTCCTCGATAAGAAGACAGGGAGCACAGGAAAATTTCTCCAGCCTGGGGGACCCCACTTATAACTGTTTTTTTCTTCTTTTAGGTTCCCCCCAGGCACCATGCCAGCCCCGTAGTACCACCCACCCCACCCACTGTGGTCTGCTGCACCCCACTGCTGGGGCACTGGTTCCAATGAGACAGGGCACATCAGATTCCATCTGGTAAGTCCTGCCCCTGAGCAACACCTCTCCCCACCCCCGACAGTCCAACTCTGCACCACATGCTTGAAGAAGAGTGGTACGATCTGGATCATGCCCACTCCTCAGAATGGTCCAGTCCAACTCTGAGCATCCATACCCCCACCATGTGGTGCTTGAGTGGTTCAGCCTTCCTGGTTTATGGAGCTCCCCTCTGTTGCCTATGAATGGTTCAGCCCTGTACTTGAGCAGCCTCTCCACTACCACCAAAAAATCTCCCCCCCCCCCCCCCCCCCCCCCGCCCCAGTGCTACAACTCAGTTGCTTATTGAATTGACTTGAGCTAGAGTTTGCAAGCCGCAAGGTAGAGGTGAGCTACCCTGGAGGGGTTTTTCCTGGGGCGGGGTGCCCTAGAAGAGTTGTTGAACAGTCTGGTTTAAGGATGGTGATTGGAAATTGACTCGGCGAGGTAGTGGAGGCCCCTGCCACAAGGGCCTGCCGTTGCCATGGAAATCGTGGCATCTCACCTTCCCTTCCAGGTCCCTTTCTTTTCCATGCTGTTCCCACTGCACTATAGCATTTGCCCGCCCCCCAACACCCTAAGTCTTACTCCTCTTCTCCTTGCCTTTCTCTTTCTGCCAGTTCTCTGCCTGACGCTCTGTAGGACAGAGCCTCCATCCCTCATTCTCTAGGAGAAAAGATGCTACCTAAGCCAGGGCCTTGAGTTCTCTGTGTGTTGCTCTTCTTCACTACTCCCTGAATTTTAGAGTGGGACTGTTTTCATCTCTGTGTCTCTATTTGGCAAGATGGTTTGCACATTGGGGTGCCTCAGTGGAATTGTGCTGAATGAACGTGTTAACTGAATGAGCTTTCTTGCCAAGAAAGCAATGGCTTCTGAGATCTGCTACACAGTCTCCTACCCACACCTGCTCTAGAGGACGTGAGACATTTGGGATGGTAGAGATGCCTGGCGTGGAACCCTGGGGGTAGGCTGACCCAGGAGATGGCCTGTGAGGATAAAACCAAGGGAGGGAGAATAGGACAGAGGCCTTCTAGAAGAGTGGAAGGAATTGAGGCCCTGGGAAGAAGCCCAGCTCTTCCACTCTCTTGCAGAGTGGACTTGACCAAGTTACCTAACCTCTCAGAGCCTCAATTTCCTCATCTGTAAAATGGGGTAAAAAAAAAAAAAAAAAGTACCTCCTACCTCAGGTTTGGGGTGGTGGTGGTGGGGAGAGTTTTAAAAATATATGTGAAGTGCTTAACACAGTGCCAGGCATGTAATAAGTATTCACTAAATGCTAGCAATTATCATCATAATGGGAGCCGCAGGGAGCTGTGAGGATAAGCAAGGACCTTGAGGAATAGGACAGAACTTGATTGAAGGCAGACAGACGCCCAAATATTTGACTCAAACAGAAGGATCACTGATCCAGCAAGCCGTCAGGATTGCGGGGAGTGAGGCGAGGAGTCAGCAGGTCAGCCTGCTCCAGTGTTTCCCAGACTCTGTTCAGGAACATGAAGGCAAACACAGAAGGGCATGTGCAGAGACACACGTGATCACGCAAGTGATGCAGAGGCAGACCCAGACAAAAGACCGAGACAGGAGCCAGGCAGACACACAGACAGAGACAGCCCCTCAGAGTCCTGTAGACAGGCATAATGACAGGAACGCGTCCGACGCAGGCACTGAAGGAGACAAGATGAGCAGATACGCAGGTGCACACACAGACAGACACCGGGACCCACACGCAGCCGACCTTGTCTGACACACTGGCGAACACAGCGGTCCGGTCCGAGGCAGACACAAGGCTCGCAGTGACACACAGCGGGCCGGGGCCGGCACTGTCACTCCTCGGTGGGGGGCGGGGAGGGGCCAGCAGCGGGGGAAGGCTGGGGAAGGGAATCCCGAGCGGGCGGCCTGCCCGGGTGGCTGAGTCACCGCGGCGCCCCAGCCGGCGGCCCTCCCCTCCGCCTCCCCCCTCCCCCAGGTAAGAAGCGAGCCTGTAACCCCTCGCTTCCACCGGGCAGAATGAGGCCTGGCGGGGGGCGGGATGCGGCGGCGTTCCGGGACCGGCCCCACTTCGGCGCGCGTGCCGCGCGCGTCTGCCCACCGCCTGCTGGGGAAAGCCGCGTCTGCGGGGGCTTGTCTGTGGCCGGCATGTGAGTGTGCGTGCGCACGGCTGGCCCCTTACCGTGCGTCCCGCGCGGCTCGAGCGCTGCGCGCGGAGGGGCTTCTCGGGCTCAAGCCGGGAGAGGGTTAAGTGGGTGTGATTGATGGAGTGGGTCTCTCTCGGGGCTCCGGGGGAGGGGGTCGGTTAAAGTCCCCGAGTCCAGGGCCCGGATGGAAGGGGCGGAGCTGGGCTCAGCCGGGAGTGCCCGGATGGAGGGGGCGTGGCCTCGGCAGGAGGAGAATTAACCCTTTTTGGGCGGCTGGCCCCCGGGAGCGGCCCGTGGGGCGGGCGGGAGAGGCTGGGATGGAATGTCTGCCCCAGAAGTATACCGTCCTCCCAGCCTGGCTCTGGCCGCGTGCGTCTTCCTCTCATCTGCCTTCGAGGAGTCTGCGGGTGTCTGTCTTTGTGCCGGCCCGTGGTTGTCCCCTCCCCTCGGTTGGTACGGACACCGGGAGTCGGGGAGGGCTGTTCCTGCCCCAAAGCGAGAGTGGAGGTGAGAGTGGACCGCGAGCCGCCTGCCGGCGCCTGGGGAACAGGTGTGAGCGGCGCGTCGAGGCTGGCGGGCGCGGGGAGGGGCCGTCGTGGGGGAAGACGAGAGGGGAAATTCCGCGGGACCGGTGGTGAGCGGTGTGTGGGCTGAGTTGTGTCTGCCTCTGTGTGTCTGTGTGTGTTCAGGGAGGCGGGGACTGAGTCAGTGGGAATAGGGTAAGGTTTTCTGGGTGACTCATGCTTCCCCCCCCACACACACCCGGAGCCTGAATCAGACCCCGAGGGAGGGCTTTGTACGGGAGGCGGATGGTGTGTAGGGGGTAGTCAGGCGCCTGGGTCCCGGGCGGGGACAGGGATCCGAGGTGGTTGGCGAGAGTGAGCGTGTGTTTAGGTCACAGGAAGTTTTTGTTCTCCCATGAGGGCTGATGTATTCTGAGTGCCGGTGTGGGGGTTTGTGGACAAAGGTGGAAAGGGGCTGGAGCGACGGGGCTCAGTGCTTCAGGGAAAGCTGAGTCAGTTCCCCGTGGGAAAGGGGAAGTGGTGGAGGGGAAGTGTCATCATCGCACTAGGGGAAGCTGCATTTCCTGGTAACTGGCGGCGCCCTGGGCACCCCTTCGCAAGCGGGGATCTGTTCCTCTGATGCCCGGACCCCCGGTTCCCCACCCCCCCCCCGTCTTCCCATACGTGGTCCGGGACTTGGGTGGGGGAATCTGGCCGGGGCTACACTGGACCGCCGTTAAGCGCTCTACTCTTGCCAGGGCTTGGGAACTGAGAGAAAGTCTGTGTAGTGAGAAGAGAGAGTTCGGGGCAGAAACTCCGCGGAAGCCGCGGAGAGGGTCCGCAGAGCCCCGGCGTGAGCCGGGCTCGGCGGGGAGTGGCGCGCCGGGACCTGTAGGGTCCAAGCGCGTGCATGTAAACAGACGACCTTGCCCTGCGGAGGGAGGACTGTTTTCACCAGAAACCCGCCTGCCCTTGCGGGCTGGGTGGAAATTTCCCCACAGCGCAGACTTCTCTCGGCGAAGGCGAACTTTCCAGCCGCCCCCAGCCCCTCGCCGCGCGCTCTCCCCCGGCTTCCTGCCCGGCGCCCGCTCCAGCTGGAGCGCTGGCCCCGCCCCCGCCGCTTTGTACTCTACGCTCGCCTCTCGCAGCTCTTTGTACTCTAGACTCTCAATGGACCGATCCCGGGAGCGGAGCCGGCTCCCTACCTGCGGGGACGCGGGGTAGGCGAGGCAGAGGCGCGGGGACGGGGATCCTGGGCTCAGAGAGAGGCGAGGGGGAAGAACCGGGGCCAAAGGGAAGGTTCCCAGAAAGGGAGCGCGGCGCCCGTCGTGGGTCGAGGCAGCACAGACGGGAAGGGGCGGAGGGGGGGGCTGAAGGGGGAAGTGAAACGGGTTCTGGGTTCTTTAAGGGAGTGGGCGGTGAGAGTGGGACAAGGGTGATGTCACCGCCTGTCGGGCCCCGCCCTCCTCCCTCCCGAAGGACCCCCCCTTACACTTACACACGCCGCTTCCGCTGCGCAAGTAGCCACGTCACGGGCAACCCCCGAAATCCCCCCTCCCTTGGGGGGCGGGGGCCACGTGGGCCGTGGGGAACCGCGTGGCCCCGACGGGGAAGGGCATAGAGGATACGGGAGCCACGCGAGAGGGGCCACTCGGGACCGCGGTGCGCGACTTCTCAGAAGTTGGGGGGACTGAAGGGAGATTTTGGTTTGGGGGGCCGGTTGGTATTGAAGATCTAGAGAGAGGCGGGGGAAGTGGAGGAGCTCAAGGAACTAGGTATGAGTCCGGGGGCTTGACCGTGCTTTGGGATGGGGTCCGGCGGCGGCGCGGGCGGGTCTGGGTACCGGAGAAGTCGCCGTGACCCGCCGGCGCCCAGCAGTTCCAGGGGGCACTCGGGGTGGGAGGTGAAGTGAGGAAGGGGAGCGACGCCTTTGTCTGCGGGGCGCGCCCGGTTGCCGTCAGTCGGTCTCACGGCGGGGCGGGGGGCGCCTCGGGCCGTCCTGCCGGGACTACCGGTGGCTCTGTGGGTGCGTGGGACTTGCGGGTGGCGCCATCCCCCAGGCCGGCCCGAGCGTGCGGCTCGCCGCCTTCGCCCGCCGGGGTCCCGGGCCCCGCCGGCGCCGCCGGCCCGAGCGCCGGCTCCGAGATGGAGACCCTCGGTGGGAGCCACGGGGTCACACCGGGGTCACCCCAGGCCGAGCCCGTCTGACCGGCTCCGCCGCCCCCCCTCCCCCGGCCGCTGCCGGCCGGGCTCACCCCGCTCTCATTGGTCCCGGCCAGGCTGTTACTGAGGCGGAGACACGGGTGATGATTGGCTTTCTGGGCAGAGAGGAAGTGCTGTGATTGGCCAGATCTCAGGAGCTCGCCGACGCAGTGAGAGGACGCTCCCACGGAGGCCGGGTAAGCCGCCGCCGCGCTGCGCGTCCGCCCCAGGGGCTCCCGAGCGCGAGCTGCCGGCCCGCTCCCTGCCGCGCGTCCCGGCGCCTCGCCGCCCTCCCGGGCCTCCGCTCAGGGAAAGCCGGGGCTGGGCGCCCAGTGCAGACGCCCGCCCGGCCCGGCCCCTGGGCCCCAGCTGTGTGCTGGCCAGCTCACCTCACTCCTTCTCCTCCTCTCCTCTGTAGAGTTGGCTGTGAAGGGCCCCGGGTGGCCATCTGGGGGCAGTGGGCACTCCTGTCAGAGCGGCTGGAGCGGGACCGTCGCCCCAGAGAGCTGGGGCAGGGGGCCGTGCCCGACCTCCAGGGCTCCTGGGGCCACTGCTGACCTGGTAAGGGAGAGGCCGGGGCCGGGTTGGCGGCGTGCACGCTGCTGGCTCGGGCTGCGCCCCCACTGAGACCATAATCTCTTCTCCCTGGCTCAGGCTGGATGCATCGGGCAGTGGACCCTCCAGGGGCCCGCGCTGCACGGGAAGCCTTTGCCCTCGGGGGCTTGAGCTGTGCTGGGGCCTGGAGCTCCTGCCCGCCCCATCCCCCTCCTCGTAGCGCATGGCTGCCTGGAGGCAGGTGAGAACTTGGGGCCTCTCTCTCTCTGTCTCCAGGCAACCCTCTTCCCATCCCCTTGACTCCTCAATCTCTGTGTCACTCTCTGGGTTTCTGCCATTCTGTGGACCTCAGTGCAGTCCTCGCTGCTCTCTTAGCCTCTCCGTCCCCTCCTTCCTAGGTAGGGACAGGACTGCTTCTGTTGCTCTATGTTAACAGAGCCCTTCTTTCTCTAGGTGCTCTGCCAGCGTCGGGCAGCCCCCACTCTCCGCTCCCCTGCCCCCTTCACATGGCAGTAGCTCTGGGCACCCTAACAAACCGTATTATGCTCCAGGGTGAGTAAGGATTCAGAGGTGCTGGGGATGGGAGGTAAGTCTGGGGCCTGGGAAGGGTTCCCCCAAGCGTGACCCCCAACCCCCGCAACCCCTTCTGCTCTGTAGGACCCCCACCCCGAGACCCCTCCATGGGAAGCTGGAATCCCTGCATGGCTGTGTGCAGGCATTGCTCCGAGAGCCGGCCCAGCCCGGGCTGTGGGAGCAGCTTGGGCAGCTGTACGAGTCGGAGCACGACAGTGAGGAGGCCATTCGCTGCTACCACAGCGCCCTTCGATACGGAGGAAGCTTGGCTGAGTTGGGACCCCGCATCGGGCGACTACAGCAGGTGGGATGAGGCAGGCCCTGGGGGGCCAGGATTGTGCCTCCTGGCTCAGTATCCTCATCTTAATGTCTGCTTCTGCCCCCAGGCCCAGTTCTGGAACTTTCATGCCGGCTCCTGCCAGCACCGAGCCAAGGTCCTGCCCCCCCTGGAGCAAGTGTGGAACTTGCTGCACCTCGAGGTGAGACCAGGGCCGGCTGGGCTAGGGAGGCTGGCCCGGGCCAGCTCTGCAGCTGTGTCATCCCCTCTCCCCTCTTCGTCTTCAGCACAAGCGGAACTACGGGGCCAAGCGGGGAGGTCCCCCAGTGAAGCGAGCCGCTGAACCCCCAGTGGTGCAGCCCGTGCCTCCGGCCGCGCTGTCGGGCCCCTCCGGGGATGAGGGCCTGAGCCCTGGAGGCAAGCGCAGGAGAGGCTGCAGCTCCGAGCAGGTATGGTTGCTTGTGGGCAGGCACGCGGCCCGAGGGCAGGACGGGCGCAGAGCGGGGTCTCACACTCTCTCTCCTTTTAGAGCGGCCTTCCTCCAGGGCTGCCGCTGCCGCCGCCCCCGCCGCCGCCCCCGCCGCCCCCCCCACCCCTGCCTGGCCTAGCCACCAGCCCTCCATTTCAGCTGAGCAAGCCAGGGCTGTGGAGTACCCTGCACGGAGATGTCTGGGGCCCCGAGCGCAAGGGTTCAGCACCCCCGGAGCGCCAGGTGAGCTCCTGTCCGTTGCCCCTGCCGTCCCGGTGCGAGGCCGCGTCCTCCCGGGCCTCCTCCCGCGTCCCCGACTCCCGGGCCTCCCGCGTCCCTGACTCGCGGCCTCCTTCCTCTGCACAGGAGCAGCGGCACCCACTGCCCCATCCGTATCCGCACCCGGCTCCGGCCTACACCGCGCACCCCCCCGGCCACCGGCTGGTCCCGGCCGCACCCCCAGGCCCCGGCCCCCGCCCCCCAGGAGCAGAGAGCCATGGCTGCCCGCCTGCCACCCGTCCCCCCGGAAGTGACCTTAGAGAGAGCAGAGTTCAGAGGTCGCGGATGGACTCCAGCGTTTCACCAGCAGCAACCACCGCCTGTGTGCCTTACGCCCCTTCCCGGCCCCCCGGCCTCCCCGGCACCACCAGCAGCAGCAGCACCGGTCTCCGGGGCGCGGAGCCGAGCCCAGGCATCGTGCGTGCCGGCGGTGGGCGGGGGGCGGGGGGGGGGGGCGCTGGGGGGGGTGCGCACAGCAGCCCTCTCACCACCGCCCCCATCCTCCCACCTGCAGCCCGGCGCTGACCATTACCAAACTCCCGCGCTGGACGTCTCCTCTCACCAAGGCCGCCTGGGGCCCTCGGCACACAGCAGTCGGAAACCGTTCCTGGCGGCTCCCGCTGCCACTCCTCACCTGTCCCTGCCGCCCCGCCCCCCCTCACCTCCTCCACCGCCCTGTCCCCGCCTCCTGCGCCCCCCACCGCCCCCTGCCTGGCTGAAGGGCCCGGCCTGCCGGGCAGCCCGCGAGGACGGGGAGATCTTAGAGGAGCTCTTCTTGGGGGCTGAGGGACGCCCCCGCCCTCCCCCGCCACCCCTCCCCCACCGCGAGGGCTTCTTGGGGCCTCCGGCTCCCCGCTTTTCTGTGGGCACTCAGGATTCGCACACCCCTCCCGCCCCCCCAGCCACCAGCAGCAGCAACCATGGCAGCCACAGCAGCAGCCCCACGGGGCCTGTGTCCTTCCCCCCGCCTCCCTATCTGGCCAGAAGTTTGGATCCCCTTCCCCGGCCCCCCAGCCCCACTCTGAGCCCCCAGGACCCACCTCTTGCCCCCTTGACTCTTGCCCTGCCTCCAGCTCCTCCCTCCTCCTGCCACCAAAATACCTCAGGAAGCTTCAGGCGCCCGGAGAGCCCTCGGCCCAGGGTCTCCTTCCCAAAGACCCCCGAGGTGGGGCCAGGGCCGACCCCAGGCCCCCTGAATAAAGCCCCCCAGCCTGTGCCGCCCAGGGCGGGGGAGCTGCCCGCCCGAGGCCCGCGGCTCTTCGATTTTCCCCCTACCCCGCTGGAGGACCAGTTTGAGGAGCCAGCTGAATTCAAGATCCTCCCCGACGGGCTGGCCAACATCATGAAGATGCTGGACGAATCCATTCGCAAGGAGGAGGAGCAGCAGCAACAGGGGGCAGGCGTGGGCCCCCCGCCCCCCCTGAAGGAGCCCTTCCCATCTCTGCAGCCTCCGTTCCCCGGTGACACAGCCCCGGCCGCCGCCACGGCCACGGCCACAACCGCCACCGCCGCCCAGGGAGAGGAGAAGCAGCCACCACCAGCCCTTCCGCCCCCGCCGCCTCTGGCCAAGTTCCCGCCGCCGCCCCCGCCGCCCCCGCCGCCGCTCCCCCCGGCAGCCAGTCCGGCCAGCCTGCTCAAATCCTTGGCCTCCGTGCTGGAGGGACAGAAGTACTGTTACCGGGGCACTGGAACGGCTGTTGCCACCCGGCCCGGGCCCTTGGCCGCCACTCAGTATTCCCCCGGTCCCCCGTCAGGTGCTACCGCCCCAGCGGCCCCCAGCGCCCAGGGCTCCCCGCAGCCCTCCGCTTCCTCGTCATCTCAGTTCTCTACCTCAGGCGGGCCCTGGGCCCGGGAGCGCAGGGCGGGCGAAGAGCCAGCCCCGGGCCCCATGACCCCCGCCCCGCCGCCCCCACCCCTGCCTCTGCCCCCCGCTCGGTCTGAGTCTGAGGTGCTAGAAGAGATCAGTCGGGCTTGTGAGACCCTCGTGGAGCGGGTGGGCCGGAGCGCCACAGACCCGGCAGGCCCAGTGGACACGGCAGGCCCGGTGGACACGGCAGGCTTGGTGGACGGTGGGACCGAGCGCCTGCTGCCTCCCGCCCAGGCCCGGGAGGAGAGCGGCGGGGCGGGGGTGGCGGCAGGACCAGGCAGCGGCAAGCGGCGGCAGAAGGAGCACCAGAAGGAGCACCAGAAGGAGCACCGACGGCACAGGAGGGCCTGTAAGGACAGCGTGGGTCGGCGGCCCCGAGAGGGCAGGGCAAAGACCAAGGCCAAGGCCCCCAAAGAAAAGAGCCGCCGGGTGCTGGGCAACCTGGACCTGCAGAGCGAGGAGATCCAGGGGCGCGAGAAGGCCCGGCCCGATCTCGGCGGGGCCCCCAAGGCCAAGCCGCCCGCCGCTCCGGCCCCCCCAGCAGCTCCTGCGCCCTCTGCCCAGCCCACGCCCCCCTCAGCTCCCGGGCCCGGGAAGAAGGTCCGGGAGGAAGCGCCAGGGCCACCAGGTGTCAGCCGGGCTGACATGCTGAAGCTGCGCTCACTTAGTGAAGGGCCCCCCAAGGAGCTGAAGATCCGCCTCATCAAGGTAGAGAGTGGTGACAAGGAGACCTTCATCGCCTCTGAGGTGGAGGAGCGGAGGCTGCGCATGGCGGACCTCACCATCAGCCACTGCGCCGCCGACGTCGTGCGTGCCAGCAAGTAGGTCGGGGGCAGGCGCCCCGAGGCCTCCACCCTTCCCACCCCCCACCGCCCGTCGCCCTGCTAGCCCTGCCCTTGCCTCTGCCCTCCCCACAGGAACGCCAAGGTGAAAGGGAAGTTCCGGGAGTCCTACCTTTCCCCAGCCCAGTCTGTGAAACCGAAGATCAACACTGAGGAGAAGCTGCCCCGGGAGAAACTGAACCCGCCCACCCCCAGCATCTATGTATGTGTGCCAGCCGCCATCGCCATCGGCTGCTCCGACCCAGCGGGGGGCTGGCGGGGTTGCCCGGAGCCTGGGACGCGCTTTCACCCGCTCCTGCTCCTCCCGCAGCTGGAGAGCAAACGGGACGCCTTCTCGCCTGTGCTGCTGCAGTTCTGTACAGACCCTCGAAATCCCATCACCGTGATCCGGGGCCTGGCGGGCTCCCTGCGGCTCAGTGAGTGCGGAGGGCAGGGGTGTGTGGGGAGGAGGCCTCTGAGGGCCCCGGACTTGGGGACCCCGGGCAGTGGCTCCCACGAGCTCTCCTCGGTCACACGTAGGCCGTATTTGAGGAGCGCTCTGAGTGATGGGTCCGCCGGCCTCGGGCTTTTCTCCCATCTGTGTGTCCCCAGCAGCGGGCACAGGGGAAGGGAGGTATCTCAGGACCCAGCTAGAGTCACGTTGGCTTTTCTCGGTTCATTAGGATGAGGGTACAGATTACACACGGCCTCAGCCAGCCGGTGGTCTGGGGCTTTCCCTTTCCCAGCCCTTTATTGTGCAGAATTTCAGACGAAAGGACACACATCGGAAGGGACACCACTTAGAAACCTAAAACTCAGCCAGCGTTTCCTCTGTAGCCAAGCATCCTCTGTCCCCACGTAGCCTCCCTTCTCGCCAGTGAGTGCTTGAGGCACGTTCCAGGCTTTCACGTTACTAAATCTCCTTGGATCCGACGATCGCGGTCGGAAACTTCCATCCATGCTGTGCACCCGCGGCCCCATGCGCACGCGAGGACGTTGGTGGAGGGCCCCCGGCTCAGAGCAGCAGTGGGAGACGGGGTTGGGGGCGTCCCCGCTGACGGCCGGGCCCTGGGACCTTGCCCGCTGCCTGTGGGGCCGGGCTTGTCACCTGTCCCCCCCCCCCCCCCCCCCGGCCGACCCCGCGCCAGAGGCTGAGGGAGTCAGAAGGCCCTCACTCGCTGCCCTCTGCCCCTGCCCCGACGCCCTGCTCGGCCCTCCCTTGCAGACTTGGGCCTCTTCTCCACCAAGACGCTGGTGGAGGCGAGCGGCGAGCACGCGGTGGAGGTGCGCACGCAGGTGCAGCAGCCCTCCGACGAGAACTGGGATCTGACGGGCACGCGGCAGATCTGGCCCTGCGAGAGCTCGCGTTCCCACACCACCATTGCCAAGTACGCGCAGTACCAGGCCTCGTCCTTCCAGGAGTCCCTGCAGGTGAGAGGCGCGCCCCTGGGCAGGCGCAGGGGGTCGGGATCCGCGGGCTGTGCCGGGGCCGGGGCGGGCGCTGACCCAGGCCTGCCCCTCCTCCCCGCGCTGTGGCCAAGCAGGAGGAGAAGGAGAGCGAGGACGAGGAGTCCGAGGAGCCCGACAGCACCACAGGAACCCCTCCCAGGTACGTCTTGTTTGGCCCTCCCCTTCCTGACTCCTTGCTTTCTCGGTGCTTCGCCACCAACCCGCGCTCTTTGCCCCGGCAGCAGCGCCCCGGACCCGAAGAACCACCACATCATCAAGTTTGGCACCAACATCGACCTGTCTGACGCCAAGAGGTCAGCGGGGCGGGGCCGGGGTGCCGCTGGCGGGCAGGGTTGGGGGGGAGCCGCTCACTTCTGCTGCACCCTCGCCCCCGCAGGTGGAAGCCGCAGCTGCAGGAGCTGCTGAAGCTGCCCGCCTTCATGCGGGTCACATCCACGGGCAACATGCTGAGCCACGTGGGCCACACCATCCTGGGCATGAACACGGTGCAGCTGTACATGAAGGTCCCCGGCAGCCGAACGCCAGGTGCGCTCCTGGCCCGGGCGCGCGTGGGGGGCGGGGCTGCGGCCGGCGCTCCTCCGCCAGCCAATGAGGGCGCGAGGGCGGGCCGGGCGCCGAGCGCCGGCTCGGCCCAGGCCAGCCACGCCGTTCTCTGTCGCCCCCTGCAGGCCACCAGGAGAACAACAACTTCTGCTCCGTCAACATCAACATCGGCCCCGGCGACTGCGAGTGGTTCGCGGTGCACGAGCACTACTGGGAGACCATCAGCGCCTTCTGCGACCGGTGCGCGCCGCCCTGGCGCCCCCCCGCCCCAGTGCCCCTCCCCCGCAGGCCCGGCCCGGCCCCGGGTCCTCAGACTTCGCCCTGACCCTGTGGCCACCCCGCAGGCACGGCGTGGACTACCTGACTGGTTCCTGGTGGCCAATCCTGGACGATCTCTATGCTTCCAATATCCCTGTGTACCGCTTCGTGCAGCGCCCCGGAGACCTCGTGTGGATTAACGCGGGCACCGTGCACTGGGTGCAGGCCACCGGCTGGTGCAACAACATCGCCTGGAACGTGGGGCCCCTCACCGGTGAGAGGGTGGGGCCCGCGGCGAGTGAGCCCGGCGGGGAGGGGGGCGCCGGGCGGGAAGGGCCATCCCCCCCATCTCCCCCCCCCCCGCCCCCCGCGCCGTGGTCCGGGATGGCCCGGCATCCTCAGTGCCCCCCTCTGGCCCGCAGCCTATCAGTACCAGCTGGCCCTGGAACGATACGAGTGGAACGAGGTGAAGAACGTCAAATCCATCGTGCCCATGATTCACGTGTCCTGGAACGTGGCTCGCACGGTCAAAATCAGCGACCCGGACTTGTTCAAGATGATCAAGTGAGGGCCCCATTTGGGAAGCAGACCTGGCCCCGCTCTTGTGCTTCCTGTTTGATTCCACCCAGTTTTCCACCTGCTTCTGCCCGCTTGCCCCCCCCCCCCCCGGGGGCCCCCGCGCTGTTGCTGCGCTGGGGCGGCCGACAGGGGCCCCGCTCCCAGGCGCTTTCTTTTCCTCTGGTCCAAGTAGACAAGAGCCACATGAAATGTCAGCTGGGACAGATGCCCAGGTCAGGGACTGTGACCCGGCCTGGAGCGGGGAGGGCCCCCCCCCTCCCCCCGCGCCGCCCGGCCTCACCGGCCCCTCGCGCCCCCCGCGCGCAGGTTCTGCCTCCTGCAGTCCATGAAGCACTGCCAGGTGCAGCGCGAGAGCCTGGTGCGCGCCGGCAAGAAGATCGCCTACCAGGGCCGGGTCAAGGACGAGCCCGCCTACTACTGCAACGAGTGCGACGTGAGTGGGCCCGCCCGCCCCCCGGCCCCCCGGCCCCCCGGCCCCGGGACTGCTCTCCCGCTGACGGCCCCTGCTCTGGGCCCCAGGTGGAGGTGTTCAACATCCTGTTCGTGACGAGCGAGAACGGCAGCCGCAACACGTACCTGGTGCACTGCGAGGCGTGCGCGCGGCGGCGGAGCGCGGGCCTGCAGGGCGTCGTGGTGCTGGAGCAATACCGCACCGAGGAGCTGGCGCAGGCCTACGACGCCTTCACGCTGGTGAGGCCCGGCGGGCGGGGCGGGGGGTCCCCCGGGGCGCTCCCGCCGCCGAGCCCGCCGCTGAGCCCGGCGCCCGCTTTCTCCCCGCAGGCCCCCGCCGGCACGTCGCGATGAGGCCGGACGCCCCGCCCGCCCGCCCGCAGGGCGCCGCGGGGCCACCAGCACACGCCTGGGCTGGACCTAGGTCCCGCCTCTGGCCGGGAAGGGGGTCGGGCCCAGCCCTTCCACCCCATTGGCAGCTCCCCTTCACTTAATTTATTAAGAAAAAAAATTTTTTTTTAACAAATAAGAGGAAAAAAGGAAAAAAAATGGGAGACGGGGGAGGGGGCTGGCAGCCCCTCGCCCACCAGCGCCTCCCCTCACCGACTTTGGCCTTCTAGCAACAGACACAACGACCAGGCTCCGGCGGCGGCGGGGGTCACATACGGGTTCCCTCACGCCTGCCAGCCGCCCGCCCGCCCGGCGCAGATGCACGCGGCTCGTGTATGTACATAGACGTTACGGCAGCCGAGGTTTTCATGAGATTCTTCTATGGGCTTTACCCCCCCCGAACCTCCTTTTTTACTTCCAGCGCTAGCTGTGACCCTTGTACATGTCTCTGTTTCTTCACTTGGTTATGATTTGTATTTTCTGTTTTTTTTGTTTTGTTGTTTTTTGGTTTTTAATTTATAACAGTCCCACTCACCTCTATTTATTCATTTTTGGGAAAACCCGACCTCCCGCATCCCCCCTCCCCGAAGCCATCCCGCCCGCCCCTCCGGGGACCGCCCCGCCGCCGGGCTCTCCCTGCGCCCCAGTGTGTGTCCGGGGCCGGCCCCGTCCGTCTCCGCCCGTCCGCCCGCGGCTCCAGCCGGGTTCTCATGGTGCTCAAACCCGCTCCCCTCCCCGACGTCCTGCACTTTCTCGGACCAGGCCCCCACTCCCGACCCGACCCCAACCCCGCCTGAGGGTGAGCGACTCCTGTACTGTAGGGGAAGAAGTGGGAACTGAAATGGTATTTTGTAAAAAAATAAAATAATAATAATAATAAATAAATAAAAAAATTTAAAGTTTTAAAGAAAGAACTATGAGGAAAAGGAACCCCGTCCTTCCCAGCCCCGGCCAATTTTAAAAACACGGACCTTCCCCTCACCCCCCCTCCCCACCCCCCCCGCCTCCCCTTTTCTTTTCAAGCGTGAACCAGCCCAGGGCCAGGGCCTCACTGGGGCAGGGACACCCCGGGATGAGTTTCTCTGGGGCTTTATTTTTGTTTCGTCGGTGGATTTTCTCTCCCACGCTGGGGCTGCGGAGGGCTGGGGGGTTTACAGCCCCGCCCCCTCGCACTGCACTGTCTCTCTGCCCCAGGGGCAGAGGGGTCTTCCCAACCCTACCCCTATTTTCGGTGATTTTTGTGTGAGAATATTAATATGAAAAATAAACTCAGAGAAAAACATCCGGCTTCGGTAACGTGCTGGGGCTCGCGGGGCGCGCGGGGAGGAGGGCTGCCCCGGCTGCGCAGACCCCGGCGGGGCGAGCCCCTCCCCGAGGCGCCTGTGGAATGTCCAGAGCGCTGGTCCGCTCCTCGGGACGGGGGTGCCTAATCCCGGAGCCGCATTCCAGGATAAGGGGGGTGGGGAGAGGCTGGGCCGGGGGAGGGGCAGGAAAGAGGGCTATAAGGGCCGCGGCCCAGGCGGGCGGGCGGGAGCCAGGCAGGCCATGGCGGATGTCCCCGGGGCGCAGCGGCCGGCTCCCGGCGGCGGCCCGGAGCCCCGGGACCCCCTGGACTGCTGGGCCTGCGCTGTGCTGGTCACGGCCCAGAACCTGCTGGTGGCTGCCTTCAACCTCCTGCTGCTGGCGCTGGTGCTGGGGACCATCCTGCTACCCGCTGTCACCATGCTAGGCTTCGGCTTCCTCTGCCACTCCCAGGTGAGCGCGGCCCTTCGCGGGCACGGTGGCGGGGGGGTCTGCGGGCCACGGCTGCCCGCCCGGGCTCTCGGGCCTGGTGGGGCCTGACGCCTGCTCTCCTCCCGCAGTTCCTGCGCTCCCAGGCGCCCCCTTGCACCGCGCACCTGCGGGACCCGGGCTTCACGGCCCTGCTGGTCACCGGATTCCTGCTCCTCGTGCCGCTGCTCGTGCTGGCCCTGGCCAGCTACCGCCGCCTCTGCCTGCGCCTCCGCCTGGCCGACTGCCTCGTGCCCTACAGCCGAGCCCTCTACCGGCGCCGGCGCGCCCCGCAGCCGCGGCAGAGCCGGGCCTCCCCGGGGCCCCAGGCCGCTCCCACGTCAGGGAAGGTCTGGGTCTGAGGACCCTCGAGTCAAGAACCGCCCTGTCGACTGCCCCCACTCCCGGGCGGCCCGAGGACTTGAAGCCCGGGGGGGCGGGGGGTCTCCCGACCTGCCCCGCCCCCACCCTGCCTAAGCCGGGGTCCAGCACCGCCTCGGGGGACCGGAGCATCCGTGGACCAGAGCTGGCGGAAACCCACTCTCCTCCTCCTACCTAGATCTGAATCCTGGACTTCTGGGCTGGACGCTGCACACCCCCCATCACTCCGCCCTCCCCTCCTCCTCCCTCAGGACGACGGAACCGCGTGTCCTCCTTGCTGGTGCAGCTCTTCTAGTATTTACGGGCGGGCGGGGGGGCGGGGGGAGGCAGGTTGGAGGGGAAGGAGGGAGCACACACCAATAAAGAACGAACTGAACGCCTTCCTGGGATCCTGTGAGCACAGAGATGGCACAATTCCTGTCACCCCCGTCCTGTGCCCAGGAGCAGGAAACAAGCCGGGGCGGAGGGGCGGGGGCGCAAGCCGCATCCTTCGGCCGCCCGGGGGCCTTCCCTTATCGCGGTAGCCCGTTCTTCCTGGCCAGACCCCAGAGCTCTGGCCCTGACCCTAAAGTCACCTCCCCCCTCAACAGAGTGGAGAGGGCCCGGCCTCCGTCGCCTGCCCTGCTCCCCTTGGGGACCCGAGCCCGTTCTCTGACCCCAGCTTGGAGGAACTCGGTGTTGCCAGGCCGGGGAGGGAAACAATGGGCCTTCCGGAACAGGATGACACCCCCTCCGGCCACAATTCTGGAGCAGCAGCGTGGGAGGGAAGATGGAGGGGCCCACCCTGGGCCCTGCTGGTCCTTAGTTCACCCCCACCCCCGAGCCAGAGGGAACCCCTGGCTCCCCTGCACGTCCAGGTTGGGGAAGGAGGGTTGAGAGTGCTCCCGACATCCCAGCTACACTCGGACACTAGGCACTTCGTTCCAGGTTTAATGGTCTGCAAAGCATGCGCGGTCGAGGTCAGAGATAGGGAGGCCCTGCCAGGCTCTCCCTCTGCACCTCAATAGACACGATGTGGTGGCCGGGTACCATGGCCAGGCCCAGTACACGGGGTTCCCCCGCCGAGAAGGAATCTGGAAAGAAGGGTCAGAGCATCAGGGAGGCAGGCCAGCGCCGGTCCCGCCCCTTCTAGCCCCAGAACTCAGGGGTGCAGCCAGACACTGAGGGGGCAGCGCCCTGCGGGGAGGCTCCGCCGCATTCCCAGGGGGCCGTGCATCCCCCGGGCACTGACCCGACGGCTTGAGGAACTCCTGCGCCGAGCCCAGGATGACATTGCAGTCGCGGTCGGTGCAGAGGAAGCAGCCGACCAGGGTCCGTCCATCGGTCATGCGAATGCGCATAGTCTTGTTGAGCAGCGCCTCCAGCTGCTGCCGGGCCCGCGCGGCCGGCGAGTCCTCGCGCTCCCCGTCCGAGTCCTGCGCGGGGCGGGACACGCGCTGAGACGGCACCGCCCCGGCGGCCGCCCCCCCGCGGAACCACAGCTCCCGACAGCCCGCGGGGCGCTCCCACCGAGCCCAGAGGCTGCCGGGAGCCGCAGTTCCCCCTCCGGCCCCCCACTCCCCTCTTGCTCCCAGGCTGCCCCTCGATCCCAGAACTCCAACCCGCGCTAACCCCGGCGCTGGAGCTGCTCTGACGCCGGCTGCAGCAGCCGTTCTCCTCTCGTAGCAGCATGGTTGGTCCAGCTCCGGCCATTTGCCCCGGGGCCTCCTCTGGGCCCTTCAACTTCCTAAGAAGCTTTCGGGTCCGGCGGTCTGAGATCTCGCGAGCGCTCCCGGCCTCTTTTCTTTCGCGAGATCACCTCTCCTCCTCCTCGTCGTCTCCTGGGCAACTGCAGAAATCTCGCGAGCTCCTCCTACTTCTCCGGCGCCGGATGTCTTAAGATATCGCGAGAAGTTTCACCGCTTTAGTTTCATACATACCCTTCGGGAAGCCGGGAATTGAGCGAGACGCTTTTCCTCGTAATCACACTCCAGCCCATACTCCCGTGCTTCTCTGCTTCGCCAGTCAGTCCTAAATATCCCCTCCCGCCCAGACCACTCTGAAGACGGAGGGCGTTCGCTTTCCCCCGGACCTCCGGAGGACGCGACTCAATTCCTTGGAAGCCAGACTCAGACTACATTTCCCGTGAGCGCGCACAGCCCCCGCCCAGTGTTTGATCTCGGTAGACGGTGGCCGGAAAGGGACAATGGTTTCCATGTCAGCGGACCAACGCGCTCGCGAGGGGGAAGATGCAGTGAGTGAGTGAGTGCGTGCGTGCTGAGTGAGGGGCGATGAAGCAACCGGAGACGCAGGTGGCCGACGGTGCAAGAGCCGCGCCGCGCCGGGGCCTCGTGGGGGGGCCAGACTTTGAGTTTTTCCGGCGTCGCTATTTCACGCCGGCCGAGGTGGCCCAACACAACGCGCCGGAAGACCTGTGGGTGTCCTACCTGGGCTCCGTGTACGACCTGACGCCGTTGGCTCGCAAGTACAAGGGTAAGGGCCGCGCCCCGGGCCAGGGTCAGGGTGTGCGTCGCGGGGCAGGTGCCTGGCTCTTGCGCGGCTGGCGCTGACGGCGGCTGCTCCTTCCCAGGAGACCTGCTGCTAAAACCCATCGTGGAAGTTGCCGGCCAGGACATCAGCCACTGGTTCGATCCGAAGACCGGAGACGTGAGTTCTGCCGGAACCCGGGGTGGGGGTGGGGGTGGGATGGGACCGCGGGGTGGGGAGGAAGGGCGGGAGCTGGCCGGAGTCGGAGGTCGTGACTGCCCCGAGGCCCCTCTCCCGATCCCTGCGTTAAAGATCCGCAAGCACGTCGATCCGCTGACCGGTACCCTGAGATACCGCACCCCCCGGGGCCGCTTTCTGCACGTCCCGCCTCAGCTGCCGCGTTCGGACTGGGCCAATGATTTCGGGAAGCCCTGGTGGCAGGGGGTGCGTTATGAGGTGGGGCGGCTGTCTGCCAGGACCCGCAACATCCGCATCATTAACACGCTCACGTCGCAGGAGCACGCGCTGGAGGTGAGAACTGGTGCCTGCGGGCAGGTCCGAGGGAACTGGGAATCCCAGCAACTCTCCCAGGAGATCTTCAGGCCGCTGGCTCTCCATAGCCAGTGGGAGCAGTATTTTCCCCCTCTTTAGGGGTAGCCGAGGAGAGCAGACCACCTAGGTCTGCGGGGTTGGGAATGGAGGAGTGGCCGGATCACAGGGTACAAGAGAGACCCTCATAAGCCCCGGGTCAGCAGTTCATGCACCCCAGTGATGGTGGTCCTCGGAAGCACTCCCATGCTGTGTTTTGGGTAGTAGTTGCAACCGGACTCTCTTATTAATGTTCTCTGTGGAAGGGATGAAGGGAGGGGGCAGTGACTCTGACCCTTTAGGGCCATCCGCCGCATGCTGGAGCTCCAGCTTCGTTTGGGGGACTGGGAAGTGCCTAAAAATATTATCTGCCGAGGGAGGCACTCTGAGCCCAGCACGATCATCTGCGCTCCGGGCCTTGGCTTGGGGCGCGGGTCTGTGTGTGTGTGTGTCCCATCCAGAATCCTGGGGGGTGGGGCGCTTTCATGTTCTGCAGGTGGGGGCCCAGGAATCAATGTGGGAAATCCTGCACCGCTGTCTCCCCTTTAATGCACATGCTGCCAGCTATACATGGAAATATGAGGGGAAGGAACTGAACATGGATTATACCCTGGAAGAGAATGGGATCCGGGATGAGGATGAAGAATTTGACTATCTCAACATGGACGGTACACTCCACACCCCTGCAATACTGCTCTACTTCAACGATGACCTCACAGAGCTATAGGGATGGAGACGAAGGCTTGTGTGGACTCAAGATGTATTTTGAGTTTGGCTGTATCTGTGTCCTGTAGGTGGGGGAGGGGGCGGGGGGCTGGACATAGACCTCCACTCCGATCTGGGAACTGGCCTGTGGTTCCCGCGTCCTTCTGAAGTGTACAGGTCCTATTTCCCAGTCCCGCTGTGATTTGTTCAAAGTTAGGGAGAATGCTAGAAGCACGTTCAGTAATTCTCAGGAGTGACATGAGAAGATAAAGTATCTTGGGTTAGGGAGACAGCCAGAGCTCAGGCAGAACTTTTTGACAGTCGGAGAAGAAATCCTACACAGGGATGAGGGATGGGAGAACTTGTATGGCAGTGATGGGAACGGGGACGGCTGTGAGAGGATGGGATTTCCACAGACAGGAACAGGAAGTATCTATTGCTGGTCATACAAAGCTGGCTGATCTGCCTTCTGAAGAGTACTTGATAGTTAGAACCCCAAAGGGAAGAAAGGAAGTGAAGGGTTAGTCGGTAGTTCAGGCTAGACCTTATGCTATGTGCTTCGTACACCCTTTTTAATACAGCTACTCTCTAAGGTGGGTGCTGTCACCACGATTTTACACAGAAGTCTTTTTGAAGCTAAGAAAGATTTTTTTCCCTATTTGGCTTTCGTAAGCGATCGATGACCCCGGGCAGCATCCCATCCAGCAAGTAGAGGGGAGCTCCCTAAGCTCGCCAAGATTTAGTAGCAGGAAGGCACACTAGTTAGTGGCCAGGATGCAAACTCAAGTCTAAATCCAAAGTTCGTGTTCTTTCAGGGTAGAGAGAGGATCTCACTGTCCTAGGCTCGTCCCAAAGACAGCCGCCATGGGGGGTGGTGGCCAGATTTGTCTCCTTTAACCCCGGCAGGGGAGGGGAATGAGGATGACAGGCAGCACCCCCACCCGCGGAGTCTCCTACCCGCAGCACCTCCTGCCAGAAACGCCCCCCTCTCCTCGCACTCCCGTCACTCCCCAAGGAGACCCTAGCTCCTAAATGCCTCTGGGATGCATCCTCTTCCTCACTGCTTGTCCAGACCGCTGTGCAGACGTCCTCACGAGCCCCCCACTTCCGCGTCCGCCCCTGACCCCCCACGTAGTAGTCCGAGTGAGCGCTGAGAACCAAACCCAGCATCTGACTTTCCTTCCTTCGGAGTCTTCAGTGGCTTCCGGGTGCTTTGGGAATAAGGTCCTGTCCATCTGAAGACGCTGCACGAACCGGCCGGTGCCCCCCTTGCGTGCCTCACCTCTGTTCCCTGTGTCCCAGCCGCTGGGGCTGTCTCCGTGACCCAGAGCCCTAACACACCGTTCCCTCTGCCTCCACACTCTTCCTCCCGTCCCCCACCTAGCTGACCCTAAATGTTTCTTCCTCAGGAGCTTTTCTGATTTCTTGGCGTAGAAAGCAAGATTTTCCATTAGATCGTCTCTTAGCATCACACTTATTCCAGTGTTGGTTTTAAGATTATGGATGTGAGACGGCCATCTGGGTCACCGCCGGGTTCCCAGTGTTGGGCGCACAGTTGCTGCTCAATAAATGTTGATGGGATGACCTCCAATGTTGAGTGAACTCATCTGTCCATCGTAACTAGTGTGGATGGGACGCTGTGACCTGGGAGGCAAGGCGAGACCAAGAAGTAGGACGTCTGGCGGCTGTGGCAGCTTCTCTGTCCTGGTTCCCCTCAGAACGAGACCAAACCCTAGAGGCCTTCCTCTGCTCAGATTTGGGGGGAAATCCACCTGCCATTCCCCCATATGGCCATCAGGTGGCGGTCGTCGCCCACAGAGTCGGGGGCGGGGGGGGGGGGGGACAAGGGAGGGAAAACCCGCCCAAGTTCTAAAGAGGTTACAATCAAAGGGGGCTCCCTGGAATGTACAGGTGGGAGGACGGATCTGAAAAAGGAAACACCACATGGCTACTGTTTTTTTAGCATTTGGCTACATTCTGGTCTGTATTTTGTCCACCAGCAGTAAAGTTTGAGGAATAAAACCCATGGGATGGTGCAGGTAGGGGCTCTGATTACAGGTGTGGGTGTGTTCAGGGCCAAGTGCAGAGCTGCGGACGGAATAAAGAGCACGCATTTCAAAGAGAATACAGTACATTCCCTTAGTAACACTTACCGACGTGTGTGTGCGCGTGTGTAGAGCTTTTCCCGAGGCACTACCTTGTTGTTCTCTACAAATCCAAGGCTGGCTGTTTGCGTGAGGAGTATGTAAATAATGCCTCGGCCAAAAATCTAGAAAGTACATAGCACATGAGCGTGGGGTCCAAGTCCTCTTGCGGTGACCTCTTCGTTTTGGAGTGGGGTGGGGTGACAGTTGGAATACTGAACGCTGCCCGTCCTCAGGAAACCATAGCGACTTCAAAGGACTCAACTGGCCGATTTGCCTCGAGCCGCCGTCCCTGTGAGCACAGATCACTGAGGAGAGCAAAGGCCCGTATGTCCTCGCAGGGGCCGCCTTCTCAATGGGATAAAACACACACGCATGAAAAGGTAAATGAAGACAGTACCCGATGAAGGACCAAATTATGGTCTAGAAAACGTTTCCACCCTCAGGGCAAGTCGCAGGTGGATTCTTCACCTGGATCTCCAGAAGTGCTGAGGTGGTTTCTAAATCGTGTGTCTGTGTCTGTTTGCACGTGTGCGCAAGCTCAGATACGTATTATTTTGGAGAAAGGTGCTGTCATTTCCATGAGTCTCAAAATGGCCCAATCCTCTGCCCCGACATAGTACACACGCACAAACGGGTCATTTCAAGTGACGTATGAAAGGTGCTAATATAATGTAGTCCCGGGACTCTGAGCACCCGTCTCAGTGCTCTACCTCGACTCTTACACCTGTGTTCCCGTGGCAGCAATTCCTAAAGCTTTAACCCTGGGGGCCAAGTTTAGGACTAGTCTGAAACCTTTTAGTACTGCCCCCGATTCCGATCTGGATGCACGCTGGAGCAGAGGGAGGGGATCTCTCATTTAGTCTTGACCCCAACGCCCAGACACTGGCGGCAGGTTAAGGTTGACGGGCCCAGCCCCGCACAGCCGAGTTTGGGTAAACCCCATGGACATTGTTGCTATTGGGACGGCCTCCACCATCTGACTCAGTCATCTCTGCGCCTGCAACAGCCCCCGAATGCCCGGCGTGGAGTGGCAATAAAGACACACCTGTATTCATCATCCAGGAATGAACGGTCCACGTAAGCCCTGCTCTTTGAGATGTTGGAACTCGGGCCATACGACGCAGAACACGCGACGGTCTTGCCGCTTGCCCACCCTGGCCCTTTGAAGAGAGCTGCAGAGAGGTGGAGAGTCACATCTGTGCTGGTGAGTCCTGCCGGCCCTCCTCTGGAGCAGTGAGCAAGATGAAATGTCCCCCTGCCCTTAGCGGACAGCCCCTCCGGGCAGACCTTCCTCCACCCCAGCGGGTCACTGAGAACGGATCCCGTGCAAAGAACAGAAGGCTCAGTGCTCGGACCTAACTACCAAGAGTTCGTTTTTCTCAAATAAGAGTCTGTGGTGCCATCATTCCCTGGGGCAGCTCTGGGCCTCACGTTTGTCACTGGTCTCGCTTCTCTACTTCTGGCCCGCGCCGTGGGCAGGAAGGGGGGAAGGGGGGAGGCGGGAAGGGCGGGGCCTAGATCCAAGCACTCATTTTGCTAGCGGTCCTTCGAAGACTTCTGAGCACATCTCACTGGTGGGACGTGGGTGGCACAGGACCCTTGGCTGCGAGGGATGTGGGATGACGTCCACAACAAGAGCAGGGACGGCTGCTGCGGAGGGACCGTCCGGACACCGGGTCGGGACCAGGTCGGGACCTGCGAGGTCTTCCGCGACTCACGCGCACGGGCTGCTCGTCCATTCGTTAACCACACAAAGGTATCAGGCGCTTTGTGCGCGGGCCTGTTTCGGGTCCTGGGGATGCAGAAGTGAGGGTCAGGCACTGGGACCCGACACGCAGAGACAGGGTCGCTGCAGATGGGACCGAAAGCTGTATGCTGTAGATGCACGCGCGCACCTGCTGTAAAACAGACACACAACCTCGGGAGAGAGTGACGGTCAGCGGCTCCGGGCCGGTCTGTGTTGCCTGGAGATCTGCGTGCACCTGCATTCATCACTTACTCATTCACCCGCCTCACAACAAACCGAAGTACCGAGGACCCGGAGGCAGAGACAGATGAACGAACTTGCCAAAGGTCACACAACTGCACGGTGAGTAGCCGCGCCCCCCGCTGTGGGACACAGGACGCACACAGGACGCGGGTCCAGCTGCCCGTGGGACCTGCCTGTCGCTGCACATCAAAGCCAGCCTTCAAACAGCCCCCATCTTTATTTTGCTAACAGACCTGGGATGTGGGCAGCGTTCCGTGGGGACCCCGCCCGGTGTACTGTCCCCAGCTGCAGGATCCACTTGCAAGTGGCTCAGTGGCGCCGCTGGCAGGTGCTGTTGGCCGTGGACACCCCTTGTGTGGCCCCCCCACGGGGCAGCGTGGCCTTCCCCCACCCCCCCACCATGGCAGCCGGACACGGAGAGCAGGTAGCTCCAGACAAGTAGAAGGAAGCCGGCCTCCAATCCAGGGGGAGGGAGCGAGGCCTCCGGCTCAGAGGGAAGGGGCCAAAGTTACAAAACGTGGGCTGGACGGCAGATCTTACTTCTGAACCCCCCCCAGGCTCCCTTCTGGCAGGGCCTTGTCCCATGCTGTCCCCTGCGCCGAACGCCCCACCCCTCACTGCTGGCTTGGTCAGCTCCTTCCCCTTAGAGGCTCTGCTTAGTGTCACCTCCTCGGCGGAGTCTTCCCTGACCCCTCCAACCGTGTCAAACATTCCTTCCCTCCCTCTCAATGCAATGCAAGTATTTAGTGTTAATTCAGTTTTTTTTTTTTTTTAAGATTTTATTTATTTATTTGAGACAGAGAGAATGAGAGAGACAGAGAGCACATGAGAGGGGGGAGGGTCAGAGGGAGAAGCAGGCTCCCTGCCGAGCAGGGAGCCCGATGCGAGACTCGATCCAGGGACTCCAGGACCATGACCTGAGCCAAAGGCAGTCGCTTAACCAACTGAGCCACCCAGGCGCCCTAGTGTTAATTCAGTTTAATGTCCACCTTCCTCCCTTCTTAGACTCAAAGCTCTAGGAGGGCAGACAGCTGGCCCGTATTTGCCACTGAGTACCCAGCACCTCCCTCTCTCGGTGCTCAGCCCAGGGCAGTCACTCAAGATTCATAAAAGGAACAGAGGTGAAAGGCTAAGTACGAGGCGCCTCAGGAACATCCAACCCCAGCCTGGGGAGATCAGTGAAGGCTTTCGGGACAGGCATCACCTCCAGCTGAGGCCCGAAGGGACCAGGGAGTCGAGGGATAAGCAGGAGAGGACAGAAGGCTTCCTGCAAAGAATAAACAGCACAGAGTTTAGGGGTAAGAGTGGCGAGCTGGGGAGCAGAGGGCAAAGCTAAGAGACAGCGGCTGGGGAGGGTGGGCGATGAGGGGTGTGGAGGCCAGACCAGGTCAACTGAGGCTTTGTAAACCTGGCTTTTGTTTGTTCATTTGTTGAGATATAACTCACACACTATAAAAGTCACCCTTTCAAAGTGTACAGTTCAGGGTTAAGGGTTTTCTAGGGAGAATGGCCCAATCAGATTTGCACGGTAAAGAGGTGACCTGCCTACAATGTCAAGAGAACGGACTGGAGGGGAGAAAAGTGGGGACAGATCCAGGAGAGGGATGGAGGCGGTGGGGACTAAGTTCGGGGCTGCGGAGGTCAAAGCAGATGGCCAGAAGTGAAGGCAGAATCACCTGGCTCCATAATTTCCTGGAGGCAGGTCTGGGGCAGAGGGAGGAGACCAGGACGATACTCCATTGTCTGGCCCCGGGGGACCGAGAGATGAAGAGTCGGCCGACGGAGAAGGGGACTCTGACGGGGGAAGAAGGTGATGTGTTGTGAGTTGGCCGTGAAGTCACTTTGGGGCACCCAAATCACAGGCGGTCCGTGGCACGGGGTCCCGGCAGAGTGCTCAGGGCCGGCGTGTGAGGTGTGAGGATTGCCATCTGCGGGGATGAGCCCCTGCTCGAGGATGGAGAAGAGCCGGAGCGCAGAGAGTGACCGAAGACAATGGTGGAAGCCGAAGAGAGTATCAGAGAGGAGGGGGTGGTAAACGCTGTGAGGCGGTCTATCGAGGTCAAGACCAGGACTCGGCTGTCCCCGGACGGAGCCAACAGCGAAACGGTCGTACGTCAGAGAAGGCGGGCTGTCGTTGGTGAGGCATGACCGGATGGTCGCAGAAGGAATCCAGCTGCAGAGGCTTTGGGACCACGCGCAGAATACTTTCCTTTCTTCAGACCCCGTTTCTTTAGCTGTCAGCTATGAGTAACAGAAGTAAGCGTTCCCAAAGGACAACAAGCATAAACCAGGACACGGTCACTCTACACGGAAGCTCCCTTCCAGCGTTGTTGGGAAGACTGAATGAGCTAGAGTATGGGAGAACGCCCAGCAGCGCCCAAGGCCTTTTGAACAGGCACCCCCAAATTTTCGTTTTCTTCTCCTTTCCATGTGCCAGCCAGAATTTCGTCACGCATGCTTCTTGAGGGACTTCCTGGGATTTGGCGTTACTCAGCATCCAGGTGACATCTGTCACGGTTAGAGACCTGGTAGGCCGTATCTGGGACTAACATTTGGTTTCCAACCCAACAAAAGTGTTTGTGCCTCCACTGGGAGAACTGGGCCCAACAGAACCTGGCTCGTTTCCTATATTCTCGGGTTGGGCTTGTGTATAGGAAGCAGGAGAGAGCCTAGAAATGGGGCCAACTGTTGGGAGCAGAAGCTACAGGCAGCCCTTAGCTCCTTCAGGGCAAGTGCTGTTCGTACCTCAGGCCGCAAATCCTCTCACCTTCAGCTGCGTTAAGTGAATCTCTCTACAGTGAGAAACGGTCCACAGTATATGGGATTGTTTAGGGTAAGAGCTACCAACTGTCTGGCATCTTACAGCCTGCGCCCTCTGCAAGTTAGCTCTCCTGATGCTCCCGACGGTCCTGTGAGGGAGGCCCTGACCTCCCTGTGTCACACACGGAGGGCTGGGCCTGAGGGAGAAGTCACTCGCCCAAGGTCACTTTGTAAGTGGAAGAGCTGGGTTTGCAGGTGCGACCCGACCCCCAAGCTCAAAGTCTAACGGAGGGAGTGGGTGACTTCATTACTTGGCTCTCGACTACCTATTAGGAGTTACGCAGTTTGGAATATAGAATCTTTTGGGGAAAAAAAAAGTTGATTTTAGTTTACTAATCATATCTAATTTAGTCTAAAATTAGAGTGACTTTTGGAGTGCCTGGGTGGCTCAGAGCGTTGAGCGTCTGACTCTTGATTTCAGCTCAGGTCATGATCTCATGGGTTGTGGGATCGAGCCCCGTGTCGGGTTCCATGCTCTGCAGGGAGTCAGTCTGCTTGAGGATTCTTTCTCTCTCTCCTCCTGCCCCTCTCCCTGCTCGCACACGTGCGCACACGCTCTCTCTCTCTAAAGTAGATAAATATATCTTAAATAAATAAATAAAAACAAAATGACTCTCGTTGTCCAGAGAGCTCGATGGCGAAAAGGCCCAAGAGCAGGCCAAGGGGCAGGAGGGAGCCAGCTTGGGGTTGGCACTGACCACGACAAAGCTATAATCTGAGAGACAGGTATCAGCCAGGAAAGGTGTCAGGGCAATTCTGCTCAGACAACTGGGCTTGACGTTAGAGGGCATTTCTAGCTAGCCAGCCAATGGAGAAGGAGTAAGACATTGTTAAAAGGCAATGTCAAAAGGGAGGAAAGGGTTGCTTTTGGCCATTTCGTACAGGACCCTACAGTTTCCATGACCATGGTCAATCGGCGCGGGTCTAAAAGAAACAGTGAAGAGAAAGACCACTGTTTTGGGGCTTAGAGCTTCCTCCTCAACGAAGAGCAAGGGAACGGATTTCGCTAAAAGCCAGCAATAGAAGTGTAAGCAGATGTGAGATCACAGAAGCCGAGCAAGGACTATTTCAAGAAGGGGGTGGCAAGTGAAGAACTCAGAAATAGCCTCTGTATCGGCAGCCCGGGGGCTGTTGGCCGCCTGCAGGTCGTTCTTCCAGGAGGCGCGGCTGTGGGTGGGCACAGGGAGGTAGGGTGGCAGCTGGGGGGGCGGCGGGGGTCCAGAGGACTTCTTTTAAAGACAAGGAGCTGTGGTTGAGAAGGAGCAAGTAGAAGGGGAGGTAAGGGAGCGCTGCGGGGTCTCCGGGAACCATTAGTCCCTGAGGAGGCGGCAGGGGTGGGAGGCAGAGCCCCGGGCCCGCAGGGACCAGCTTCAGACGGGACCAACAGGAGGGAGGAGAGAAATCCACAAGCTCAGTATCTGAGTGTCTCATACGGCTTCCAGGGAGCTCTCATCTGATGATCTGGCTCCTGGAAGGGGAGGATAAGGTTTCCTCCTGGAGTAGGAAGGTGGAGGAGGTCTGAGGAATGTGAGGAAGGTTTGGAAAAGTCACCACCGGGAACTGAAAGGCGGCGGCGGGCTAGGGAAAAGGATTTCTGAGCAGGGACGCTGGTCGGCAGGGGCATAGAGGGGTCCTTGGGCAGCGCTGTGCATGCTGGGTATAAAGAGGCAGCAGAAGCGGCCACGGTTTGAGGTGGGTGGGAGGAGGTCAAGGACAGGACACCAAGACACCTGGCAAGACAGTGGCTGAAATGACAGAGCATGGGCTCTAAGCTGGATGGGGATAATGGATGGTGAAGGCACTAGAGTGTCTTTCAGGCCCAAGAAAAGCAGAGAGATGAGAGCTGGAGGGACAGAAAGTTATAGGCAAAGCAGGGGGCTTGAAACTAGAATTTCAGAAGAGGTGAGTGCAGAGGTGGGACAGGTGTGGAATGGAGAGAAAGGTCTTTGGTTAGGGAGTCGAGGGCAGGACTGAGTCAGGTGCCCGTCTTCAGTGAATGAGGGGGCAGGACCAGGGCGAGCACACATGGCCAGGAAGAGAGGCGCTGGGGGCCCAGCCAGGCTGCAGAAGCTTAGAGCGGGGTTTGTCACCTGGGATGGGGGACCTGGAGTCAACCCTGGAGATGAGGAAATAGATTCCTTTGGGGCGCCTGGGTGGCCCAGGCCGTTAAGCGTCTGCCTTCGGCTCAGGTCGCGATCCCAGGGTCCTGGGATCGAGCCCCACATCGGGCTCCCTGCTCGGCGGGAAGCCTGCTTCTCCCTCTCCCTCTGCTTGCCCGCCCCCTGCTCATGCTCTCGCTCCCTTTCTCTCTAATAAATAAATAAAATCTTAAAAAAAAAAAAATAGATTCCTTTACGTATGTGGTCTCCAGACTTGTTTGCCACATTACTGTAAACTATTTTTTGGAGACTACCGAACTTTGTGACCAAGTATTTGATGGCACCTCCTATTCTTTCTTCCCGTATGTCTTTTAAAGTTTTTTTAAGCTTAGTCTTATTTTTCATTGTAGAACATGGGCTCTTCATAGAAAATTCCAGGTAGGCAAGCATAAAGATGCAAAACAAAATCACTCTTACTCTATCACTCAGCAGAAACCACTCTTAGCATCTTAACCACTTCCTCCTAGTATTTTCCCACATGGTTGCGATTAGACTACATACATGATTTTATATTGTTTTATGCAATTCACAGCAGATCGTAAGTTGTTAAAGGAAACCATGAGAGAACCAAGAACGGTGGTTGTCTCTAGGAGAGGCACAGGCTGGAAAGACACCGGAAAGTTCTGGGGTGCTGGAAATACTTTAGATCTTTACCTGAATGGTGTTCACACAGGAGTATACATTTGCACAAACTCAAAATGTACACCTGAAAAAACCCCAACCAAGCGAACAAAAAACAAAACGAAATCAGATCATGAGCATTTGCTCACGCCCTTTGGTCAATGGGGAGAAAGGTTAACAATCAGTGAATCTAGGAGAGTGTGTAGGTATCAACAAGTCAGGAAAGGACAGGTGTTGGCGAGGGTCTGGAGAAAGGGGAGCCCTCCTACGCTACGGGTGGGAACGCAAGCTGGGGCGGCCACTCTGGAAAACAGCGTGGAGGTGCCTCAGAAAGCTAAAAATAGAGCTACCTTTTGACCCAGCAATTGCTCTACTAGGTATTTACCCAAAGGATGCAAAAATACGAATTCAAAGGGATATATGCATACTAATGTTTAAAGCAGCATTATCTACAACAGCCAAATTATAGAAGCACAGCAGGTGTCCATTGACAGATGAACAGATAAAGAAGACGTGTGTATATATACACACTGGAATATTACTTAGCCATAAAAAGTGAAATCTTGCCATTGACAACGACACGGATGGAACGAGAGGGTATTTTGCTAAGTGAAATAAGTCAACCAGGGAAAGACACATTCCTCATGATCTCACGCATATGTGGAATTTAAGAAACAGAACAGAGGATCATAGGGGAAGAGAGGAAAAAACAAAACAGGACAAAATCAGAGAGGAGACAAACCGTAAGAGACTCTCAATCACAGGAAACACACTGAGGGTGGCTGGAGGAGATGGGGTGGAGGGCTGGGGTAACTGGGTGCCGGGCATTAAGGAGGTCACGTGATGGAATGAGCACTGGGTGTTACATGCAACTGATGAATCACTGACCTCTACCTCTGAAACTAATAATACACTCTATGTTAACTGAATTTAAATTTTAAAAATGGTAAAAAAAACAACAACAACAAATGAGCAAAGGGGAAAAAGAGAGAGCGAGGCAAACCAAGAAACAGACTCTTCACTGTAGAGAACACACTGATGGTCAGCAGAGGGGAGGTGGGGGGGGATGGGTGACGTCAGTGATGGGGATTCAGGAGGGCACTTGTGATGAGCACCGGGTGACGTATGGAAGTGTTGAGTCACCATACTGTACCCCTGAAACTAATATAACCCTGTATGTTAACTACACTGGAATTTAAATTAAAAAAAAAGAGTATACAGGTGTCCACAGCGCTCCTTCAACTTTTCTGTAGGTTCATAATTTCTCAAAATTGAGAAGTTAGAGGTGGGAAGGGACCTAATCTCAAAAAAAAAAAAAAAAAAAAGCAAGGAAACAACAACAAAATTCAGGAGACTGGGTAGGTAGAGGTGGGAGGGGAATGTGGAATAAGGAAGATCAGACAAGGCTTTAAAAAATATTACTATTGTTACATTTATTAAACCAGATGATGGAGTCACATGTTCATGGTAATATTCTTTGTGGCTGATGTATGTTACATCTATTCTTGTGAGCCTGTGGAATAGTTCTCAATAATAGATAAAAAATTTTAAATTAAAAACCTCCATAAATAACATTTTAATGGTTTCTCATAATCTTTAATTGCTATCTGACTTTCTCACCAAAACTACCTTCAAGGGTGA